CGCGTAACTCGGAAGTGCGCGTAGCGAGGGCAAAATTCCTATTCGGAACCGTTAGCAAAGTTCTCTATTTCTATCTCGTTCGCTATCGTAGCAACGCAACACGGACCGCTGAAAGAGCAGTCGTAAATATCGACGTGCATACAATACCGACATCGACATTAAGAAGATAATCAGCACGGTATTCTCGTGCCGTAAATACTCGTAAAATGGAAACATCGGTATTATCGCGAGCCGCGGATCCATTATCGCGAATGTATAATCCGCTATACGAGTAATCAAGCATGCTCGCATAATCTATAGGAAGCGGAATCATTCGGATCTTGATACAATTTAGTGGTCTGCGTGCTTTGATAATTACGCTTTATCGTCCGGAATAGAAACGTGTCTACTTCCTTCGAGCCACTCGCATGTGCAAAATTCAACGAAGCATTTTATTTTGCAATAAATAATGTTGCAATGCGTTTTCCACGGGGAAGCGCACTTTATAGCACAAGACGAGTTTGTGATCCTGGCAATGATCCTTTCATAGCTGTACAAACGATCGAGAAGGATTTCGTTCTGAGAACGTTGTAAGATTGGTAGTCTACGAAGGTCTAGGAAAACAAAACAAAAAACAAAGATATGCATCTCGTTGCACAGTCGACAGTGAAGAACTTGCCAACTTCCGCGCTTTTTTTAGAAATTCTCTACCATCTCGGTTTCTTTATACAGAGTGTCCCATTTTAAATGTCCCAGACAAATATCTCGAAAAACATGGAAAATACGGAAAAATGTTTTAGACAGAAGCTGTATGATTTCAAGGAGGGCATGAAATAACTATATCAGTTTGTTTATAGATGGCGCCATTTTCGAAATATTCATTTCATTACTGATCATTACTTTTCTTAACTGTTTGTCGGAAGAAAAAATGGTACTAGACTTTTTTTTATTCTACTTTGTTTCAAAAATATATCGTTGCAATAGCGCCCTGACTTTTACTAACTTATCGACTTTTGGAAATTTCAAAATCATCAAATTAACAAACTGATATAGTTATTTTTTATGTCCCCTCTGAAATTATACAACTTTTGTCAGAAACATTTTTCCGTATCTTCCATATTTTTCGAGATATTTGCCTGGGGTATTTAAAATGGGACACCCTGTATATAAAGAATTCAACGGTACTAGTCGATTTTGTTTTATGACACCTGTTTTATTTTGTGACTTCTAATGTAGAAGCTTATCCCATCTACGGAACATATTTCTCCCACGACAACCGATTGAGTAGAACTGCGTTGAGAGAAAGATCACGTTATTTAGGGAGGTGGTTATCGATGGTTCAAGGAAACAAAGGAGAAAAAAGGAAGAAAATGCTAAAAACAAATAAAAAGAAAACAAAGAAAATGATACACTATTGTAAAGTCAGTACTGGAAAACTTGCCGATTCACACACGTCACTTTTTCTTCTCTCTCCTCTTCCATATAAAAAATAGCAAACCCGAGCAAACAATTGTTAAGGCCATCCTTATGAAGCATAAGGCCTTGATAAGACTGAAAGTAGGATGCCTTATAAAGAGATGCCTCATTATCATCATATCAGGCCTCGAGGTGAGTATTTTAGGGGTGCTTTAGATTTTATGAAATAAGGCTTTGATAGGAAAAGCTGAGAAGGATCTTAGAAGGATTTTTTAAGGATGCCTTAGATCCAATAAATAAGGCTTTGATGGGGGAAACTGATGTGGACCTTAGAAAGATCTTTTAAGGATGCTTTAGATGTACAAAATCAAGTTTTGTTATAGAAAATTAATAAGATCTGAAGCGTAGAATAAAATTATTATAGTTTAATATTGTTTTAGTAGATACGTTCTATTTGGTTTTTTCAAAGATTTTTTTAATTATACCGCAATTAAAAACAAATTTTATTAATTTTATTAGTTGCCATATTCATTAGTCTCTTCCAAGGATTTTTTTTTAGTATTGCCTTTGTTTTGAAATGCAGCAAACTTTAATAAAAATAGTAGCAGGATTTTTATGTGTAAAGAATGCTATATTTTATTGTAAATTATATTATAATTTTAAAATAAAAAATTCTTGTATACTAATAAGGTTATAAAGAAATAAAGTATTTACAGTCTAAATTTCTTGGAATGAAAAGAACAAATATTTTTACTCAAGCAATAATAAAAATATTGCCGTATAAGGCCCTTATAATATCGCTTTATCAGGACCCGTTAAACCCATTGTTACACATTTTGTAAGGCCTTTGTCTTTCTATTCCTACTAGGGTCCGATTAATGTTAGAGAAAAATAATCGAGCCTTTATTAGAACCCTATTAATTTTTCTACTCGGGAACTTGTTTCACTTTTCCCGTCCTGATGGCGACGGACTATCCATTATTCTCCCCCGCACTACATCTCGAGCGAAATCGGTATCAACTCTCGAAGCAAGTGCACGCGAACAATTCTCAAGCGAATGTCTACTCGATATAGATGAATGGTGTGACTCGTATCACCTACACCTGGTTGCCGCACGGCAAGCGGCAATTACATCCTGAGTCCTTCTTTCTATGCGCATTGTATGCTCATTCGTACCAGTTCACTGCAAAACTCACTCGACCGTGCTGCGTATAAATCAATTAAATCGTTGAGTATGCTTACCAGCCCGGTTTCACCGACACCATTGAATATCGGTCGCGGTCTCAAGTCTGCTTCCCTTCGCGTGTCGTTTATAGACTGCGACAATCTGCGCAGCGCGCAGAGGAGGGGGGAGGGGGTAAATTTAATTGATCTCACACGGCTGTAATGTGCACGCGCGTTTCTAATTAAACTTTTTCCCTCTTATTCTGTCGTAATCGTCGTTGTAATCACGAAAGGTGAACGGGGAATCAAATTGCGGTTAATTGAAAATCCACTTCCTTCGTTCGCGTAAATACACGATAGCGGGGAGATTCGATTTGCAGCGATCGCCACATGACTGGTCGTTTATTCGTCTTGCTGCTGCGCGTCGAACGCGTTTGTTCGATTGTTCGTCTCGCGGTAATTCGACGATATCAATTCTCCGTCGTGACACGGTGAATCGTGACGTACGTGTGAGTGTATACGTATGTGTGTGTGTGTGTATAAGCCGCCATCGCGTATGCCCTCGTATTCTTTTGCATTTTGCACAGGCGAGCCGGTAATGGATAGACAAATAATTCCGTCGCGCGAGATATTACATAGTCGATTTACGCATCGCCGTCATTAACGTCCGCGCGGTTATTATTACGAATACGTTAGAATATTTAATTATTATTAATGCTTCGCTCCCCGTTATTTCGCAACATCGCGTGCCCGCTGAGAGCGCAGTATATTTACCGTATTCCGCGGAACGAAATTGTCTATTTGTAATCAAGATGCGTTATATTCGCTTATTTGATCGTAAATGGCTCAACAGATTCATACACCATCGGTGTATCGCCGTTATCTTGAGAGAGAAGTAACGAGAGGAAAGGAGGGAGAGAGAGAGAGAGAGAGAGAGAGAGAGAGAGAGAGAGAGAGAGAGAGAGAGAGAGAGAGAGAGAGAGAGAGATCATGCACGGTGTTAAAGTTGCAAAAATACAATATCTCTTCAACAGAGGAGAATAATTTTTTCCTCGGGGCTATAAAACATTCGTTCCGATGTGACCCAATTGCCTCGACTAACTCATTTGGCTTATCGCGGAAAGAACAAGCGAGACATGCCGCGTACACTCGATTAACTTGGATAATTACGATATAACCCCGTATGTCCAGTCATACCGAATGTCGTCGATTACTTTCTCGTTTTACGCTATTTTGCGCGCGCATATCCGTCCACTCGACGTACGTGGAGTACGTATTTTCTAAGTACGGAGTACGTATGATGCACACGCTACTTTCTCGGTCGACCTATATGCGATTTTTTCTTAAGCTCCATACGATCCTCAATGTCGGCTGTATAACTCGAATCTGGGTTCCTTTCTACCGTGCATCATCAGGTACACGCTTTTCTGTACTCGCTCTCAAGGTAGGGAGAACCAGCAGGAACGGGATACGCGCGTGCTTGCGCGACAAGATATGGGCTTCTTTCTTCTCTTTTTTTCCGTCGGAGGAGAAGGGGAATAAAAAAGAGAGAGGGAGGAGAGGGTTCTCGGTGACGACGATTTATGGCGCGCCTAACGATTAGGTAAACCTGCAGTGGCAGTGAATTTTCCGCATCCTGTTGCCGCCGCTTTTCTTATTTTCGTTTCGACGCATGCGAAATGAGTCGCATGCGTTTAAGATGCCGACTAGAGCTGTCTCTTTTCCTCTTGCTCTGGAAATTACTTGCTCTAGAAATGATTTCGGAAACATCGGGCTCGTTGTATTGTCAATCACGGATAATCTGCCGATAAACCGTGCTATCGATCGAGTTTCTCGGGGCGTTCAGAAACGCCTTTAATTACCGGGCGGGTACGATAACGAGCTATACAGCGGATGTGAAACGCGACGAACACATGATCGAGAGAAATATCTCTCTCTCTCTCTCTCTCTCTCTCTCTCTCTGTCTCTTTCTTTCCCGCCATCAGTGTTCCCTTTGCCTTGCTACTTTCTCGGATGAGTTTCCGCCCGTCATCTTCCGAATGATTTCTGTTTTTGCTCGGAAATTCACTGTCATGAGCAACACGCCGGCAATTTTCACGTTAGAGCGTGACGCGCGCCGATATTTCAAGCGTAATATTCGCCTTTCGCTCGGCGCGCCGCATCCCGTTTGTCTTGCTCGTTGCGGAATTCGTCAACACCGCGCGATCTCCGATCGCGCTCCGCTGCAAATTAATTAAAACTCAGTGTCCCACTGAGGCTCGCTTTATCCGCCGTTTAAAGTAATTATAAGCGGAAATCTGCGTATACGGGAGATAATCGCAAAGAGGCGGTGATCTCGAGTAAAACCGAACAATACGAACAATATGACTGGAAAGTTGCTGCGGCTAGAGAAGTCACCCAACCGGTCGGTCGGTTGGTCAGTCTGCGGATAATGCGCTTACCTCGCTGATGCTGGTGTAATTTGTCGTCAGTTTGATTTGCGGTCTGATCTTTCCGGGCGATTCTCGTGTTTCTTTAGCCGATGTCAGAGGCGCAGTGGTCGTGACATTGGTGGCGATGGCGGCGATGGCAGCGGAGGAGGAGGCGGCGGCGGCGGCGGCCGCAGCCGTTGATTTCCTTGACAACACTGTGGCCGTGTGTTGGGTAGGTGAGATTATCCTCGGAGATGTTTCGGTGAAGGTAGAACTCGAGCTGGTGATGCCGCTGGTAATGTCCAAGTCGTCGGAGGTCGCGTTCGTCGTGAAAGCCGCCGTGGACACTAACGACGGCGTCGTTCTCGTGACGATCGTCGGTAGTTTCAATGTTGTCGTGGCGGATGTAACGGCTATTTCCGCCGTCGTCGCCGCTGAGGTTGCCGTCGCCATGGCCGTTGCCGTCGCTGCCGTCGTTGCCGTCGTGACGGCGACCGCCGCTGTCGCCGTCATCGTTGCCGTCGCCGCTGCCATGGTGCTGGTCGCTGCAGCCAGTGACGACGGAGACGCCGAGAAGGGCGATGATAAATGCAAAGTGGTGTTCTTCAGGGCGTATGGGAACGTCGCGTTCGCGATTGGTCTCGATGCCGTGGTCGCGGTAATCATAGTCACGTCCTTCTTACCTCCGCCAGGCGCGATCGGAGTGGTTTTCTTTCCTTTGGTTAGATCGTCGGGACGCACCTTCGGCGACGCTGGTACCGCCAGCACCGCCGTCAACAGCGCGAGCCAAACGTACCACCTGATAGCTCGCATTCTTGACATTGATGCTTTGCGAAATGCTACTTTCGGTATTCTCGTCGCGGTGCACTCCTTCTCAAATTTTCTTGCAACGATAGCCGATCGATATCGTGTCACTCGATGTCTTTTATAGGATCTGCAAATATAACAATATAAAAATTATATTATTATTATTTCGCGCCCGTGATAGATGACTTATTCGAACTAATTTATTCATTATTGAAGTTTTTTTATTAAAAATTATTTATTTAATTAGTACCCAGTATTATATTTTTATCTCGTCTCTTTTATCCTCTTTTATATTTTTATATTTTATATTTTTTTTTATTTTATTTATGAAACTAGAAATCAACTTAAATCAACGAAAGAAACTTAACTCTCCGTCTTATTTCCTTCTTTGCTATCCATTGTAAATTGATTGACTAATTGATTTTATTTTTCTATCATATACCGACGTTGTCTTCCTGAGAGGAGAAATAAATGTTAGCAGCTTGTAAACGTAGATAATGTAGAACGTAATACAACATATCGACCATCATATACAAGACATGCGCGCGCGCGCGTGTATGTGTGGCGCATTTTACTCTCTCGAGGTAGTATTTGCTTCAGTACTGCCTCGACAGAGTAGAGCTCTCGCTCTCACAACGGTAATTAGATTTTTCTCATGTAGTTAAGTGCATACTAACGTGAATACAGTATTCGCCATTTCGTCACTAATCAGGATTTGAGAGACGTCAGGAAGAGTTCGTAATTCAACTTCATTTTTACGATTTCTCTCTTCTCCGCTGTAATTTTTCTATCTGTCTCTCCACATTTCTCTCTCTCTCTCTCTCTCTCTCTCTCTCTCTCTCTCTCTCTCTCTCTCTCTCTCTCTCTCTCTCTCTCTCCTCTCTCTCTTCTCTTTTTTTTTTTTTTTTTTTTTTTTTTTTTTTTTTTTTTTCTCTCTCTCTCTTCTCTCTCTCTCTCTCTCTCTCTCTCTACACAGTCTTTATATGATTATAACTGAATAAGCCATTTCTAGTATGAGTAAACTCGACGCAATATGGAAACTAAACGACGCATCTGTGCACGTGATATGGAAAACGGTCGAGAGATAACTGCAACATGTCAAGTTCAATGATACTTACTGCCTGAAGATGTGGAAGGGGATCTCGTTACGCAGGCGGAGTGTTATCTAATGGAATCGTACTAAAGGGTGTCCCAAAATTCACGCAAGAAGTAATTTTGATAGAAAACACAGATTTAATTAAAAATTGTAAATTTTTTATTGATTCATAAAGTATACAGTATAGGGTTATGTATGGAATAGCATATCGGGTAAATGGCCTCCACGGCTTTGCTGGCATATATGCACTCTTTTGTTGAAATTTCCTCCTTCAAGGCGTGGGTGGTCGTGGGCTTGTTGGCATAAACCTTAGACTTCAAAAAACTCCAAAGAAAAAAGTCCAACGGCGTTAAATCGCATGATCTGGGCAGCCAAATCTGATCACCAAAACGGGAAATTACACGATCAGGAAATGACTTATGCAGTAATTGAATTGTTTCTCGGGCTGTATGGCATGTGGCACCGTCTTGTTGAAACCACATGTCGTCCACATCCATATCTTGCAATTTCGGCACAAAAAACTGGATTATCATGTCGCGATAGCGAGCACCATTAACTGTTATTGCCTGACCAGCCGCATTTTCGAAGAAGAATGGTCCGATGATGCCTCCAGCCGCCAAAATCCGCATCAAACAATGGCACGTTGTGGATGCATTTGTTTCTCAACAATCACTTGTGGATTTTCTGAATCCCAAATGCGACAATTTTGTCGATTAACCAAGCAATCAAGGTGAAAATGAGCCTCATCGCTGAAGATGATTTTGTTTGAAAAATCAGTATCTACAGCAGCAGGTTGTTGTTCCATAATCCATTCAACGAACTCTCTTCGCTGTGGCCGTTTACCCGATATGCTATTCCATACATAACCCTATACTTTATGTATATTTTATGAATCAATAAAAAATTTACAATTTTTAATTATAAACCTGTTTTCTATCAAAATTACTTCTTGCATGAATTTTGGGGCACTCTTTACAATGAATTGTACGGCGAACGAGAATAGTCTGCAAAAATGTCAAATCAAGACGAGATGACAAATTTTCTCCGTTTTCCTCAGATGAGCATTTATTACAAGATTCTTTTAACACGACCTTGCAATCTCAAAACAATTTTTTTTTAATTGAACCAGATTACTCTTCTCGGTAAAAACATGTGCTTAGATAGAAACGGAAGAATAAAAAAAAGAAGAATGTGCATTTATTCACTTCTTTTCCTACCGCAGTTGCCGCGCGCCGAATCGAAGCAAATAAAGGTATCTGTCGAGCTATTGAGGCAAGAAATTTTCCCGGTGTTTCCCTTTAACGAAGAGATATCACGAAAATTTTTTATCGCAATTCGGTAGTCATTTTCAACGTTTTCTCAAATCCAATCAGATCCAACTAAATCCTATTTTTCTCGCTTGAAATGTTCGCCGACGAGAGAGAATTAGATAGAAATTACTAAAATAATCGGGGAGGAGGGGAGGGAGGCACACGTGCTTTATTGCTTGATCTTGCTGAATATCAGTGTGTCGGTCCACAGCAAGTTGACCGTTTATCTGCCTACCTGCCTACGTATTTTCCTTTCACGCGCTCGATCTTGTCCGACGCTACTGCAACAGTTATCGCACGTCTGCCATACGACACTGGCGAAATTGGGTCATTCGGTACAAACCATATGCGCCGTTATCTTGTTGCATTTGCAAGGTCGTATCGATCCGCACGCTCCGGACATCAGATGTTAGATATTACGTTTCATTAGAATATTTCTCGTGTCGTTGAACACGCGATAGATACATATCTCGCTTATCTCGAGGATGATGTGAGGCGAGACGAAATATGCAGCGCCTCGATAGTACGAGAAATACGCTCGTGGAAGCGGCGCACTGCAAAGTAGAATATTTTCGCGAAAACACGCGTCCGGTAATTTGCCGGACTAACGAGACCGAAAGGAAAGCGCGCTTGCCTCGCTTGACTGTACAAAGTTGTGTAATTAGCGATGGATATAAGGCTCCTCCCTCCGAAGTTCGTTTCTCTCTCTCTCTCTCTCTCTCTCTCTCTCTCTCTCTCTCTCTCTCTCTCTCTCTCGCCCATCTCTTAAAATTATTCGCGCTCGCATCTCTATGCGACACGTAAAGGATCTCGCGCGTTTCAAAAGGCGAAGTCGGGAGACAAAGGAGGCCTGAGAGTCGCGTCTCAATGTGCCGACGTGCCCGCCTAACGGATCTTTCGTAAATTGGCTTAACGTGTTACAGCCCTTTTCCTTATTGTAGTGTCCCGCGTTCATTGTACCGTGCTCGTCGCATCGTTCACCGCGGTGAGATCCGTGAATAGCCGGCTTCTTGCGGCGTAACGTGATATCACGGCGATGTCGTACCATATGTTCGCTTTCGTGCAATTTGGAATACGAGTTGCTGCCGACCATAGTAATTTGCTCCGGGAAATGTAATTGTCGGAAGATTTGAGCCAAGGATCTTATTGTTGTCTATCGTCCAGCAAATTTGCATCATCGAGGGGAAAAAAGAAGAGCACGGGAAACGCGAAGTTTGATATTTGGGATAATACACCACTAGGTTGCTTTCGCATCGATAGCACCGACAGTTGGACACGTTCTCTAGGTCACAGCGGAAATACGAAAAGCAATGTCGGCGGTCGAAATATCGGAATATTAACTGCGCGTGATCTTTCTTTTGAATGACCACGTTGACCGCGTTGATCCGGATGCTGATAGAGCGAATCTGTGACTCGTTTTTTCTCTCTTTTTCTTTGTTGAGACATAATTATATCCTCTTAATTAATCCATTAATTTTACTTTGAAATTTCCACTCAAGAATTCATTACGTAAAATATGACTTATAAAAGATTATTAATTATTAATTATTTTATATATCAACACAGTAACAAACTAAATTAACCGTTATCTGGATGAAACAGATATCAAAATATTGAAGATTACCAATTATTCGATTTGTTATTTTTCCTTCTTCAACTAAAAAGTAATGATTTTATATCTTGATAGTTTTATCGTACAATAATTGAAAATAATTGAAAACAGACAACGAAATCATTCGCATAATTTATATATTCAAATTTTTATTTAAGAATCGAAAAATAATAAAAGGAAAGACGACGGAACATTTTATACAAACAATAGAAATAGATGAACATGTTTGAAATTTTCGCAAGCGCGGATACAATCGCACGAGCGAGTTGTCGACCCATAAATTTGCGATACCGCGTAACAATGCGCGGTGCCTTGCGATGCGATTATATTGGATGCGCCGTTAATATCGGATTGACAAAGGCATTAAGCACTCATACCTCTCGGCGCAGCGTGTTGATCAGTGTACCGACCCTTGACCTTGACTTTCGTCCTCGCTCCACCTCGACGGCGCGACCTCGTCGTTGGCGCCGACCTCGACCGCGATCCCCGCTAGCAAGGAAGGAAGGAAGGCGATCGTACAGCTGTATTGACCTGCCCCAACACGTCCGCTGACAGCTCTTTTCGGTAGGCTTCGGTATCAAATCCTGACCCTTTTCCGGTGCCTTTTCCGTCTTTCCGAAAACGTGCGTGCGCGCGCGCGCGCGCGTGCTACGACTCCGTCGTTCGTACGCTTGCACGCACTAACTCGAGCGAGTACGAATGCTCCCGACGATCCAGGTGAGCAACCAGCCGCCGACGTTGGACGCTTCCGCGGCTGTTCGCTTCATACAGACCTATGCGATAAGACACCTGAGTGTTTTGACACCTGAGGCCCGACCGTTTTGCGATGTTTCCGCTTTTTCTCGCGCACAACCACCCTTTTCCGCGTTCTAGGGCAGCTTCGTTTGTTAGGATGAGCACTTGCTCTCTATTAAGAAAGAAGGAGGGAGGGAGAGACAGAGAGAGAGAGAGAGAGAGAGAGAGAGAGAGAGAAGAGAGAGAGAGAGAGAGGAAAAAGAGAGAAAGAGAAAGAGCGAGAGGCGGAATTCGATGAGGACGATAGACGAGAAAGAGGCAAGTTCTCTCGCGATGAGATTGTTTCGGGGTTTGCGTCCGACTGCGGACCCGCGTAGGACGCTACGAGCCTATGAGTCCCCGCTAGTCCCACTTACCAACCAACCAGAAACTGCTCGAGTATAGCCGGTATCCTGCGCCGCATCTCCGCCAATCCTCTCTACCTTCCACGCCGTGGACTCGAGCGCGTATTTGCGCTCGCGAGGCTGTTGCTCGTTCGCGATTACTTGCTTTTCGTCTTTCGTCGACGGAGTCGCCGGAGGGCCCCGGGGAGATTCACGTGAGATTAACAATCGCGCGACGGTTTATGAACTGTCGATTGATATATGCCGAGTGCTTTGCATCGACGATTTTCCAGAGTCCACGTAAAATTAAACTCGACACGCCTGTTCTGAATTCTGTGCGCGGGAAAGTACACACTGCATTCGAGTAAACGTTACATGTTTCAAGCAGGGTTGGAGAGTAATTCGTTACTTGTAACGAAGTTACAGTTACAGTTTTTTTCTTTTTTGGTAACTGTAACTATAACTTAACTTTATCCCGTTTTTTCCATCTGTAAATGTAACTTAGTTACATTTGTTTTATAATTTTTAAGTTTAAAATATATAAAGCAACTATTAAAGTAACTAATAACTTTAATAGTTACTTTAATAGTTGCTTTATATATTTCAAACTTAATTTGCAGACCAGCACGATAACGCGACGTGCGATGTTTGATATCCGATAAACATACTTAGTTATTCTGGCTGCATTTGGAAACGCTCATCTATCTTTATCATTCATTAGATGTAAAAGAAGGATAAAATGATGCAATAGCGCTTATATTCTTCTCTCCGAACGTAACCTGCATTTTTTTTTTTCAAAAAAATTGCACGCCTATTGGACATTCCGTCGCGCGTCGCTAGTCCTTATTTGTTAACATAACCTGCGTTTAGCGTGAAGTGCGTTGCGTGATTTCAGTTATATAAAAAATTCAAGCAATGGATAAAACATCTCAATCTTCGGAGAAGGATTGTAAAATGCCATGACCAGCATATGCAGAAATATTCGAATTACAGCAAAAATTTGGAAATGAGAACAACTGGGCATTTCTCTGCAAAATTTGCGCTGGCAAAAATATTATTCATGCAAGTAGAACTTCAACTGCAAATATAAGAAAACATATGAATATAAGTCTTTATTTATAAAATATCAATATACTTTTTAGTGAAAAAATCTAATTTTTTATGTTAAAATTACTTTTAGTATTTTTAGTATTTATTATCTCCATTAAATTCATTCACTTTTTTGTAATTGTTATTAATGTTGTTATTAATTGTTATAATTGTTATAGTCTTAAAGAATAAATATGAATTGTTTATTTAAATTAATCTAATTTGTAAAAATTATATACAACATAAGAAATATATAATAACCAACAAACTACTTTTATATAAATTTGAAGGAATTTACACAATTACGAAATTTAAAATAATAGCACAATTATTGTAAAAAGGTAACTGAAAAGTAACGACTCGTTACTTTCTAAATAACTGTAACTGTAACATGTTATTTTTAAAGGTCAGTAACTTGTAACTGTAACTGGTTACTATTTCAGTGAAAAAAACTGTAACTAGATACTTTTACAAAGTAACTTTCTCAATCCTGATTTCAAGTATCTCATCAATTCGTATCTGCAAATCTATTGCAAGTTCACATCAAAGCAAGTAAGCATCAAATTTATTTGAAATACATTCTAGGTCCCTCCTCCTTCTAGCAAGTTCAATATTTCAATCGAGAATATTAAAATAAAAATTCAGTTTACTCGTCACATAGAATACAAATTTTGTGATATTCTTGAAAGAAAGTGAATTTTTCTTTTGATTACATGCTAATGAATTTTTTTAAAACTTGAATTTTTTTTAAACTTACGACGATTATTAAGGAAATATTTTCCGTTAAAGACAACTATTTGAAAGAAGAAAAATGAACGCAAGTATCCTTCGGGTAATGAGACCTGAACACTGAGATTCATCACACCCACACGTGCAAAATCCAATATGCGTCAAACGATGATGAATTAATCGATCAATTCCTCCATTTAACGAGTTAAACGTTAATCATATCACGCGAAATTATTTTCTAGCAGAGAGCAATATGCGTCATCACGTTGACTCGTGTTCTTTCTTTTTTCCTCGTGAGTTTTGTTTTTCATATCGATCATTATTTTTATATATATATATATGTCATGTGTGCACACACACACACACACACATACACACACACACACACACACACACTAGAACGATTTTCAATGCTTTATTATTTCCCGTCCCCCCAGCGGCTCTCGCGTTTTATGATTTTTTGATCGCAAATACGAGCGAGCAAACTCGTCTGATGCACACGGCCTTTCTAAGAGGTTGGAACGTATATTCTTAATACAATGCGCTTCGGTGAAAGTCCGAGCGATATTTATTAGACATAAGATCAATTTGACACAGACGCTAATCATTGTCTACAGCGTAACGCAGACATGGGAAGTACATGCTCGGCTATGTACGTACAGCTCGTGTTCCATTAAATATCCTTTCGTTGTAGCGCGACGAGAAAGATGTCAGATTCGACATTGATATCTTGGCGCGGCGTCCTGATTAGTCCTGACCGCTAGAAGCGAAGAAAAACTGATTTCTGCTGTTCACGTTGATGCATTCTCGCGATCTCAAGAACGCGAATGGCGGTTCACATCTTTAAAGAAGAACGATTTTAAAAAGAAATTGAGTTGATGAGCAATAGTAAAAATAACAAATAATTCGAAAAAGCTAACGGAGAGGAACGCGACTACTAAGGCTAGATGTTTTTCATGATTTATGACTGTACCATTTTATCTTGGGATAATTGAAGCGTAAGATTTTGTGAGAAGAGAGAGAGAGAGAGAGAGAGAGAGAGAGAGAGAGAGAGAGAGAGAGAGAGAGAGAGAGAGAGAGAGAGAGAGAGACTTTAGATATTAAGAAAAAGTCTTTGATGTGTATAAAACACATGTTTATTATTTATATCAGAGGATCGTGAAAACGGGAGGACGATGACCGAATAAGTTTTTATCATGGAAAATTCATTCCATATTCATAAGGGAATTCGCTTTCTAAGTTCGATACGAGAGTATTTCGCGATACACTTCGTACATCACGGCACAACTAACAGGCATAATTATCATTTGGTGAGCAGTGTTTGCCGCGCGAATTACGAGCAATTAGATAGCCACTGCACACGAGAAAATGTATCGCCGAGTTAATTGCTGGTTAATTATTCTTTCGCAATTTCTTGCCGAGAGAAAAGTAAGAATAAAGAACATTATGCGGTAGAATGAACAACACGATTTTGTTCTTTTGTTCTGTGTAACAACTATAAGAATTGCATTCATAACTTGCGACCTTAATTTTATTAAGAATTTCTCTGTGCAATTCGGAGCAATTTTTTCGCGGAATTTTCTCTCAGTGAGAATATCATTAGAGATTTTTAACTTTATAACATCCTGAAAACAAAAAATTGTTAGGGCCATCCTCATGAAGCATAAGGCCCCGATAAGGCTGAAAGTAGGATGTCCTAAAGACGGATGCCTCATTATTACCACATCAAGCTCCGAAATGGATCTTTTAGGGATATTTTAGATTTTACGAAATGGCTACGAAATAAGGCTTTGATAAGAAAAATGAGGGCTTTAGAAGGATTTATTAGGGAACGCCTTAGATTTTACGAAATAATGCTTTAACATAGAAAACTGATGTGGGCCTTAGAAGGATCTTTTAAGGATGCTTTAGATATACAAAATCAAGTTTTGTTATAGAAAATTAATAAGATCTGAAGCGTGCAATAAAATTGTCATAGTTTAGTATTGTTTTAGTAGGTATGTTCTAATTGGTTCTTTTAAAGATTTTTTAATTATACCGCAATTAAAAACAAATGTTATTAGTTTTATTAGTTGCCTAATAGTAGAGACTAATATTCATTAGTCTCTCACCAGAAAGATTTTTCTAGTATTGCCTTTGTTTTAAAATGCAACAAACTTTAATAAAAATAGTAACAGGATTTTTATGTGTAAAGAGTGCTATATTTTATTGTAAAGTATTGTATGCTATATCTTTAAAATAAAATATTCTTGTTGTATACTACCTTATTATAGCAAGATTATAAGGAAATAAAGAAATTACAGTTTAAATTTCATGGAGTGAAAAAATGAATATTTTTACTCAAGCAATAATAAAAAATATTGCTTTATAAGGCTCTGTTGATATTGTCTTATAAAGCTCTCATAATATTGCCTTATAAAGATCTGTTAAACCATTTGTTATACAGTCTGTAAAGTAAGAGCGTGCACGGGTTAATATATAGAAAAATTTATTTTTAATGATTTTTAAGTACATGGATTTGTTATACTCCATGAGAAGAAAAATGCTATACCATTAATAATGAGTCCAGTCACCACTGGCATCTCCGAGGCATACTTTCCACTAAGTTGACTGCGTATTCATTCGGTAAAGACCTCCAAATGAGACGAATTTGTCGTGTCAGCTGCTTCAAAGTGCACACTCTTTTTCCTCGAAGCTTGTGCTTGAGATATGCCCACACATTTTCAATGGGATTTGCATCTGGCGACTGCGATGGCCAATCAAGTGTGACGATGCCAGACTGCTCTTTCCACTCGGTGCAAAGCTTGCTCCGGTGTTTTGGGTCGTTGTCTTCCTGTAAGATCCAGTCCTCGTTTTTTTTTATGAAGCATCGTTCAGCAGTCGGCAACAAACACTTCTCATAAATTTTAAGCATTAAGATCGGGTTCCGCTTAAACAAATTCACAATTTTTTTTCCATATTCGGTGTCACTTTGCCTATCGAGCCACGTTCTGGCAAGTCATCGACATTTTTGATCTTCTTATATTGCTGAACCCACTTAGCGACGAACGATTTTGACTTTCCCATGTATATAGCAGCCACTGCATATGACATTTTTGGTCCTTTGGGGTGGGAACAAAGGAACACAGCGCGATGCGTATGCGGCACTTATGGCGGTTAACGTGTTTCTCAGGTTAGAGTTCGACGTCAACTGAATCTTTTGTGACAAAGCATTCACGACAAAGATTTCATCTATCGGCTCACAAAAAAACTAGGACGATATTTGAAGCCAACTGCCATTTATGTCGTGCACGTTCTTACTTTACAGACTGTATACCTTGTAGGGCCCTTGTTTTTTCATTCTTACTTTTTCTTCTCGGGATATATTTGTGACTGAAACTCGAGTTAAACATTTTTTTTAAACAACGCTCACTCTTGAAATGAATCGATGAAAGTAGTTCCGTCATCCATTCGATCGTTCAAAGCTTAGTTCGCGAGATGCCTCGGTATTTTCGTTGGAGAAAAATTAAGTTAAAAGTGATTTTCGAGAGAGAAAATTTCGCGTTAAAATTAAAGTCGCGAATTACGGGATGCTCTGTACAATTGCCACAAATGCTAGTAACATGATAAACATAAGGCAACATGAAGCAACGTGTAATTGAAATTCGCATGCGTTTTGCCCATTATCCTTGATCGCGATTGAGTTATCGCGGCATTATCGGGATCATATGCCCGGTGGATATCCGCACAGATTTCCGAGTCAGATCGATTGTCGAAGACATATAGATTTTATTTTCGTGTTCTTTTTAAACGAACGACTTAATAGATATCTCCGGCTTAGTTCGCGAGATGCCTCGGTGTTTTCGTTGGAGAAAAATTAAATCAAAAGCGATTTTCGAGAGAGAAAATTTCATGTTAAGATTAAAGTCGTGAATTACGGAGTGTCCTGTACGATTGCCATAAATGCTAGTAACATGATAAACATAAGGCAACGTATAATTGAAATTCGCATGCGTTTTGCCCATTACCCTTGATCGCGATTGAATTATCGCGGCATCGTTGGTATCATACGCCCGGTGGATATCCGCACAGATTCCCGTGTCAGATCGATTGTCGAAGATATAGATTTTATTTTGATCGGTCTTTTTTTTAAACGAACGACTTGATAGATATCTCCCGCGATTGTGCGCGCTATGCGAAGAAAAGAGAACTCGATTCGCCTGAAAGCGGTGCGCGGCGCGGCGCGGCACGGCGCGGCGCGGCGTGATGGTAACGGTGCCGTAAGATGGTAACACGCAGGAGAGTAGAACATCCGCGAGTTGCTGCGGGTGATGGACCGTGACGTTCTCACAGATAACTCACAGCTTCCGACATTCATTCGCGTTCTGGTTACGTCAAGTTATCTTTGAGGATAACTCGCCGAGAGGAGTGCCATTCTTATGTACTTGGCGCGGTCGAGCGTTCATTTTTCGAAAGAGGGCTGGCGCGCTATTCACTTAGGATCGATTCCTTTCCTAACGGAGCATAAGCGGTTCGCAACATCTTTTTCGAATCTCCGCCTCGTCAGACGAGATCCGCGCGCTATTGGCATGTCGCGAGGTATTATATTAGCAAAAAGGTTATTTACGCTGTTATTAACTCGCAATTAACGTTACGTATTATAACGTGCTGCTTTTTATTTGTTCCTGCGACTAAAAGTATGACAATGCCATGCCGAGTGAGTCATTTGCGTGTAAAGGTGTAACGATGAGCTATGTGTGCATATGCATATGTATTATCAGAGTGAGAAGCGTCGTGAAGATAGAAGTTAATTATCGCTGTTAAGATTAGACACTCTCAAGTATTTCAGAATCGCGTCTTGCTACATAACACTTAGCGAGAGATGTTTCACGAAAAAGAGGAAAAGAGAAAGAAGAGAAAATATAATTAACATCTTTCTCACACTGTAGGGGCCTCTGTCAGATTCTTCTTTATCGACTTGTAGTAGATCAGAACATCCTTCGCGTCTTTATCTGATTCTCCCGAGCTCCTGGATTCGCGACTATTTCAAAGATTGATAAATCGCCTCGTACCTGTTATTGCATGTGTGCAAAAAAGATGTATATTTGCTTGAAAATTATTTGTAGCGCTTCGTAAGTAGACATTCTAATAAGTAACGAATAAAGAGATTCCCGAGGTGAGAAGAGAAATATTGGGAGAGCGAGATAAAATACAATATCGTGTCATATAGTTTATTAAATTGCAATCAAATTAACACACGGAGAAAAATATCAGAAATATCCGATTGTTAATTTTGTTATCCGATCAAATATCCGATCAAATACACCGGATATTTGATCGGATAACGAAATTAACAATCGGATATTTCGAATATTTTTCTCAGTGCAAGTAATATCAAATTAATCAAGTAATATCGAGAAAGTCTTTGAAAATCGCCTCCTATATCTCGCTACCATATACAATGTATTCCCTGAACGATACTTTCAAAAAGATGATACTTTCAGAAGAGACAGATGTATTTATTATATACACAAAAGTTACGAGGATTATACAGCGATAAATGGAACACGCCCGTATAAGATTCTACGAAGAGAACACAAGAAGAAGAAAGAGTCTGTGCGAGATGAACGACACTACAGGTGAATCATACCACGAAGATACGAGACGATTACGTCGAACGTGATGTATATTATACAAAAATTCCATTTTATAGCACAAGTTGTTTCTCTTATTTCTACATGCTTCTGTACACACTTTTTACACTCGGATTCGCCAACATTACCAGAGAGATCGTACATGGCACGGTCGGATACACGACGAATCGAGGATATTGACTGATTTGTTATCGTTCGCTCGTCTCGAGACTTTGATACAGACAAATTAAATGTCGAATATATATCGTTTTTTATTCGCGAAAAGAAGAAAGAAAGAAAGAAAATCGCTCTTGAAAAGATGTCCGAAAAAGTACTCAAAGATTACAAAGTATATCCTGCATCATAATTGATAACCTGATGGGGGGGGGGGGGTGTCAGAAAAAGTGGGCAAATAATTCGCCTTCGTAAATTGGATCAGTTATGCGTATAAGATGCAAAATAGTAAAATGTCGATCGCTTAAGGAATATACACACGTGAGATAAGAATAGGGGTTTCCGATCAATTCCGTTCGCGGTTTAGTACAATAATATATAAGGGTTTCATAGTTGACTCTTAGATTATCTTAAGTTTGTCTTAAGATGCATTGTAATGACTACGAGGCATCTAAAGATGAACTTGAGACAATCTGAAATATAAAATCTATAAGATCGATAAGAGATATATGATCTGACTATAAATATCAGCTTCAAGTATTCTCGTTTGGGTCGGATGAAACCGAGTCGTCTTTCAAAATGATATAATGCACAAAATGAGAAAACGTTTGAAAGCTCGGTAATTCGAGTCGATCTACGGTCGGATCGCAGAATTTGTTACTGAACTAACACCTCGATAGCCCAAACACGCCTGTGCGTTGAGAACCTTTCGGAATTCAGAGCGGAATCAGATCGAGTCGAATCATACCGAGTCGAGATTTGTCGAGTGGTCGGTTTCAGGTATCCGCACATCCACGAATAAAAGTAATCATCCGTTAAAGCTAACATTGGTGGCAAATATCCTGGATCGCTGATGATTTCTTCATCGAATGAGACCGGGTGGAGGTGGCGATTCTAACACACGGTCTTACATGTCGTAAGTTATCTCGTCGAAACGATGGGAGGGTATGCAGTAACCGCTGTAAGTTTTAATCTCTAGAACGCCGGCGTAAGATCTCGCTGGTAAGGAGCCGGGATCCGTGTGTCGTCTGGGGCATCGGTGTCCTCCGGGACACTGACAGAGAGGCGAGGCGTTCACTTCTTCGAGCTGCGAGTTTCGTCTTTTGCGTACGGTGAACAGACGACAAGGCTCCTTGTGTTGGCATCGTAGTCTCTATAATTGGATAGCAAATTCGTGATAGACACATGACGAATACACATTTTCCGTTACTACCAGGTTATTTATATTTAATTAGCTTTGACTGATTGATCTTAGCGACTGAAGAGTGACGCGCGCGCGCGATACTTTACGAATTTAGATTTTTATAATGGAAAAAATATAAATATCGATTTCTTTTCTTTTGAGATAGGAAAATGTCAATCATTGTGTAGGTGGTGATTTGCGATTAAAAGGAACAAACATAAGTATCGTTACCATTGATACAACGATCCTAAGTACATTTCAGAAATCAAAGTATTTGTTCGGTGTTTCGGTTAATTTTCGCTATTTGCACTTAGATGGCTCCAGCTGCAAATGCAGCAAATTGTGACAGCTGGACTCATGCTGTATTAAAGATCAGATGTTTCTCAACAGAATTCAATCCACCAAGGATTATTTTTCCAAGCAGTGATATTGTTTTTAAATCAATTTAAAATGGAACGTGATAAATTATGTTTTTGATATGTTCTCCTCCACTACTTTGATAAAAAAAAAACTGCAGTTGAAGCACATCGAATATTAGTGGAAACTTATAGTGACTCTGCTCCATCAGAAACAATACGTAGATATTGGTTTTGACGATTTAAAAGTGTTGATTTTGATGTGAAGGACAAGGAATGTCCAGGTCAGCGAGAAAAGTTTGAAGACGCAGAATTGCAAGCATTATTGAACCAAAATCAATCTCAAACATTCAAGGAATTGGCTGAGGCTCTAAATGTTGCAGTTTCGACAGTTTCTGATCATTTGTATGCAATGGGAAAAATCCGAAAAAAAGGAAAATGGATGCCACATGAATTGACCGAAGCGAACATGCTGGACCGTGTATTCATCGCCACTGCTCTGATTACCAGGCAGAAAGAGAAGTTTTTTATACTGGCTTGTCACTGTTGATGAAAAGTGGATTCATTAAAAACGCAATATTCATGGTCATAAGACATTGCTCTATATTTGGTGGGATCAAGAAGATGTATATTATGAGCTCTTAAAACCGAATGAAACTTTTATGGCTGACCGACAGCAATTATACAGTTTGAAGTATTAAAAACGACCATAAATCACATACAACAAAGGAAAGTGATTCTTCACGACAATTCCCGGCCACATGTTGCAAAAGTCGTCAAGGAAACGCTGACAGAGCTCGAATGGGGAGGTTCTTCCGCATGCCGCGTATTTTCCAGATCTGGCCTCATCTGATTACCGCTTATTCCGTTTCATGCAGCATGGCCTTCAAGACATATGCTTTCGAAATTACGGAGAAGTTCGAAAGTGGGTAGAGGAATGGATTGCTTCAAAACCTGAGTCGTTCTATCGCCGCGGAATTCATCTCTTACCAGAAAGATGGGAGAAAGTAATACGAAATGATGGAAAATATTTCGATCGATTAATCGATTCATTTTGTAATTGAAACAAATATATTTTTCAAGTAAAAAACAGCGGAAATTAACCGAAACATCTAATATACATATAAGAAAGATAAAGTAAATCTCAAAGTAAAGAGCAAGCGCGCAATTTTTCTTTTTTCTTTTTTTTTCACGCGATATATCGTATTCTATCGTTATATCGACTTACGCTTTGCGGAGAGCAGGCGAAGGAGTAAATGAAACCTTGATTTCCATCCGATGATTTGTGAGGCTGTCTTCGTACTAGATACGGCACGCTACCTGGCCGACATCGGCAGTGAACTCGTTGCACCGTCGCGTTTCTCGGGCCACCTCCGGGTGCGAGTGTCCATGTAATATCTCTGTGTCGAAGAAGAAAGGTCAACCTATGTGCACTTGACTTTTACAAAATTAATTTTTGAATTTAGAAAATGTTTGGATTGCATCTGTATTTGTAACAGTAATTTTATTTGTAGCTTCGTCTGTTAAAAAATACAGAATTTTAAACAATTTGTACTTCGCTTTAAGAGAAAAGATTTCATCGATACATGTCGATAAAGAATTGTTTGTATGTTGTAATACTTTTTTGTTCCGTTTGTAGTCGAACCGTTTAAAAATTATAAACATTTGAACAAATGGTCGAGAATTAATTTTACAAATTTATAAAGATATTTCAAATCCGTTTACGTAATCTTCTTTAGAGTTTGTTTGTAGTTGTTTGTAGTTTTTTCCGTTTGTAGTTGCACCGTTCAAAAACTACAAACATTTAAACAAATAGCCAAGAATCAATTTTGTCTTTTATTGAAGTATCTCAAATTCTCATTAGAATTCTTTCCAGTTGTTTGCAGTTCTTCCCGTTTCGTTTGTAATTGCACTGTTCGAAAATTACAAACATTTAAACAAATTCTAAGAGTTAATTTTGCCATTTGTTTCGAGATATCTCAAATTTGCTTGTGCATTCCTTCTTACAATCGTCTATAGTTATCTGTAGTGCTTCCTTTTGCAGTCTAACAATTTCCAAGTTTAACAGTTTGTTAGCCAAGTCGCATAATATTGAAGCATTTTTTCCGATATTTCATTAACAACACATTACTCGATACTATATAGTCTATTTAACTATATTTAATATATTAATATTAATATACTATATTTAACATTTTAAAGAGGCGATTTTCCTCGAATTGCACGTCTGATAGTATGCGTGTATCAGTATCACAATTGCAAAAACTTAATTGTTAATTGTAATGTTAAATATTAATTATAATGTTAAATATTAACTGTACAATTACAAATGAGAGCACTACAAACAATCACAAACGATTTTAAAGAGAGCGAACGGTATTGAGATATCTCAAAAATAGCAAAATTAGTTGTTGGATGTTTGTTTAAATATTCGTAACTTTTGAACAATGCAACTACAAGTGGAACGGAAAGAATTACAAACAACTTTAAAAAGGATCGTGCAAGCGAATTTGGTATATCTATGCGAATAACAAAGTTAACTCTTATGACCAATTGTTTAAATATTTATAACATTTAAATAGTTCGACTACAAACAGAACTAGTACTACAAAATAAGTACGGAAAAAGTACTACAAAATACAAATAATTTTCTATCGATAACAATGAAACTTTTTCTTTTAATGTAAAGATTTTTTTTAATTCTGTGTTTCTAATGAATGAAGTTACAAACGAAATTATCATTATTATAAGCGACTGGAAGCAAAATACGATTATTTTCTATATTCAAAAGTTAATTTTGCAAAAGTCGAGTGCCAAGTTCACATAAGTGAAAAGTTAAAACGTTTCAATCGGAACGTGCACCAAATCGAGAAAAAAATGTTAGAGATTTATGAATAAAGACTTTTGTTTTTTTCTTTTTTATACTCCCTAAATTTTTTAGAATCAGAACTAACTCAAAATAAAATTAATGTCTTGTCATGTCAAGAGTAAATGTTTAACTCAAACTTAAAGTGAATTTTTATTAATCTATGCGAATCTTTATTTCTATAACATTAATGCATATCATTCAATTTATTTTTTAATTTCGAGTGAAAATATTCATTCGACTAAGCTACAATTCACTCTATATGAGAGAAAAGTCGAATAACTATTTTTTTCATGTAGATTTGCATGTCTGCACACTCACACACACATGCACACGCATTACTAGCTTACTAACTTCTCCGAAATACATAACTCCAAAAAATATGAACACAGGTCACACGCGCTATATAAGTAGTACAACATTTACGTCTGATTAGTTGAATTTCAAGCAATATACATACACATTTTTTAACACTTTCTGGCATTTTACTTTGATGTAAGAGGACATCGACCATATTTACTTCTTTATCACTATCTTTACCATCTTTTCTTCTGTCATCACTTATGTCAGACATGTGCAGATGTTTAATTCTCATATGTAATACATACTTTTCGCAGTTTAGTAGTGCAGTATACAAGGTGTCCAATTTTAATCCATCACCCTCGTAACTGTGCAGGGAGCGGTCGTAGAGAAAAATGATTCAACAAAAGTTATATGGTTTCAAGGGAGACATAAAACAACTATATCGGTTTGTTTACAAATGGCGCCACTTCCGAGATCATACATTTTTTTTAATTTGATGATTTTGAAATTTCCAAAAGATTAGTTAACAAAAATTAGGGCACTATTGTAACAATATATTCTTGAGATCAAGTACAGTAAAAAAGTCTAGTACTATTTTCTCTTCCGATAAATAATAGCTAGCGAGATATCGTAAGTCAAATATTGAAAAAGTTACCAAATTTTCCTTAAATATTTCAAAAAATATTAGGCAAATAAAAAAATGTTTCAGATAAAAGTTATTCAAATTAATTGGTAGAAAAAAAATAATATAATAAAAAATTGGAATTTTTATTTAAGAAAATTTAAGAAAAATAATGATCAGTAAATATCTCGAAAGTGGCGCTGTAAACAAAATGATATAATTGTTATATGTCCCCTTTATGAAACCATATAACTTTTGTCTGAAACATTTGTCCCTAAAATGTCGCGTTTACAAAAAAATCGGGTGATACGGGTGGTCTGTGATACCCTATATAAGGAAATTAGCAGTCTAGTTTGTAATATAGATGTCAGTGATTTGTATTCAATATTCAAAAAAATTTGGAAAATACAACAAACGATTAATTGGTACAAAAGAATCGAAGAATAGAGAGATCTAGAGATGCGAGAGTGAATGAATCCGATGAATAGAATCGATGGATAGGCTCGACAGAAGCAGACGTATCGTGATCCAACTAACTTGAAGTAACGACAGATAGGAAGTCGTTTCACAGGTTCGCAGAGCTTGTACCGCCGCATTTTATCGACGATCGTGTGTCCGTCGTCCCTATGAAGACTGCTGGGACAAGTACGACCGTCCGGACAACGACATTGTCTCTCGACCCACGGTGCACCATATAAATCCACCTTGCTACACACCTCGCTTTGGTCCACGCACTCCGGCAATTCCTTTTCGCTATCCTGCACAAACAAGCAAGTCGCGTCGTTTAATAATGAGATACATGACCCTCTCTCCCTCTGTCGCACGAAAATCAACTGAACAGAGTCACGTTTTTACTGTCTCGACTTGCTGCGAATAAATAATTCGAATTTCTGAGAATTTTCATCGCACGTCTGATTAATATAGTATATCCGCAGAGAAACGAAACGAGTTCTTGCCGTGAGATTAGCCTATCACCAGCGGCAGATATTACGTCAATTTGATTAAGACATTAGATATGATTAAGATTCCAGAAAATGACAATCAAATGATTTTAGAAATTGATGAATAAAAACGCGATTGAAGATGGATAGAAAATAATTTTGGAAATTTTAGAATAGAAAGAATTTTGGAATGAAAAAAATTAAATGATTTTAGATCTTTTAGATTTTAGATTTTAGATTTTAGAAATAAAATGTTCTTAAACGTTCCTAAAATTAGGAAAACTCTTCATTTTCATGCAGTAAACTATATTAGTGCAAATGAATTTTTGTAAACCCGATTAATTATTTGTTTTTTGTGTTCTTAAAGTGATTTTGACAATGGAGTTAATTAAATTATAAATAAATTATTTCCTGGAGTTTATTGGGTTTGTTGAGTCGCTAAATCTGAATTTGAGGTCAAAATTTTAAAATTCAGAATAGTGAATTCAATATAGCGGATCAAATATTCAAAAACTCGTTCGATTCATAAAAATTTTTATTAAAGGTTTTTCGAAACCACCATTTTGAATTCATGAATTTTTATTTTGAATTTGGGACGGCTCTAAAAATTTCGAAATTAAAATTTTGTATGCAAATTGAACGATTTTTAAAATTTTCGGGCCACAGAATAATCATTTTTAATTTCGTAATTTTACCCTTGGATTTGAATTCAACGACCCTAAAAACATAAAAATATAATGTTCTATTTTAATTGCTCCATTATAAGTTTTTTTTTTTAATGATATTTTTGTCAATAATTAACATCAATAATTTGAGTCACTCTTCTTTCCGTTATTAATAGGATCATTATTAAAGGATTAATCGCTTCTCATTGAAAAACCGTTACAAGGGACGCCATATGTGTATCTCCAACCGGATCCAAACCGCGATGGTACATCTTCCTGGATGCATCTTAAAACGATAACAGATGCATTACAGCGACACGATTAAGGTCGCGGTAATTGCATATTGTTGCGCAATAACGATCGTTGCGTAGCGATAATATCCCAGTGCATGTGAGTGCGTGTTTGTGTTTGTGCATACGATATCGCGCGCCACGAGTCCACAGGTAATGTTGATGAAATAAACGAGACGATTGCGCACAGACTCGTAACTAAAGTATATATCCGCTCTTTCTGCTGACGATACAAAGTCTGCTGTAACTGGACTATTTAGATGTTGCCAGTCCATTCATTGAGGCAATCGCGTACGTCCTGTCCGGCTATCGTCATCGACAGTGTTGACTACTACTGTAAGGCGACCACGGAATCGTGAAGTTGCCAACAAGTATTGTGTGCGCGCGCGTGCCCTTGTCGTAAGAGAACTCCGACCGAAGACCGTTTCGCCTTTGCCGTGGATGTTAGCGCCTCAATTTCACATTCGGACACGCGTTTGAACCGTCAACGCATCGGACGGCCCGGCGAAACGTTTGCGTTCCACAATGAATTTATAGCGACCCTGCTTAACCCCGTTGTGGTCATCATCATCGCGACGACCACAAGTGGTTGTTGCTGGCCGATCAGCCGCTTCCTCGAAGACGATATCTTCAATCGTGATCGTAGCGGTCTGCTCGCGTCAGCTCGCCACATGTCCGCAGATATTGCAGATTTCGAAAAATGGATCGCGCGTCGGCTAGTCACGCGTGCACATTCTGTTAACGTGCTATAATTATCGGAACGCGTGAGAGTGCGTGAGCTTGGGCAGTTAGAGCAACGTGCTGTTCAACGAAGAAACGTTCGAGGAAATGGCCTTCCGCTATTTTACCGTCGACTGTGAGTATTCGACTTTTTGCCACAGCCATCCGTTCATCTCGTTTGTCTTTTTATCGCACCCGCCGTGGCTTCTATTACTACTACTACTATTACTGCTATCACTATTACCGCCACTATCACTACAAGTACCACTACTACTATTCACTGTTACTACTACTACTACTGTAGCTGCTCTACGACCACGGTTACTAGTATCATCTACTACGACACAACGGATCGCGCGAATAGCTTCTTACAGAGGAAAATCCCCTGCAAGATCTCGTTCCCTCGAGTATCCGTTCGTCTTTGTTGTACACGCTTGTATTTTATTCCATATCCACATGTATTTTATGTTTTATCTAATAGTTTTTTATGAGAGGGAGAAGAAGAAAAAGAAAACATTCATTTCTTTTTTTAATGTACATGCTTTTAAATCTTTTTTAATGAGTGTATACGTATCATCTTCTTTCTCTTCGCAATTTCGCATTGTTATACAGTGAACAACGAATATGTATTTTTTTATCCAATGTCACACGTGTGAAGCATTTCGTAATGCAGCACATTGTCCACGACTGAGACATATATTTTAATTGTAGAAGAAAACGTAATCTCCCGAATGTTCTTTGCTCGTCTTGATGACGACTCGCGCAGTATGGCTTGTTTCATATCAATGTTCGATCTTTCGATTATTAATCACATTTGTCCGCGTTATTCTTTTCTGTGTGCTCCTTTGCATCTCTTTATTCTGCTTTCAATGTGAGCGAGAAAGAAAGGGACGAGGAGATAGCGAAGGAAGTTTTTGAAGCTAACATAGCGGTAGTATTCTCTCTCTCTCTCTCTCTCTCTCTCTCTCCTCTCCTCCTCCTCCTCCTCCTCTCTCTCTCTCACACACACACACGCGCGCGCGCGCACGCACGTACAGAAAGAGGGGGGAGGGAGGGGGGGAGGGGAGGGGGGGGGGAGAGAGAGAGAGAGAGAGAGAGAGAGAGAACTGTGCTAAACTAAAATGGGATAATAGAGGGACCGGAAGGGCGCTGTACACCATCCGGAAGTTCTCACGCGTCTCTCGCTTCTCGCATGGCCGCAATGAAAATGACACCTGGCACTCGGAATGGAGATACTATACGAAGGCAAGGAGAGGTAGCTGCTAGGCGACGACGAGGAGCGATGATGAAGAAAGGTGCAAGACGAGGAACGAACTACGAAACAAAAGAAAGAGAGTCAGAGAGAGATGGAGCGAGAGAAAAAATGGAGGGAGCGGAGAAAACGAGAGAGAGGGGGGGAGAGAAGAGGGGAGGAGAGCTGAAACATGTCGTGTGTATACCGTCAATACGTAGGTGTTTACAGCAATGACAGTAACAGGTTCGAGCATCGAGTGGGCACCGCTCTTTGCTAACGGCTACGTTTTCCTCTCCTCTATTTCCTGCGCCTGTAAGCGGACGATTTAGCTTCGAATCTGCTGGGAATGTTACCCGAGTATATGAAATCTCGCGCGTGCGCATATATATCTCGCTACATAACACATACACAAAGCGGGGAGGGGGGAGAGAGAGAGAGAGAGAGAGAGAGAGAGAGAGAGAGAGAGAGAGAGAGAGAGAGAGAGAGAGAGCATATATATCGGAGCGTATGGCTGAATTGTCTGCAAAACTAAAGCGCGGTCACCTGTTTCACGAAAGAAAATCGATGTCGCTCTTGAAACAGGATCCCTTGCCTCGCCGAAGTGGTCGATGGAATTTTCAAATTTCACACATAGCGAGCAGAAATATTCGCGAGACAAGCGAAAAGTGCGCGTTCAGTACCAGAGAAGTAGTACGAAGCGGTACGAAATAGTAAGATAATATGGAACACACATTCATCGTGGGTTGTTGCGACGGAAACTGAGTCGCTGAATATTCAAACGTTTCCCGGGGTTCTGTTTTAGACGCATGTTGGGCGCCAGATACGTCCTTTCGATTTTCAAAAACTAAAACTAGCGTCGTGAGAAGGGAAATTCGTATGAAGGGAAAATTGAATTAAAACTTGAATTTATTCTAAGACAATATTTGAAATGAAAAAGATTCAATTCAAGGCCGTTGTTGTTCCCGTTCCAAAAAGAGTCCTGGGAAGTGACCTGAACATTTTAGGTAATTCGGAAAGCTCGAAACGAGAATCGTTCGCGTGAAGCATCGACGAACTTCCGTCGGCGGAAACTCGACGTGTCGCTTTCTTACTTGAAACCGACGCGAAGAATGCTCAAATTGCGAATAGAACGACATCAATATCGGCAACTTTTATTCGCGCGCAGCTGTGTCGAAGAGCGCATCGCCTTCTCTCTTCGTTCCTTCAAATACAAACGCTGTACACGCGCGCTCGACTTCAAAGAAGTACACTAAAAAAAATCTATTTATAAAGTGATTTTTCCTATAATCTCATATTCTAAGCGAAGCCTTTTATAGAAAAAGGATTCCTCTTTCCATAAAGCGATTAAAAGGAATCATTCATCTATAAAATTTATTAGATATTATTCTAACTTATTTCAAGAGGATTTCCTCTTATATCAATTAATTTTCCTCTTATATGAGGAGGAATATGTCGGCTCCTTTTTTTCAGTTATGCTCTACCTCCAGACATGAACAAAAAAATAACCATATGCTCATGGGTCACGATATTTGGAACGCTTTTTTAAAAAATATGTGTTGCTATAACATATAACGAAGATAATTTACTCATATTTGGTCAAATACAGTTTATAATCTAATGCAAAAAATTGAATAATATATTTTTTCTTTTAATTATATTTTATATAATTAGTTATGTTGAGCATGTTTATAGCTATGAAGTCCATAACAAAACTGATTGGAAATTTATTTGTTATGATGATCTTATTTCATTCGTGCCTATTTATTGTAGAACTGGAACCATAAGTACATCTATATATATATTACTTTTCGCTATATATTATAATAATTTTTTCAAATTAACTAGCCACCAAATTAGTCACTAGCCAATTAATTAACCAGTAAGAATAAAGTACAGTAAGAATAAATAATAATCCTTTTAAAAAAAGATTAAATAATCTGTGTATAAGAGGAAATTTACGTTAAATTTATGTTAAAATCAATAAGATTTGCATTATATATACAGGGTGCACGATTTATCTGAAGACATTGAAATATCTCGAGAACTATGCATTGGATAAAAAAAAGTGGTTAATGAAAGTTGTTAGTCTCGAAGGGGGACATCCAATGATACCAAACTCGACCTCCCACCCCACTCCCTGGGGGTGGGGGTTGGGGGCAACTTTGAAATATTAAATGGAAATCCCCATTTTTTATTGCAGATACGGATTCTACGCCACAAAATACGTAAATTTTGTCCGAAACTTTTTTTTTATTCGTGATAGATGGCGTTGTAATCGCAAAAAATTATATTTTCCGCAATTCTCCAAAAATGATCATTGGATTGGGAAATAAAAAATACCTGTTCAATATTTTTAAAGAACATAATAAAAGTTATTCCTCCCCCATCCTCTCGGGGTAGGGTGGGTGGTAACGTTCAAATCTCAAATAGGAACCCGAATCGAAGAGGGAACTGCTCGACGCGCCACTGTGGATGTATGGCGAACTACGGCTTATTATAAAAGGCAGTGCAATGCTATCTATCACGAATGAAAAAAATTGTTTCAATAAAAATTTCACGTACAATCTAATTCTGCAATGAAAAATGTGGGTCCGCATTTGAGATTTGAACGTTATCACCCACCCTACCCCGAGAGGATGGGGGGGGAATAACTTTTATTATGTTCTTTAAAAATATTGAACAGGTATTTTTTATTTCTCAATCCAATGATCATTTCTGGAGAATTGCGGAAAATATAATTTTTTGCGATTACAGCGCCATCTATCACGAATCAAAAAAAAAGTTTCGGACAAAATTTACGTATTTTGTGACGTAGAACCCGTATCTGCAATAAAAAATGGGGGTTTCCATTTAAGATTTCAAAGTTGCCCCCAACCCCCACCCCCAGGGGGTGGGGTGGGAGGTCGAGTTTGGTATCATTGGATGTCCCCCTTCGAGACTAACAACTTTCATTAACCACTTTTCTTTATCCAATGCATAGTTCTCGAGATATTTCAATGTCTTCAGATAAATCGTGCACCCTGTATATATATATATATATATATATATATATATATATAACATATAATCCTTCTAACTTTAAAAATAATGTGTTTATAATATTTTCCTCTTAATCTTAGAGGAATGCTCTTGAAGCCATATATAAGAATAAAATCCTCTAAAATTTAGATGATTCTGTTTGTTCTGAGATTATTTTTTTTTGGTGTGTTAATACAAATACAATACATGTACAATATAATATAGGTCAGACCACCGCTGGTTTAGATATCGACCCGCACTTAGACCAACGCAATGGGAGCGACTTAAGAGAATCGAACACTGAAAAAATTGTGTTCTTAATATAAGAAAATTTGATATTTTTTAAGCTTTCTTAACAAATATTCTTAATCTATAAGAATATTTTCTTCTTTTTATCGATATGTCTAGAATACATATTAAAATTAAGAATATACTCTTTTAAAATAACTGCCTAGCAAGAAACAAGTCGTCGACCGATCATTAAGAAGGAAACACTCTTACATAAAGGCATGATACACAATAAAGAAAGGAACCAGGAAACAGAATCCTCATATCTATTGCCATGTTTGAAATGAAAGACTGATTAGTTCATTTCCTTATGCATTATGCTTTTATGCAAAAGTGTGTGCTTTTTTTTTTATCTCAAAAACAACTTTCGCAGTATAATTATATGTAATAGATCAAAGGCAAATAAAAACCAACATTGAAATCGGATTGCAACTTTAAAATTGCATTAAAAATGTAACATTACAAGAGGATTAATAGTACAAGAGGTTAATTAATTAAATATTACAAATTGGGAATTAGAATCAGTTCGATGCAGAAAGTGTATACACGGTGAATCAACTTTCCGCGTCGAGCAGACTCTGATTCCTAATTTTTAATATTAAATTAATTAACCCCCCTTAATTTTTTGTGACATTACATTTTTTAATTTCATTTTAAAGTTGCGATCTGATAGCAGCGTTGGCTTTTACTTACTTTGATCTATCGCATATGGTTGTATTAATATTTATATACATTAAGAATATCCGTTAAGATTATTTCTTAAAAATATCTAGTACTAACACATTCTTAAGAAGATTCTTCTCTTAAGTTAAGAAAATGTTCTTGGTGCCTATTTTAGAAAAAATTATTAAAATTATTAAAATTATCCTAAACATAAGTGGGAAATCCTTAAAATAAGAATACAATTTTTTCGGTGAAGGAGAGGACGAAAGTCCACCCAGTTGGGATTTTTATCACACGATAAAAATCAAAACTTTACCCATACACGATCGACTTACCCCGATTTGATACAGCACTCTAGGCTCCTCATGCATCAATCGGTGCTTCCTGTTGCGATTGATCAGGTCGATCCGAACGGTCGCCTCGTCGAATTCCTGCAATTCGGCGAGGTACTTGCTCTCGTCGAAGAACAGATACTCGTTGAGGTACTCGTCGTCGGTCTCCTCGAACGGCGCGAACAGTTCGCATTGACTATGACGGACGACACCGACGATCGCCAGAGTGTACAGCAGATTCTGTATCATTTTGCCGGTCATCTCCCGTGTATTCGTGCGTTCGTGCGTGCGTGCGTGCATGCGCGCGCGTGTGTGTGCTGTGTATATGTATGTATGGCGTGCGTGCGTGCGTGCGTGCGTGCGTGCGTGCGTGCGTGCGTGCGTGCGTGCGTGCGTGCGTGCGTGCGCGCGCGCGCGCGCGCGCGCGCGGGTGTATGTGTGTGTGTGTGCACGGAGGTGACCTTTATATTATTCCTTTATATTCTGATAATTAGTATCGGTCCCGCGACGGGATCGGTTGATCGGTCGGCGGTCGCTTGTGTTACGCGCGGAGGAAACGCGTCGCTGTTAGGTGTTACTCAAACTGGTAGGGAGGAGGAGAGTACAATAAAAAGAATGGAAGGGATTCAACGATACATTCACCACGAGTCTTATTCGCACGACAAGGCGAAACGAGCAAGAGGAAGTTTGTAAGGAGAATATTCATAGTACTCAAATACCAAAGACGGCAAGATACTGCCACGAGATCAGAAAAGAGCGATAGGCCTAAAGATACGAGTATTTTCTCGCCCTTGGTCGACTACTTGAAGTCCATCTTCGCAATTTTCGAGCGTCTCGACGGGCGATCAATCCTGTCGACCGATAGGAGACACCCTTAGCGGTTTGATCGATGCGAATCGCAATGGGTTTTCGGATCAGACTTTCCGCTCGCCGATGAAATCACGCAGTCTTCCTTTCAGTCGCGCGATGTGTGTATGTGTGTTTGTGCATGTGTCTCTCTCTCTCTCTCTCTCTCTCTCTCTCTGTGTGTGTGTGTGTGTGTGTGTGTGTGTGTGTGTGTGTGTGTGTGTGTGTGTGTGTGTGTGTGTGTGTGTGACGATAAGCTCTTTTCTCGTGTTTTCTCTTTACCGAGACCTTGCGTCACAGTCCCACCTCATCTTTCTTTCGCGCTTGTCTGACTACCGTTCGGTTTCCCCGATCGACAAACTCTCGAGAGGATAATCGATTTGGACCTAGGCCCCTTAGTCTCAAATCAATAGAGCGTGTCGCACTCGCGCACTCTCGCGTACTGAATCGTCGGTCGAATTATATTTCTCGTATTGATTTGTCAATTGATCGAATGATCGAGAGAGAGAGAGAGGGGGGGGGGAGAGAGAGAGGGAGAGAGAGAGAACGGTTGCTCTCTGCAGTTTTTCCCGTTTGAAAACCGCGAGGCTCTTGTCTCCGTTGTTGTCGTTGTCGAAAACGGCAAGAACAGATCGATCTGCGCGCGGAGGTTACGAGTGAAACAGAATATCGACAATATTACGACGAGATCAACCTATGCGAAGGTATGCCGTCCGCTCGACTGGACTCTTAAGAGCCAGAAGTAAAGCATGAATGGATGTCCCCACCCCTCCGCCCTTCTCCTGCCTCCGCTCATTCTTGCGACTACTCCTGTCTCCCCACCCTTTTTGTCTCTTACGTCATCCCCACCACTCTCACCCACCAGCCTCTCTATCTATTTATCTCTCATCCGAATGTTTTCATCGTTTCCGCTGGTAACAGTCGTTCTCGGGACACATCGTTACCGTTTGCCCGTTGTCCTTGCAATCGTATCCTCTCTACCCTCGGCTTCTCTGGAGCGCACTTCGCTCCGTTCCAAGAGCGTTTTAACGGGTGTCTTACTCTTTCTCCGGAGGTCAACCGGAGGTTTGCATTCTTCTGTTTTATCGCCGTCGAGTCGTAGCGAGTTGCCGAGAGAATCGCTAGTCGGCATATTTCGGACTTGTGCTTTCTACAGAATGATTTGCTTGCGCGATCTTCCATTTCCTTCGTTTTTCTTTTAACGAGTGCCTGCCTACTCCTTCCATGAACGACTCGCATTTTTTTCCTCGTATATCTTCCAGTTGTATTCTCGCCTGAAAATCTCTCCTTCGTTGTTGTCACGTTTTCATCCATTCAGCTCACATCTGCTGGCAAGAGGCGAATACACAGTTATATTTTCCGCAAAAGCTGCGGAAAAGCTTCCGGAAAAGCTGCATCGAGGCATCGTTGCGCTCATTGATCGAATAGGGAGCGAATCGCTTCACCGCGGCAATAGCGCGCATTCTCTCGAAAGATTGAAGACAAAGGTTCGTAACGATAATTGTTTTTGGTTCGGTTGCAGGAAAATTATACGCAGTGTTCGGTAAGAGACAAGGCCGTGTCATCTCCGCGGACAGTGCTCACGGCTTCGGTGGGCATTTTAGAGTATTGGCTGTCCTACCTGTCCAGGAAAGTTTCCACCTTGCGAGAGAATTGCGCACACAAACATCCGGATTGGCCAGTCCACAGCTAGTTTTTAGTCACTGGGAGGTAAGTTATCGGGCGTATTTTGTGACCTTCCACGGATTTTTCTTAGTACTCGGTAGTCTCCAGGCGATAGGACGATCTTAATCTCGGAATAGAGTTTAAAAATTCTTTGAATCTTTTGGATATATTCGCAACGGTTCTTCGTAGCTACTTCAACTGTAAAGTCCATTTATGCGGCGTACACATTTTAGACAAACAAGAACTATTTATTTTTTGCTTGAATAAATATCTTCCAAGTGTTAATATCTTTAACGGTCGTTGAATCACGTTTAAAGTGAAAAATTAGCTTCTAAGTTTCTTAAGTCTTTAAAATTTTTTGAATTTTGCATCTGCAACGATTCTTTATTTTTTAACTTTTTAGTTGTTTCAACTGCAACTAGTTTATATGATAATATAAAACTAGTTTATATAATGTTATTATAAGGAAAAAACATTTTAAATTCTTCTATTCTAGTTTCTCGATAGTATCCATAAAAAGGATTCTCCCTCTTTTGAATAGTTTCTTCTTAGTAGTAAAGTTAGAAGTAATGTCACTGGAATTTTGACATTGGTTTTATTCGTTTACTCAAAGTCATCTTTACGTTACAGATTATCGAACAGGATCCTTATTGGGTACCGTCTACAGAGGAGGAATATCTTCATTTCGGTGAGAAGGCGGACTGCGCTAATGGAGCGAAGAGTTACATGGATGCAGTTCGTCGAAGGAAAGGCCTTCCCGTAGATTCCCAATTGGTCACACATGCCGAAAAACAACGCACACTCTCCAAAAATAAGTGATATAGAATCCTACACCGCGGGTTGTATTTATTAGAGAGAATTTCTACTTGCAACTAGACAAAGCACAGGACAAGGACAAGAATAAGGAAAAGGATATCAGGTGTTTATATTTGCCATCATCATATTATGGAATAACATGTCAACATGTCAAAACACTTTGAGCATTGGCGACATGAATTAATGTTTCTCTGTAACCAACGCTTATGGACGTCGGTCCTCAAAGTGTTCATTCTCAATTGTTACAATAAATCATGTCTTGCCGTGTAACGCAAAACTTGAAAGTGCATTTGTATATATTTCATTTCATTTCCTTTCCTTTTCGATGAAAAATGTTCGATCAAAATATCAGGGACTAATTACGTATACAAATTGCATTAGATTAGAATATATATATATATATATATATTCATAACGCATTATATATGTAAATAAGGTAAGTTTCGAGGGTCGATTGAATTACTAACAACGTACGTTCTGGCTTACTATGCATACATTCGCAACTCATGAATTAACCTGATATCTAATCTAGAATATCGCATGCAAATTAAAAAATCTCATTTTGAAGGCTTTGGTCAGCCTAAGAGTATCGAGCATCCTTATACTTTTCTAGTGTGTATACTTTTCTACCTTATATTTTTCTAGTGTGTATAAAGAATCAAATATTGCTTTAAATAGCCATATCCAATGAATTACCAGGTTATATACTTTGGTAATTGTTATTTATAACCAACTCTGTTTATTAGAATATATAAACCGACCTGAGATGAGTTTAACTTTAACTACTTACCCCCAAAATATATTCACGTGGCAAGCCTCATAGAGATCGAAATAAACATATCCAAATCCATTGTAATGAATATTGATAATGACGCAGAATAGCCTGTTCATGAAGGTTCCAACAATTTCAACGAAAATGATAACCTAATTCTAAATTGAAATCAATCACAGAACTGAAGCGATTCCTATTAGAAAGAAGATCCTGGAAAACTCAATGCAGTAAACGAGTAAATAATAGTTATAATACTGCTAATGATAGAGATGATTCAGATAAAGTCGACAGCTATAACGTGAGTATCTGTAAAAAAAGGCTTAATTTAAATTATGATAATAATCTATATAAGCACCGGAATAATGAAAATGCTTCATTTAAAAAATTATATAAATATATTCCTGGAACTTTACTTCAGCTAAGAATAGATAAAATTTTAATAGTCTTTTAATAGTTCTTACATACTATATTCTGAAAGGACCTCTTCTCTCGATAATGACTTTATATCAATATCTCAATGCAATAAATCTGAATAACTTCTATATTCCCAACTTCAAAATATTCTAACATAATCATCTAACATAATATCTAAAATATTTTAAGATAGTCATTAAAGGGATCAATAATTCTGATATTAATACAAGGATTCATTTTTAATAATCTTGATAATTCATTTTTAATAATCTTGATAATCAGAGCTTTTTGATCTGGTCTGGATTAAGCTTATCTCAATTTCCAAATCTCAAAAGAGTCTATAATAAAAATAATCTCACAAATTGTACGTTAATACTAATACCACATCAGTAATGATCTAATTAACAATAATCGCCATATTTGATTATACTTTAACATCAAAAATAATCTTGCTTTTGGAAAAGACGATATTTTTAACTTTTTACTTAAAAAGTTAGATGGGATTACTGCTAGAAATATGGAGATACCACCAAAATCTGTCGTAACAGCAATTCTTCTCAGATTTATGAGAATTGTCGTGGTATTAATCATGATCAGAATAATTGTGAAAACATTACATTGCATTACATATGGATGCATCAACTGTGTTAAAGAAAAATATATATAAATAAAATGGAGATCGTAAAGCATTTAATCCCATGTATCCACAATCCCAGTAAACACAAAGTATTATTGATATTACAATGTCAGCTAAATTGATATGTTACGTAACTGATACTTTGTTATATAACAAAGCAACTATTATGTAACATACTATATGATTTAGCTGACATTGTAACATCGATGATACTTCGTGTTTACTGGGATCTCATATACTTAATTTTTCTTCAGAGGGAAATAAAATAAAAATAATCATGGGAATATTGTCTTAGCCACAAAAAGATAGTAGATTATATCAAGATACATGGCATAAAGGAGATAAAGACAGAAGGGGTTAGAACTTGTCAATGGGTTCCCCCCTCCTTCCTACATTGTTCTATTATCTTCTTTCTAATATTCCCTTGACCAATCTGTTAGGAAAAAAGAATAACTATGAAATTCATTATCTCCTAACTAAAAGTTCAAAAGATTTTAATTCAATATATCCTCAATCAATATCAATCAAATATCTTTCTCAAATTGAAACTTTTATTTCTTTTTATTTCTTTCATTCGAATTTCCTCCCATCCTCCACGATATTTCTTTACTCTCTAACTCTTAAGCCCGTATCAGACTACCGACTGCAGATGCCGACTCGACTGCCGACTACGACTGCCGACTCGTCGGTTGATCACACTTGTCGACGACTGATGACGTTTCCGCCGACTGATCATACTAGTGACGCCTGATAGAAGAAAATAAGTGATTAGTTAAAAAAAATGCCACATATGACAAAAAATGTAAAACTGCAAACTATAAAAAGAAAAAGAAATTGCCGCACTGTCATTATTTATTATAATGAACGAACTTTCGGTTGATAAACAGCAAAGATCAACATGGATGAAATCGTGGGTAGCAAGAAGACAGGAACAAGGAATGCACCACAATCTTTTTGTAGAATTATGTTTAGAAGATCCATACAAATTTCACAGGTATTGTAAAACCCAAAAAATACGAGGTTCTAAGTATTAATGAGGAAAATAAACGTAACATAATATTTGTAATGTCTTTATGTTTCATATTATCTTTAAACAGATGCCTAAGGATGGATACTGCTACCTTTGAGGAGCTTCTTCACAAAATTGCACCTTCAATTATAAAACAAGACACTCATTTGAGAAAAAGTATACCATCAGCAGAAAGATTGTCCCTTACTTTGAGACACATTGCCACAGGTATTATCTCTGTAAATTATAATATATATAATTAGAGATTCATCATACTCTTTATGTGTATGTATATATATGTATATATGTATGGTTATTTACTATCCTATCTCTGTTTAGGTGAAACCTTTAATTAAAAAAAAAAAAAAACTTTTTGTTAAAACTTTTTATTAAGGTTATTTACTATCCTATATCTGTTTAGGTGAAACTTTTAATTAAAAAAAAAAAACTTTATTAAAACTTTTTATTAAGGGCATTTTTCTAACCTCTTGGTAAGTTAACTAACAGTTAAATTATATATCTGTCTTTGTTTAATTCAAAAGAAAAACAATGAGAGACATATAATTTAACTATCAGTTAATTAATCAAGCGGTTGGAAAAATCAGCTCTAAAAAACCAAATAAATTAATTAAATCCGAACTATCGTGATTGGCTACGACCCAAGTCGCCGACTCAAAAAATAGACTGAAGTCTAAACGCGAGTCGGTCGATCCAGTCAGTCGGCGCTTCACTGTGATTGGTCCATTGAGAGTCGGCAGTCGGGTCGGCGTCTGCAGTCGGTAATCTGATACGGGCTTTACGGAACAAATTGAAATCAGGCCTATTCGTTTTATCTGCACTGCTGAACTGGTGCAACAAGTTGAAGTGAGAAAACCTACGTTTGTCTCACTTTAACTTAATGCATCAGTTCAGCAGTGCAGACAAAACAAACAGGCCTATTGAGTGCTAATATTCAACTGAATGTAAACAGAAAAAATATTTGAATGTTCCCATACAGCATAAAAGTTGCAACAACATTACTGCAACGTTGCAACAATGTTGCAATATTGCAGCAACGTTGCGACAAAGTTGCTGTAACTTTTGTGCTGGATGGGTTTTTTCCGTAAAAGTAACTCTTCCAATCTGAAAATCTCGTTCAATCATCCTCAGTTTTTCCGCTCATTTTCATTCTTTCCAATTTAAATACTGCAATTTTTCTTCTTCTATCTTTCAAAAAAAATCAGAATAAAAAATCAAAATCGCCAACGCATATATATTCCAAAAAATGAAACTAATAATTTCTTTATAAAAAGACTGGTGTCAAAAAATATTTCTAATTATTATTTAAATTTAAAGGAACAAATTTTTTTAAAGTTTCCTGATTAGAATACCCACTTCACTGCTTTACTTATTTCTCGACTTCTATGAAAAAGTAATTTATGGAATTCAGATTAATACTATCATCAAGCATATTGTCTTATTGATGCAATGTCGGTTCCTCTTTCTCCAGGAGGCAACATCCCTTATGAAAAAAAACTACAAGAATACGAAAAAATTAAGATTAACGTTTCAAATTTTAAAAGCAGACTTGTTGGAATTATTTTTATTGATATAACAGTCGTATGAAAATATAGAAAAGTATTTTTTTTCTAATTGTTTACTGATAATATCTTAGAGAGATTTGTGAACTTAAAAAAACAAAAAAGCGATTCCTTTTATTTCCGAAAAAGAGAATATCAGTTGGATCAATTATATTAATCAAAAGAGAAAAAACATTAAACAAACCAACTTTACACTTAACTCTATAGAACAAAATACTCCTTATTAAAATTAAGATATCACAAATCTCTCCAAGATATCATCAGTAAGTCATTAGAAAAAAAAACATTTTTTTATACTTTCATACGACTGTTGTATCAAAAGTAATTCCAACAAGTCTTTTAAAATTGGACAAGATTTGAAACGATAGTCTTAATTTTTTCATATTCTTGTAGTTTTTTTTCATAAGGGATGTTGCCTTCTGGAGAAATCCAGGTAGAACATAGAAGTCATAATGATATCATAATGATGTCAATATGACTTTATTTGTCACTTAAACGTCACTGACAATAAATGACACAAGAATGATATAAAAATGGTAAAAGTATATATGCTGCATTATAAATATAAACACTTTAAAATAATCATTTTAGTTTCTGAAATATTGATATCGCTTGACTATATTGTTACAGTTGTGTTAACAATAGAATAAACAAATATAAGTAATATGTAAGAAAGATGATGACATTGTGACCAAATCTTTGAATTTCATTTATTTCTTATCCATACATATACAAATACATGTATAAATACATATACAAATACATATACATGTCCAAAAAACATTTTAGAAATATGATATCTCTAAAATGTTTTTCAGACATTGCATATGTATGGGTATAAGCTATATTATCATTTAAACAAAAAATCACAATTTCAAAATGAATAACAAAAGACTATAAAAACTCACTTTGTAATCATGATTAGATCATTTTCTTGTCATTTTGACGTTACTTTGATGTTATTGTAACTTTCTATTATTTTAATGTACAATTCTAAAAGTCACCATAACATAATTTCAATGTCAAAAAAACATCACCAAACCATCATGAAAACTATATCGAATGACATCATCCTGATTTGTCTTAAAATGACTTTTTTTTATATCATAATTATATTATTATGATTTTTTATTCTACCTGGGAATTAGGAAACTGCTTTATCACAGGGTACTAACTCATTCGAAAACATTCATTCATTACACTCAAATAATAACCCAGACGGCACATAATCTCCTGGGGACGTCCTGTGGACGTCCTGAGGATGAAGAAACGTCCCCAGGACGTCCTTAAGACGTACGGTCGCGGACATAATAGTTTATGCCCGTTTTTTTGCAACTTCGGAACGCATCCCGACTCGAGAAGAATGAGAGTCACTGCTCCACCTGCGGAGCACGTCTGCGCAGTGACTCATAACGAAAGGCGAGAAATGAAATATACGCGGTAGGACATATTATAATAATACAGACTCAGATGAAATGAATACAGCATTAAATGGAAATGAGGGAACACTGAACAGAATCATCCGATGTAAAGCCAGCGGCACACGGTGCTTGTTTTCGTGCTAGATTGCTTGCTGGATGAAAATACTGCGTTCTGATTGGTACATTTCCGAAGATGGATGGAAATGCACCAATCAGAACGCAGTATTTTCATCTAGCAAGCAATCCAGCACGAAACAAGCACCGTATGCCGCTGGCTTTATACTCCGGGGGACATCCGAAAAAGGTAAAGATAAATAAACATGTTTATGTTTTTAAAACAATACGAATTTAATTAAGAGAATTAAGCTACATTACGATAATCACGATTCTATTATACATTTATATGTGATTTATTGTTTCAGCAACAGCCATCTTCTATAGCAGAAAAGCAATGATATTAAGCCAGCGGCACACGGTGCTTGTTTTCGTGCTGGATTGCTTGCTGGATGAAAATACTGCGTTCTGATTAGTGCATTTCCATCCATCTTCAGAAATGTACCAATCAGAATGCAGTATTTTCATCCAACAAGCAATCCAGCTCGAAACAAGCACCGTGTGCCGCTGGCTTTAGATACAGAAGCAGCTGTTATAGCGAATTTTGAATTTTTGGGACATACAGGCATGGACATGGAAGAGGAAGGAGATGGAGAGGATAAAATTTATGATGCAAATACGGATACCAAACCAAATAAAGTAATGTTTACTATCATCTTGCATTTTAATGATATTGTTCACGCTATTTGTTAACATAATTTCTTATTTTTCAGGCATCTCTTCGTTTCTGCTCTTCTTTTCATATCTTCTTCATTATATTTTTCTTTATTCTTCTCAAAAACATATTTTGCCATGTGCGCATGTGATTACAAGATGTAAAAATATTTCCATGTATCAATATATCTTCTCATATATAGACATAATAGAATGGATACAAATTATGAAGCTCTTTCTCTCTCGAGAGGGTTTTTTTCCTTATATTTTTATGTAATATGAAAAGATCGTGATGACCGTAACTAGACCAGAACGGATATCAGAATATCAAAATACATGTTGAACCTCGAAGTAGCCAGGGTAAGCGGATTGCCGCCAATACCTTCGCTAGCTTTGTGCATATTCTCTCAGTACTCCTTCTCCATCTCCTTGTTCTTGAAAAAGAGAGTAACGTTGGACAGCGGTGGCTTAACGAAGTACGAACGTTGAGAGCTCACGTTGTCTTGAACACATCTTTAGAGAAACAAAAGACCGGCTTAATGGATTTTGCCGTCACTTGTGCAACACTTCTGCCAGCGATTCGCTTACCTAATCAACTGGAGATCGGATCGTTTTCGCAGTTTATGAAAGCATGCGCCGAATGTATCCGTCACTATCGGTGGAAACGGGTAAAGAGGTATCGACGACGAAAGCTCGTGAGTAGAATTTAACGTCCAACTAGAAATATAATAGCCACTGACCCTGTGTCCTAAAAGATCGCCTTGGGCCATGCCGTTTATTAGGAATAACTGCAACAGGATTGTATAATAATGCAAATGAAACACGTTCTGTGGCAAATAATTCACTCTGCGGTTGAAGCTGTACCAAATATATATACAATTTTCGGTACCTGCTGTTGTATACTACTTCGCTTGTTGTTGTTCTTGATGCCGGAATCCTTCCTGCTGCATATGGAAGAAGCGTGACTATCGCGTGAAGAATCGGTTCTTGACCAGATAATAAAGGAGTAGAAGGTACAGTATTCGGATCCATCTCGACGCCATTGGTAAGAGGAATCTGCGGACGAAGTCAATCGTGACTGTCGAGAGACTACGAAATATGCCAAGTAGGGAAATGAAGAGAGCCACATACTCGTCTAAACCCATTGCACTCCTCATACGCCTGGACTTCAGGTTTCTCTCGTCCCATGGCGATGTTTCTCCCCTCCTATATCTCCAGCGGTGTCATCTCCTCAGTCGTCCGTTGCCTCTGCAAGTACTTCCACGGTTTGTTTCGTACTTTCTTCTTGCCGTAACTAGCGGTGGACGTCGGGTTCTTGTTTGAATCCTCTTTAATGTAGCCGTCATTCTCGGAATCCAAGATATTCGGCAAGGAATTGGCTTTCATCCGGTAGTTGCTCGTGTTGATGACCATATGGAGGTAATTATGGCGTGGTTTAACCTGAGTATTGCACGACGCCAGACGGCTACATGACTGCATCAACAGTGAGATACTTTTCGGTGACGTAACGTTCGTGATAAATTGATTCATGAAGTCCAATTTGCAGGCTCGGATGAAATAAGTTTTAACGCCTGAAACGAATAAACAAGTTTCAATATTTTGCTCATTGTCAGGCTGTTATGCGATATTTCCAACAACGCACGACATGTAAAATTCCAATTTTGATCTGCTTGCTTTTCTTCCGAATTAATTTACTCACCATTGACTAGTTCTCCCTCTTCCGTGATGTACTGGTCGTCCAGAAATCTCAGGGTATTCTCACTCAAGTGTACACGACCGGGTTTTCCCGTGCTCTCGAGTTTATTCGCCAATGTCACATCGTTCGACCAGACATCGTACTTGAATCTTTTCGTATCCACGATCCCGCAGAGCACAGTGCCCGTGTGCACACCTATTCTCATGTTCACACCTTCCCTTCTTTCGATGTCGAATTGTTTGATCGCTTCGATCATAGCTGTTAAGATGAGAAACGCACAGCATTAATTTAGCACCAGATTTGAAGATATCTGCCAACCACGTGTCAATGACATTCCACTCACCTAGACCCATTTTTATGCAGCACTTTGCGTGATCGGACCTCGGCTCGGGACATCCGCTCACGCAATAGTAGCAGTCACCCAATGTAGATATCTTCTCACATCCGTGATGCTCGCAGAGATCATCGAAACGTTCGAAGAGATCAAACTGTATTCATTCAAATTGTAACTCTTACATAGCTGAAAATGCGACTCGACTGAAATACAGGGGAAAATTCTTGGAACTTACATCGTACAATATTTCTGCATCATTGTTAACACATAATTGTTCTAATACTCCTAATTTCAGCGTGGAGTCACTGCCTTCTTTATTATTTGGGCATCCTGGATCTTGTTGTAATTCTCTATGTAATAAATCTACAGGCATCATTAGATTATGTGATTATATGTGACAATATTACAAAATATCTATTATTGTAATAGGTTTATATTTTATCTTAAAGTACACGAATAAAAAGGTATTTACTAACCCCTTTGAAGAATTCATTTCCAGATGGATAGAACCAGGTGGCGATTCTTCAATTTCTGTGAGGAGATTTAATTCATTTAATACTTCTTCTGCCTCTGCATCTGTATCAACATCTTCTGCTAGAAGGAGGATAGATGCCTGAAAAATAAGAAAGTATGTTAACAAATAGCATGAACAATATCATTAAAACGCAAGATGATAGTAAACGTTACTTTATTTGGTTTGGTATCTGTATTTGCATCATAAATTTCATCCTCTCCATCTCCTTCTTCCTCTTCCATGTCCATGTCTGTATGTTCCAAAAATTCAAAATTCGCTATAACAGCTGCTTCTGCTTATCTAATATCATTGCTTCTGCTATAGAAGATGGCTGTTGCTGAAACAATAAATCATATATAATTGTATAACAGAATCGTAACTATTGTAATGCAGCTTAATTCTCTTAATTAAGTTCGTATTGTTTTAAAAACATAAACATGTTTATTTATCTCTACCTTTTTCGGATGTCCCCCGGAGTATAATATAAGACTTACATCGGATGATTCTTGTCTGTTCTGTGTTCCCTCATTTCCATTTAATGCTGGAGTATTCATTTCATCTGAGTCTGTATTATTATAATATGTCCCACCGCGTATATTTCATTTCTCGCCTTTGTTGTGAGTTACTGCGCAGACGTGCTCCACAGGCGGAGCAGTGACTCTCATTCTTCTCGAGTCGGGATGCGTTCCGAAAGTTGCAAAAAAACGGTCACAAACCTTTATGCTCGCGAGTGTACAGCAACTGCCTTCCCTATACCTCTTCCATCGGGACTGTGCGAGAGAGAACGAACAATAAAAACAGAGTGTTTCCTTCTCTCCGAGAGTTACATCCCCACTCCTCGAACACGCAGTCTATTGGTCTGTTCTTTTCAGCTGCACTGCGGAACTAGTGCAATAAGTTAGAATGAGACAACTATATTTTTTCTCATTTTAACTTATTGCACCAGTTCAGGGTACCTATCATGGAACTCGTTGGAATCGATTCCGATCGGAATAATTCCGTTTCCCCTAGGAAAGACAATAGAAATCTAGGAAATAACGGAATAAATTAGATCGAAATCGATTCCGACGAGTTCCATAATAGGTGCCCAGTAGTGCAGCTAAAAAGAACAAACCATAAATATGCTATGGGCCAGAGCACAGACTTCTGCATAACGCATAATACACAACGCATAAAAGAATCAACAAATTTCAGAGTTCTTCATTTCTGTCCTGAGGAGGGAAATGAAAAACTCTGATTGGTTGATTCTCTAAAGCCCGTATCAGACTATGGATTGGGATTGAGATTAGATTGAAATTTGACCAATTGAAAAAGAGAAAATAATCTCAAGTATAGTAAACTTACTCCTGATTGGTTAAATTTCAATCCAATACTCAATCCCAATCCGTAGTCTGATACGGGCTTTATGCGTTGTGTATTATGCATTATGCAGAAGTCTGTGCTCTGGCCCTATGGCTGCGTTCCGAAATTCACTGCCAATACTGAAAATAAATTGTGTCACGTATACTATAGATTTTCAGTACTGGCAGTGAATTTCGGAACGCAGCCTATGTCTATGATCTCGACATTAGCTTGTTTTGTCTTGATTGAGCAAGTTTTCATTTCCAATCGTTAAATATTAATCTTTAAATTAGTTTGATATTAGTATAACGTCTATTTTGTTGATATTATCGGTATATCGGTATACTCCAATGTATTGTTCAAATGAAGAGCAACCATTTTCGAATCAAGTGTATTGCGCGGTTTATTCGAGTATATAGTGGGCGCGCGGCAAATCACGGCATCCTTCCCGCCATTAAAAAAAAAACAGTTGATCAATGGCAAGTTAAATTCGCGCTGTGGGCTCGACACATGTCCTTTCATTAATGTTATTCGCGATATAAGAAAATACGAATAATCTAACAGTGCGTTTAAACGAACAGTTCGTCAATATATAACATTGATTTCGGCTCTGATTGAACATCGGTACATGTGAGTGAGACAAATGAAACAATATATATAAATGCTGCAAAACCGAACTTCTATGCACAATATGCAAATAAGTAACAAGCAAGAGTGTTTATATGTACGCCGACGATATTTAACATGAATTCGTTAACAATTCATATGTGCATTAACGACAAAGTATTTTCTACGGAACTGACTGCACGTAACCTTAACGAAGTTGTGCAACGATCACATGAAATGAATATATACGGATACGTTTGCCTACATAAAACAGCTTAAAAATGATCACGATATATTGATGCAGCACAGTTAATTGAGTTTCCATTTAATTTGTTAGTTTCTTTATATACACATATATACGCACATACGCACATATATACACATATACACCTACATACACATATATATATATATATATATATTTAACTAATAATAATTGGCTCATCAACGGTCGCAATCATGTCACTTATGGTAAGATACATTATATTACTGTATGTAATATCATAATCTAATACATTTACTTTGTACTCACATAGAAAAGTATCAATACGACTTCAAAGGAACTTGCCTATCGAGATAAACATTTTCATGGTAGGTCAATTCCACGATATAGAATAATTTATATATATAAGCTTGAAATATCACATATATACTTATACAAATATAATATTTTTATTTCTCAAGATTATGATGGATGCATTCAATACTACAACCACTCACTGAGCGCTCAATGAGCTTTTACATTTGATTGGTATATTCTTTTAGATTCAAAAATATATACCAATCAGATGCAAGAGCTCACTTAGCGCTCAGTGAGTGGTTGTAGTACTGAATGCATCCAATCTTGCATATAAATATTCATTTTGATTTGTAATTTTTAGAATAAAGTTGTATCCAAGTTGGGACTTAAATATTTGTTGAAATGGTTTTATTTACTTTTGTTTTTTTATTGCACTATTATCTATACTTTAAGCTCATTAAATATTTTAGTTGCATTAGTTTTGTGCTGAAACTTTATTTTCTTTTCTTCAGTGCTTATATATTTGTTTTATTCCATAAGTAACAAATATATTCTATTTTGCAAAAAATAAACTTGTTAACTCATTTTGTCAATTTTACACCATGAAGCTTCCATCATTTTTTATAAATTTGCTAGGATTTAAATTAAAAAAAGTTAGAAGAAGAATTAGAAGAATGAAATAAGTTGATTCTATATATTAATATTTCATGCCAAATTTGTAAATAACATTAAAGATTTGAATGTTTTATGTTTAGACATCCAAGTTATCAAAAATAGACAAGTAACATGTACTTCTTGTGGCAATATATTAAAAATTAAATTAGGACATATTTTTTCTCATCCATTATTAGGATTATTGCAATGCGAGGTAAGGCTGATATTTCGTATTTTGCGGCTTATATATAATGAAGAAAACAGTCTTATATACATATATGTATATATATATATATATATTTATTATGTAATATTACTTTTTTATTTTGTTAGACATGCCAAAAACACTTTAAGGATATAGATAAAGCATCTGATAAGCAAATTTGTTGCCATATATGTGGTCGAAATAAAAAGATATATGTATGTAGTGATGAAGACTGCTCATCTGGGTTTTGTAAGGTAATAATTGCTATTCAGATATTGTTTATTAGCAATTATATATATTTCTTATAATTAATATTATGTTTACGAAATATAATTTTATACTTTCAGTATTGTATAAAAAGAAATACAACTTTATCCTTACTGGATGCAGAACATAAAGATTGGAAATGCTTTATTTGTAATTCCAAACCACTTTGGAAGTTAAGAGCTGTATGTGCTGCTGTAATGAACACTTTTCCTAAGTAAGTATGTAATATATAGTCAAATGTATATGTTTTTTTAGAAAATGTTTTTTTTACAGATATACATATTTTATTTTGTTAGAGATATATATATTTTTATTTGGCATATCTGTCTATTAAATTCTATTTCAATGTATACAGTATAGATTAGACAGTATATATTAGACAATAGCTAATTACTATTTTTAATTTAATTAATTATACTATTATTAATCATTTTATGATTCACATAGTCTTCAGTGATTTGTAGTATATGTTTTCTTAAAATTATTTAATTTCTATAGTATAGAAATCATAAAAATATAAGTTAACGCTATGTAAGCTATTTATTTTTACATTTAATATATTTGAAATGTTTAAAGTATTTTTACATATTTCATTTTAAAAGAAGTAACAATTTGATATATAACTATAATAAATGTTAATGCATGATATCTCATCAAATATTGGGAAAATAGCTATTGAGAAACTATTATATAAATTTATATTGTATATAAGTACTACATAACAATCTAGTAGTTGACTTAGAAGTCAAATTGCATGTTTCAATAATATTAAATGTATCATGTAGCATGTACACTTTTAATGTCTTCTATCGATATGTTGGTCCATTGTGTCAAGGCAGAATCTAATAGGAGAAGATGTTCTTACATTGTTAAGAAAACTATGTAGAAGCAAGATGTACGCAAGACAAAGAAGATTGAAGTAATACATATCATATTTCTAAAGCTACAGAAATGTGAAACTGATAAATATTAAAATATATCGAAAATAAATAAATTAGAAAAAGGATGAAGAATGTGCATGTATACATGATACTACATCAGATTCAAGAAAGAAGATATAAGTACATATAGAATGGATCTTTTGTTTCAGAAGGTGTAACAAGAGAAGCTTCGACATTCAAAAACGTACCTTACCATCATTGAAAGAAAAAATTAAAAAAACCATAAGAGTGCAACGAGCTTTGGAAGTATTATGTGATAAAGAGGATGACAGTACTTCTGATCCAAGACCATCCTTCTCTGCAAAAGAATTTACGAGAGAAGCGAATAATAAAGATCATCGTCGATCTCCAGCATTAGAAATAACCATAACAGATTCGTCGGATATAACTAGTGAAAGTGATATAGACAAGCGAAAGAAAACCAAAAGAGATAAGAAAGTACAACCAATTTCCAATAGTACAGACTCCAATAGTTCATTTTACGTTTCGAAGTCAGCTATAAATAGAAAAAATGTATCGAAAAGAAATAAAGATTTAAGTGACTCGGACAATAGTTTAATTGTACTAGCGGATGAAACGACCAAACGACAACATACAAAAAGATCTCACAGTAGATCCATAGAGAAACAAAAGATAAGGAATCGTACAACTGATTCTTCTGATAGTGAAAGTGATAGAGATAGTTCTACAACCAGAATGTTGAAAATATTTAACAGTTCATCAAAGCATGCTACGCAACAAAAGAAGAAGGATGCTGATTCACGAAATTCGAGAACGGCTAAAAATAAGATAAAAAAGTATCACGATTCAACTAGTAAATCGGATGGTGAAGACGTTGAATGTGCAAAGCAAAGCAAAGAAAAATATTCTTCGAATAGTATCACATCTCATAATAGTAACGAAATGCAGAAACAAGAGAAATGTGATAACTCAAAGGGAAAACTTCTTCAGATGATTCGGGAGGATAATTCGGATTCCAGCAGTAAAGAGTTTCAAAAGGAAAAATTACTTCGCAACAAATATTCTTCTATGAGACAATTGAAAGATTTAGATGTAGATTATACCAAATCAACCACTGGAGAAAATTCTTCAAGTGAAAAAGTTAAGCATACAAAAGATAATGATGAACAGCTGGATTTAACACTTAATGATATAAAGAAAGTTTTAAAAGAATGCAAAAGTATATGTTCGTCATTCCAAAAGTATATTGAAATTATAGAAGGACTATACGAGAAGGAAGATGAGGAAAATCTTCTACTTCTATCTATAGGAAAAGTAAACAAATTAACGACAATGTTGAATAAGAAGCAGAAAGACTTGGCGACTTTCCATGAATCCTGGTCTAAAAGACCCAAAAGTTCCAGAAGCGCCCCGAAGAAAATGCACAAAGAAGTCAGTTGTAACGAGCAACCTCCCGAAGAAAAAACTGATACACACATGAAACGTAAAATGCATGAGGACAAGCCTCGCAACTCGGAAAATGAACAGGATAGCAAAGAAGTGTCTGAATGTGATAGCGACGAAATATTTTCAGCAGATGAAAGCAGGTCACCGCGGAAAATAAACACAACTCGTGACACAGATATGTCAAAAGTGGATAACCGAGCTTCTAGCGACGTTGACAAAACTGACGACGAAGACGAACAACAAACTACAAATAAGTCGAAGGACAGTGAAAAAAATAACGAGAATTCAAGAGATAGCTTAATTGCTTCTCCAATATTAGGTACATTGGAGCAGAAAAAGGCTAGCGCAGAAGGATCGAATAAACAGATGATTCCAGAGTGCGTTAATAATGCCGATAACAAGGCGCAGTCGAAGAACAGAAATACTGATTCTGAGATCGACAAATCGGAATTAGTCAATCCGAATAACTATGATAACAAAACTGATGATTCTTCTTTGAAGGAGATTAATGAGAAAGCGACATCACAAGACAAAAACGCACGAAATAATCTCACAGCCGTCAAATATATGATCAATGAATCGATAGACGATATGTTTGAATCTTCTTTCGAATCCGAGCATGTGAAAGACAATCCGCAAGGAACGGACATAGAAACGCACAATGATAAAGCGGAACATACAACTAAACTTACAAATATCGATACTCGCGATACTTCCTTAAAAGAAGAAGCTAATCATGCAGCTGGTGATTTCGAGAATGACAAAATTCAAGGCGAAAATACAGGGAGCAAGACATTTTCGCCTGAACGTAATGAAAAAGAAATGGGTTCAATGAGTCACAATAATCCCGAGGAAATAACGCTTGCGACAAACAATGAGAATGGTGATAACGTTAATAATTCGAGGCAAGAAAAAGCAGTATCTGAAAAAGTAGACGCCGATGACACGGAATCTCTCGAAATGGCTGAAGCGTTGGCGAAGGAGACTTTATTAGAATCAGATTCTGAGAACGCCACGTCGAACGGTTCGCCGCACGACGCAAGTCTGACTAAAAAGAACAGAAAGGAAGGCGAAACGCAAGAGATTGATTCCGATGTCAGTACAGTAATCGTATTTAGGTCTCCGAAAAATAAAAATGCAGCGGATGATACCAACGTAGAAGTTGAGACTAACGCTATCAAGAGTAACGTTAGCAAGAGTAATGATAAACCGAACAAAGATACTTGTGATAAGACGACGAGTTCCTCGGATGAGGATGTCAAAGCCGAAGAAGCCGCCAAGAAAGCTCTCTTGGCGTGCAGCACTTCTGACGATTCCACAACATCACAGTCACGAAAGGTGGAAGAGGCTGCTACTAATAGTAAGAAAAGCGAATTGGACGCCAATATTAAAGCGAAGAAAGCACTTTTGGCATCCTCTAATAGCGATAGTTCTTCCGATGTTCAGATATCTGAAACGGACGCTAACATCTCTGGTAACGGAAGAAAGAACAAACGCAACCGCGAGCACGATTCCGACTCGAACTCGATGCTCTCCACAGTGAAGAGAAGAAGACTGCATCTCCACAAAAATGTCCATTATATGAACGATACAAAATTGAGAATGACCTGCGAAGTCCGCGTAACGTCATTATCCAAGAAGATCCTTAAACGCTATGCACACGCGTTGCAAAAATCGAAGCAATATCTGGAACATAAAACGCTGAAAAGGTATCGACAATTTATACTAAAACCTATATATGTTGCTTTACATTGTATAAAGTAATTTTTACCAATTATTGTATGATTATTTCCTTTCCTTTTTTTTCTTATTTTTTCTTTATCGAGTATGAAGTGAATTATGCTGTTTTTTTTTTTTTTTTTTTTTTTAACCTATGTTTTGGTATTTACGAAATAGTTGCATCGAAGTAGCGAGATCCAACAATCAGCATGAAAATTGTAGAGCTGTTTTTATTATGACTTCTTAAATATTTTTGTAATCTGTCCATGTATCTGGACATTTATAATTTTGAAGACTGTCAGCATTCGGAAGACATTTTAATTTTTACATCGATTACAGTAATTCTTTTGTAACAAATTTCGAAATGTTCCAAACGAGGACTTATTCTGTTTACGGCGTTAATTCGATCATTATTATCAGTGAACTTTATAACATACTGGAAAAGAGAACAATTGCGAATCTAGCTAATGACTTTGAGCAGAGGAAAGGAAAGAAAAAGTGTTTCAGTGATTACGTTAATTTTATCTTGTATTATCTTATGTTATCTTAACTGAAGAATTAACTCGCAAATGCATGCGATAAATTTGCATGCCAGTATACATATTTTATTTCACGAGAAATTCGTTATATTGATATTTTCAATAGTATCAATATCGTTCACAAACGATATAGCAGATTACATTATTTTTTGTAATATATTTCTCGCTTTTCTTTTTCCAGTATATTCTATAGTTCAGTGATTATTATATAAAATGATTAATATGTGCACTAGTTTATGTACTTATAATAATACGCTTTTATATTACATACAATGATAACAATACTCTTGTAATTTCTTCGACAGAAGAAATCTTTGTATACGAAATACTGTTCTTATTGTAAACATTTCCATTTTTTTATATTTCTACAAACTTAAGACTATAACTACCGAATTAAGAGGGAAAAGAAAGATACATTTGCTTTAACAATAAATTAAATACAATAAATTTTTTGTACAATATTTGCGTACAATATTAATCATTATCCAAGGAACCTTATTTCCATTGTCCTTTACAGTCTTGTTAATCTGGATAAACTCGAAAAAAGACATAAACATACAAGAAAAGGCTCGGACACGTCGACAGGTGATGATGATGCATTATCAAAAATATCAAGAAAGTCAAATAAAGGACGAGGGAAACAAACAACCAAAGAGGCAGAAGAATCTTTGATGGATCACTTAAAAAGGGTAGAAAATGATGATTTATCGACCATACAAACGGTTTATAGTTCCGATGAATCTGTTGATCGAGTAGCAAAAGTAGATGCTGCGCCTATGTCTAATGAAGCTCTAATGTTAGAGGCGAATAAAGCCGCGAAACAGAATTTGTTAAATTCTGATTCGGATGGTAAGTGATTTATTGTTAGATATGTAATAGTAAATTTCAGTCTCCTATAATGGCATTCTTTGCATAAAATCTAGACACATCTCTCGATTGTAGATTCCTTGACGAGGAACGTTTATCGCGTTTTTTTCAGAAAGAAAAATAATATTTAATTTCTTGCCTCTTTTTCTATAACTTCAGACTTCTAGGATTGCAAGTTTAGATTTAAAAATTATGTGGATTTCTTTGTCAACTCTCTATACTAAATAACATTATTATTTTTGTTATTTCTATAAAGTACAATCTGTGTTGAATGGTTCACGCAATTATGGTTATTCAAATTCGAATATGTTCATAGATATGGAAAAGGCAATGGTATCGGACAATGACAACAGTACAAACCACGACGATAAAAATGAAAAGACGGAAGATAAGAAGAAGAAATCTCAGAAAAAGTCTGAAGAGAAAAATTCAAAGCAAGAATTGATGGTATGATGCAATTTTTTGCGACTTAAAAAGATTTATTAAATCGCATGTGTTACGTAAAACAAAATCAATTAAAAAATATAAAGAATATTAAGATACAGGGTGTCCCATTTTAAATCCCCCAGGCAAATATCTCGAAAAATATGGAAGATATGGAAAAATGTTTCAGACAAAAGTTTCAAGGGTTTCAAAGGGGACATAAAACAATTATATCAATTTGTTTACAGATGGCATTATTTTCGAGATATTCATTGATCATTACTTTTCTTAAATGGAAACTCCAATTTCTTATTGCACCATCTTTTTCTACCAATTAATTTGAATAATTTTTGTCTGAAACATTTTTTTAGTTACTTAATATGTTTTGAGATATTTAAGGAAAACTTGGCAACTTTCTCAATATTTAACTTACGATATCTCGCCAACTATTTATTGGAAGAGAAAATAGTACTAGACTTTTTTACTCTATTTAATCTCAAGAATATATTGTTACAATAGTGCCCTAACTTTTGTTAACTTACCGACTTTTGGAAACTTCAAAATCATCAAATTAACAAAAATTAGGATGCTATTATAACAATATATCCTTGAGACTAAATAGAGTAAAAAAGTCTAGTATCATTTTTTCTTTCGACAATAAGTTAGCGAGATATCGTAAGTTAAATGATAAAAAAGTTACAAAGTTTTACTTAAATATTTCAAAAAATATTAGGCAAATAAAAAAATGTTTCAGACAAAAGTTGTTCAAATTAATTGATAGAAAAAGATGATGTAATAAAAAATTAGGATTTCCATTTAAGAAAAGTAACAATCAATGAATATCTTGAAAGTGGCATTATCTATAAACTGATATAGTTGTTTTATGTCCCCCTTAAAACCACGCAACTTTTGTTTGAAATATTTTTCTATATCTTCCATATTTTCCGAGATACTTGCCTGGAGGATTTAAAATGAGACACCCTTTATATATAAATTTTTAATTATTGCTCCTTTACAATGTTTCAGAGTAAGAAAGATAAAAGTGAAAAAAGTAATTGGAGAAGAAGTAAAATATTAACGATGAAATTGTCCGATACTGATTCTGAAGCTGAAAGGGGGAAATGGGAGAAAAAGCAAGAAAAATTAATAAAAAAACAGGAAATTAATACGTAAGTTTCCTAATTTCGTACAAAGCATGAGTAATTTTCTCTTCAATTTTGTTATTCTTTTCCTTTTTTTTTTTTTTAGCGATTCTGACGAAGGGGAAGAATCTATGATCAAGAGGAAGAAGAAGAAGGGTGGACGGAGAATTTTATATTCTGATTCGGATGTCAAGTTGACGGATTGCGATTCAAATGATTCCTCCAAAGCATCAGACACAAAAAGAAATTCAAGCGATTCCGTTATTTCGCTGGGATCAGTCAACGCAAAGAAAGACAAAGAGAAACTGAAACGGAAAGGACGCAAACGTCGCGATAGCAAGTCGTCAGATACGGATTCATCGTTCGAAGAGAAGAGGCAAATCAATATAGATTATATAGATCAATATAGATCAATATAGATTATATTTATTTGGCTCGATCTTTTTATTTTACATTTTTCTTCATCTGGCTCTACTAAATGCTCAAATTCACGATATATATTTGTAGATCGAAACCGAAGCGGAAGCGAATTAAAAAAATGGCGTCTGATAGTGATAGTAGCGACACGATACAAACTTCCCAAGGTACACCCGGCAAAAGTGGCCGAAAGAACATTCGAAAAGTTCTGAAAGATAAGCAAGTAGCGGAGGACACGAAACAGGCCGCTAAGGAAGAAGAGGAGAGGCTCAAACGTATCGCCGAACGTCAAGCTCTGGTATACTCGACTGCCGTTATCAATTATCGTGTTATATTATATTAAATGTATATATTATACCGATATTATTGTAGTACAATGAAATGTACGAGATGAGACTCGCAGGAGAAGAAAAAATAGACAAACTTGTCCTGGACTTTGATACAGAGACGAAGGAGGAACTCGTGAGTGTGCACGAGGATTTAGTGAAGCGTTTGAAACCACATCAAGCTCAAGGCATTAAGTTTATGTGGGATGCCTGTTTCGAGTCTCTTGAGAGAATAAAGAGCACATCCGGATCCGGATGCATAATTGCGCACTGCATGGGTCTGGGCAAAACATTGCAGGTGGTCGCTTTAACGCACACGCTCCTAAATCACGAGACGACAGACATTAAGACAGTATTAATAGTCTGTCCCTTGAGCACAGTGCTCAATTGGGCGAACGAATACAAAATATGGTTGGCGGATATGGACGACGATGTTAATGTCTACGAGCTGACCAAGTGAGTGTGATGTTTTTGACGTGTTTCAAAACTCTTGCCTTGAAATTGCTTATTGTAATGAAGAACATGGAGCAGAAAATTCGTGGCGGAACAGTCCATACGTTATAATGGTGGTTCCAGATTTAAGAGGAACTTCGAGAGGAAGTGTCAGCTGCAGAGGTGGCAAAAGACTGGCGGCGTGTTGATCATCGGTTATGAAATGTTCCGCAATCTCACTGGATCGAATAAAAATATCCGTAAGGGCATGAAGGAAGCGTTACTAGAATGCTTAATCGATCCAGGTCCAGATCTTATCGTCTGCGACGAGGGACATTTATTGAAGAACGAAGACACTGCGTTAAGTAAATGCATCAGAAAGGTGAGAACTATGCGACGCATAGTACTCACTGGAACACCGCTGCAGAATAATTTAATAGAGTGTAAGTGTGCTCCAACTCGCATTAATAAAGTTTAGTTCGCGAGGCATCTGCAATCTTCATATATCTCAAATATCTATTTAATTGAAATTCATACTTCTCATCCCGTAGATCATTGCATGGTGCAATTTGTAAAACCAAATTTGTTAGGTACAAAGAAGGAATTCTTAAATCGATTTGTAAACCCAATAACAAACGGCCAGTTTGATGATTCCACTGCGTACGATGTTAAATTGATGAAGAAACGGGCGCATGTGTTACACAAGATGTTGGAAGGTAGCGTACAGAGATTCGATTACTCTGTGCTCACACCGTTCCTACCACCTAAGCAAGAATATGTCATCTTTGTTAGACTAACGGAGACACAAATTAAAATGTATCAGTATTACTTGGATAATCTCGCAAGGTATGTTGATCAAAAATGTGTATACAAGATGTTCTAAAACCGGGTATTGTGCAGTGCTTTAATACTGTATTCTGAAGTTTAATTAGGAAATCCTAATACCAAAATGTATCAAGAGATTAATATTTGTCGCAATTTATCAACATCATATATCATTGTAATTAAGTTTTCAGTTGGAATTGTATTCTGATATGTTCTATCTGAAATTAACAAAAAATGTAATTTTGTTATTCATTTGGTTTGCTGAAGTTTAATTCGCAAAAAGCTTTTCTTCATTGCTTTATAAGACAAATTGATGCCTCAAAATTTTTGTATTAATAAAATTTTCAACTCTCAAATTGAGCTTCAAAATACATCATTAAAGTATTATAAGATAATTTTCGGATATTTTGTATATTTTTTATGATTCTTTATTTAACACTTTGACGAGCCAGCAGTTATTGGCCGGACTCACGTATACGTGAGTTCACTGAGCTTACGTCTACCGGTCGACTTCACGTATATGTAGGTTGATTTAGTTAATGGTTATGGGCCAATTTCACATATATGTGAGTTAATTTAGTTAGTGATTATTAGTTGGCATTGATTGTTATCGAAGTTTCAAGTTTATATATATATACACACAAGATGTATAAAAAGTACCAGGACTGTGAAATATCACAAAAACTAAGCATTTTAGAAAAAAATATTTCAAATAAAAATTATAGGGTTTCAAAAGATCTATTTACTGACATTATGAGTTTGACCTTGGGTGGCGTCGCCAAGGTCAGGATAAGGTCAGGATAAGTCACATTCACCTTGAATTTTTTTAATGGGAGCCCTTATGTTTTATTGCATATTCTTGTAGCCCTTCTTCAGACCTTTTCAAAGTACTATAATTTTTTGCACTCTAAGTAATCCGTTTTGAAGTTATCGAGCTCTTTAATAAAATGTCCAACCAGGAGCAACTGGAGCAATTTCGTGACTTATATTTCAGATAATGTTAAAAAGATAAATGATTTTTCTTATTGATTTTTCTTTTTTTAATTAAATTATCGATTTTGTTATCTAATTAATACAAATTTGTTTATTAGGTAAATCTTTTTGTTTCTTAGCTTATTTGTTAGACTTTACTTTTTCTTTTAGAGATTAACATTATTCTTAAACGTTTTTGTAAGAATCTCAATTTTTATTTTGCTTATTTCTGTACATTTTTTCCATGTAGTTCATTTTAAAATATTGCTGATAGTTATTCATTCGTTTTAATATTTTCATCTCAATAATTTTCATCAATTAAAATGTAACACCTTACCGGTGCAACATCGAACAGGATAGAATATCTATCTTTATGATGAGGAGGGGCTAGGGTGATAGATTAAGATCATATCAAGATGTAAAAGATCTTTTCAATGTAACTTTCCGAAATGAGAATACTTCTATTTCAACTGTTGAAAGAACTGTATGGCGGTTTGAAGAAACAGGAAGCGTTAAAAATCGTCTTAAAACAGGAAGACCTGCCGCAGCAGGCATCGATTAGCGCATTGTCAAACAATGAATGGTGAACAATTTGAGCATTTTATATATTAATCGCGCTTTCAATTGCTAGTTTTCCTTTATGATCATTTTGCCTTAGTTGGCTGGATACTTCTTTGATTTTGCCTTGATTGGTTGGACATCTTATCATAAAAAGCTCGATAGCTTCGAAACTCAAAGTAGATAAAATTATAGTGCTTTGAAAAGGTCTGAAGAAGGGCTACAAGAATATGCAATAAAAAATAGGAGGTCCCATTTAAAAAATTCAAAGTGACCTAGTCCTGACCTTGACGACGCCACCCAAGGTCAAACTCATAATGTCAGTAAATAGACCTTTTGAAATCCTACAATTTTTATTTGAAACATTTTTTCTAAAATGCTTAGTTTTTGTGATATTTCACTGTCTCGGTATTTTTTATACACTTTTATATACCGGGTGTTTCAGACTACCCGGAAAACCCGATTTTTTCGTTAACGCGACATTTTAGAAAAAGATATTTCAGACAAAAGTTGTAGGGCTTCAAAGGATCTATTTACTGACGTTATGAATTTGATCTTGGAATAACCTTGAAAAGTCCAGTCAAGATCAACATAAAATCCTTAAATGGATATTCTAGTTTTTTATTACATCATCTTTTTCTAGCAATTAATTTGAACAACTTTTGTCTGAAACATTTTTTTATTTATCTAATATTTTTTTAGATATTTAAGGATAACTTGGTAATTTTTTTAATATTTAACTTACGATATCTCGCTAACTGTTTGTCGGGATAAAAAATGGTACTAGACTTTTCTATTCTACTTGGTCTCAAGAATATATTGTTACAATAGCGCCCTGAATTTGGTTAATTTGATGATTTTGAAATTTCCAAAAATCGTCAAATTAACCAAATTCAGAGTGCTATTGGAACAATATATTCGTGAGACTAAATAGAGTAAAAAAGTCTAGTATCACTTTTTCTTCCGACGACTAGTTAGCAAGATATTGTAAGTTAAATATTGAAAAAGTTATCAAGTTTTTTTTTTAATATCTAGAAAAATATTAGGCAAATGAAAAAATATTTTAGACAAAAGTTGTTCAAATTAATTTGTGGAAAAAGACGGTATAATAAAAAAATCGCAGTTTCCATTTAAGATTTTTATGTTGATTTTGACTGGACTTTTCAAGGTTATCCCAAGGTCAAATTCATAGCGTCTAATCGGGTGCATAGTAAATAAATTTAAAGCCCTACAACTTTTGTCTGATATTTTTCTCTAAAATGTCGCGTTAACGAAAAAATCAGGTGTTCCGGGTGGTCAGAAATACTCGGTATATAAACCTTACTATATACAGAATATTCGAAAAGAATGGGACTCCTCTATTATCTCCAGAAGCACACACTTTCACGAAAAATGACCCGAATAAAAGTTGTTAGGGATCATGATATTATCTTTATATTATCTTTTGGCGTTAAAATTGACCTTGAACTTGACCTTGAGGATTATTTGAAAGTCAACTCGAAATTTTCACATGAAAACTCCAATTTTTTATTACACCGTCTTTTTTTATCAATTAATTTGAATAACTTTTGTCTGAAACATTTTTTTATTTGCCTATTTTTTGAGATATTTAAGGAAAACTTGATAACTTTTTCAATATTTACGATATCTCACTAACTATTTGTTGGAAGAAAATTTGTTGGTACTAGACTTTTTTGCTCTATTTGGTCTCAAGAATATTTGGAAACTTGACTTTTGGAAATTTTAAAATCATCAAATTAACAAAAATCTGGACGCTAATGTAACAATATATTTTTTACTTAATACTAATTATGTCTGAATTTTCAACAACATGTCAACAGCATGCCTTGTGTAACAAAGCTTATAAAAAATGCCGGCGGCAGCCAGTAGTTTTCGACATTATACACCGGCGGCAAAGGCAAAGCTTTTCGTGAAATGTGCGGTCAAAGTGTCAAGATATAGCCAGTTATGAGTGTTATCTATTCTAGTTGGATAATTCACTGTCAAATAAATCGTAACATTGTTAATATCTATCTTTAATAATCATAAGTTGTTCATTTATTCTTTTACAGACGCCATCATGGGACAGGAGGATCTCTCTTCGCAGATTTTCAAGCGTTACAGAGGGTTTGGACGCATCCTATAGTTTTACGCTTAAACGCAGAGAAAATAGAAAAAGCAAACGAGAAAAAAGGATTTTCTAGCGATACGGAGGGCTCGTTGAAAGATTTCATCAACGATGATTCCACCGAGTCAGAAAGCAGTAGCAGTGAATCGAGCAACGATAGTGACATTCAAACTATCGACGAAACGAAAGACAACACGAATATCCCGAGGCGTAAAACGAGAAATAATCCTGGCGTTGGTATGTTTTCGATATTGATATACTCAGCTTATATTTTTATATCACTTTTTCTTTTATTTATTCTCCTTATACTTGGACATCCTAATCTTGGTTATCTTATAACATTTCTTATAATTGGATATAATTTTTAATTATGTTTATAAGATACTAAAAAGAGTCATTTAGTGATTGTAGTAAAACATTTGATATAATGAATATGATTTGTTAGAACACAATTTGTAACATTTAAATGCTCATAACTATGGCAGAACTTTCATTTGCTAATCTTTTTGATGTCTGAAATGAAGAGGAATCGTCAATATGCAAAGTGCTAGAATAAACAATGTTATATTATAAGGATATTAAATTATAACGTTATATTGCGTTAATGTTTAGAAGAACCAGAACCAGAAGAACCATCACCTAAGGAAGGAGAAGAAACGGTAGAATGGTGGTCGCAATTCGTGCAGCCTGAGCATTTCGAAGACATGAAGGTGTCAGCCAAATTGTTACTTCTCTTTGGTATTTTGAAAGAATGCGAACAAATCGGCGACAAAGTGTATGTATCCTCACATTCACATAGTTAAACAAACAACGATTGCGTCGCTATATCATCGTTCATCCAACAGACTCGTGTTCTCACAATCCCTGTATTCGCTCACTTTGATCGAGGAATTTCTCCGACGAATAGACGACGAGACGCAAAATAATAAGCATCTGGAGTCGTTGGATAATCATACGGGAAATTGGTCTTTGGGTCTCGATTATTTCCGTTTGGATGGTCAAACATCGGCTGATAATAGAAGTGCATGGTGCAGGATATTCAACAAACCTACCAACACGAGAGCAAGACTGTTCCTTATATCTACGCGCGCCGGAGGATTAGGAATTAACTTAACAGCAGCGAATCGAGTAATCATCTTCGACGCCAGCTGGAACCCCTCTCACGACGTGCAAAGCATATTTCGAATATATAGGTATTTTTCCAATTCTCGACTTTTTAGAAGAGAAAGGCCAATGAGGCAAAAGATCTAGCCACCTGTGATAATATTTTCTAAGGTCTCTGCTCTTTCTCTTTTCAATAACGATTTTTCATTGGAAGGCTCTTTTCCGTCTTTTGTATCCATTTTGTCACATCTTTAAATTTCGATTGTTCTTAATTTTTCTATACGATGTTTAGATTCGGACAGAAGAAGCCGTGCTACGTATATCGTTTCCTTGCGGCGAAAACAATGGAAGAGAAAATTTATAATCGTCAAGTCACGAAACTCTCGTTGTCGTGTCGGGTAGTAGATGAACAGCAGATTGAACGGCATTACAGTAATCAAAATCTGAACGAATTATACAAGTTTGAGGCGTATGATACGGAGAGACCTACGTTGAATCTACCTAAAGATCGATTGTTAGCGGAGATATTTCTCAAGTACAAGGATGTCGTGGAAAATTACCATGAGCATGACTCTTTGTTGGAGAACAAGGTAAGATGACTTCTTTCGTTTTTATTTTAAGTTCATACGTGTATATTTCACATGCGATAAATTAATGTGTGCGTGTGTGTTATTAAATATATTAGTATATATATTTTTTATTTATTAATTGTTGAACAGGCTGAAGAAGAATTAGATGAAGAAGAACGCAAGCAAGCCTGGTTAGAATATGAAGAGGAAAAGAAGGGAAAACCAATGGTGGTAGCTTATCCGAATAATGTATTCCAGCATCAGTACAACATGATGATGAATGCTGAACAAGCCGGCCTGTTACCTCAGAATTTCTCTCTGCAGGCGGAATACGAAAATCTCCAACAGCTTATTTGTAAAGATGTAAGCGCTTTATTCTATGTATAAGATGTTGAAAATTTGTACTATTAATCTTTCTTCCATAGAGTATTTCTTAACAGAGATCTAGATATTTGTTTAAAATTGCTAGGAACCAAAAAGAACTATTATAGAGTCCTTTTTTTTTATTTTTTATTTTTTTTTCTTGATAGTTTTAAGTTTATAAATATATTTCCTTTTAGAATCTTATAGATAAAATTATAAACGTTTATCAAAGTATTTTTAAATAAGATACACAATTTCGGAATTTTTAGTTTCCCAACGCTACATTAGAGCAGCAGAAGATGATGACTAATCGAGCTTTGGTAGAGATGTACAATTATTGGGAGCGACAAGCGGTATTACAACCTGTTGCAAACCGAGTACCATTTCGGGTAATAATAATTTATTTTATTCATCTGTCAATATACATACACACAAAGTGTAGTAGAACAATTTTGACAGCCCGTGGAAACGGATTAAGGCAAATAAAAAAATCCATAGCGTTTTGCGATATTCGCAATAGTTATCGAGTTATTAATTACATGAATCTGACGAGTGAGCACGCGTCGAGATGATATTGGACGAACATTGCAGCTGTTCGGGTCGCAGCATAGCCAGTCAATCTAGCAACTGTTGCCAGCGCACGACGAGACATAGGAGTGGCGAAATAAGACTAGCGCATAGCGACTGAGCCACGTTTTTGCCCGAGTGACTGCAATGCTTCTTTAATCATCTATCTCGGCGCGTACTCACTCCTTAGATTTCTATAATTAATAACTCGATAATTATTGTGAATGTCATAAAATGGCATGGGACCTTTTTGTTCATCTTCATCCGTTTTATACCCCCACGAGCTGTGGTATCTAAGACACTTTATATATATATATATATATAGACTGTCCCTAAAGTAATTTTTCATTTTGCAAAATAAGAGGAATTATAAAAATATTTTCATGGCATGATATTACTATATATTTAAATAAAATGTAACTATTTCAAGATGAATGTCGGGAAATAATAACTCAAGTAAAGAATTTAAAGGGTATTAAATTTGGAGATTAAATATGGGAAGCAATTGAAAAATTATAAATATGTGGATATTTTATAGAAATATACATACAATTACGCCAATATAATAATTATATAAATTTTTCCTTATTTCACAAAAATAGATGATTGCTATAGGGGCACTCTATATATGTATAAAATTATATAGAAAAACGACTGAGAAGAATTTGTAATTTATGATTACATACTTCTCATAATTTTTCTCTCTCTCTCTCTCTCTCTCTCTCTCTCTCTTTTCTATATGTATATTCTATATGTCTCCTATATGTCCTATTTTAATTTAGACAATCAATTTTTGAAAATTACAAGGTATTAGAAAAAATATATTTCTATAAACGCTTTATGACTTCAAAGAGGATATAAGATGGTGCCATTGGTTTGACTTTGGATAGTCGTTTGAGGATTATGTAAAAGCACCTTAAATTTCTTAAGTGGAAATCTTTATCTTTTATTGCATATTCTTATAGTTTACATCGAAACTTTTTCAAAACATTATTTTGTGTTATGAATATCTATTATTTATGTTTGAATGTTACTTTTTTATGTAATATAATAATATAGGATTATTATAGATGAAGTATTTTTCATTAAGCACTTTTCTTATTAAATACTTAATAAAACTTTATATTAGGTTGTCTAAAAAGTATTGAGCCTTTGGAGGTCAAAATTGAGAATACATTTATTGTTATTTGAAAATAACATTATGAAAGCACATATACACCATTTTGTTCGATGACTTTCTGTCATTTTTCCGGCAACACCATAATCCCGTCGCTATAGAACTTCTGTGGTTTCTGGTAAAAAAATTGTGACACGTGGTTTTCACAGGCCTCTTTTGAAACTAATTTAACACTATTCAAGGAGTTCTGGAGAGACCGAAACAAATGATAGTCTGACGGTGCCCGGAGCTCGGCAAAGTTTACAACTTTCGGCCGATTCTTGGGAGCTATGCCTCCTATCTTCCCTTACCGCGCGGCGAATCCAGCAACTGACGGTCGCGGCTCGCGACCTCAGGACGATTGAGATCATAACGCATCTATGTGGTGCCTATTAAAGATGGGTTCGGGGAGCGCGTCGATCAGCGCTAACGCGTCATTCAATCCTTGTACATATAATGAGCGATAAAGATAGAATAACGTATTAGCGTTAACAGCGCGCACCTCAAAGGCTGAAAAATAAGTGTATCGATACAACTATATGTATAATATTTCGTACAAACTTGTACAAATATATACTTGTATAAGTATATATATTTTTTTTTCCTGTATTTTTATAAGTAGAAGGTAACATAATAGGTTTCCTCGTCATCTATGAGGTATTATTGCCGACGTGTTTTTTTTTTTAACGTGTCGGCAATAGTACGTCATGGGTGACGAGGAAACCTATTATGTTACCTTCTACTTATAAAAATATAAGAAAAAAATATATATATACTTATACAAGTACATATTTGTACAAGTTTGTACGAAATATTATACATATAGTTGTATCGATACATTTATTTTTCAGCCTTTGAGGTGCGTTAAAGGAGCGTGCTGTCAACGCTAACACGTTATTCTATTTTTATCGCTTATTACATGTACAAGAATTGAATGACGCGTTAGCGCTGATCGACGCGCTCTCCGAACACATCTTTAGTAGGCACCATATAGATGCGCCTTATGATCTCAACAGTCCTGAGGTCGCGAGCCGCGACCGTCAATTGCTGGATCCGCCGCGCGGTAAGGGGAAATAGAAAGCGTACCTTCCGAAAATCGGCCGAAAGTTGTAAACTTTGCCGAGGTCTGTTGTAGGTAGAGTTTCCAATCCCGGATACAATTTAGGATCTCGGGATTTCGGGACTCCGTCCCGGAATCCCGGGACTAGTCCCGGGATTATATATATGTAAAGAAAGAAACAAGGAATATTTATAAATAATAGAATTATTTTATTTATAGAACGTTCATAGACTTTTATGAACTTTATGACAAACAAAAAAAAATTTCAGTAAAAATGAAAGCAACTTACATTAATGACTGCACAAAAACCGTTATAATTAAAAATTAAACTTTTTGTAATAAAAATAAAAATAATTATTTCTTCTTTTTCACATTTGAAAAAGCGACTTTAAAAATAATAAAACATAAATTTTGTTCAAAAATATCTGATCGAGGATTCCGGATTCGAGTCTGTGTTGTACCAGTTTATCCGCGAAATTTAAAATAGAAAACTCCCTTAATATTTAAAACAAATAAAAATAATACATGGAATTAAATTTAAAATATAAATACACACTTCTCTAGCAAATATTCTGAAACATCAGTAATAAGTAATAATTATTAAAGTAAAATTTTTGTAAAACTAAATCTAAATTTAAAAACTAAATTTTGTAAAACTAAAATTTTTGTAAGTATTATATAGACACTAAGCATTAAATTTTGAAATCCCGAAATCCCGGGATTTGTGATGTTGAATCCCGAGTATTTTCGGGATCAAAAATTTGGCCGGGATCCCGGGATTGGGAACCCTAGTCGTAGGTTATCCACTTTTCATCACTCGTGATCAACCGCGTCAGAAATGACTCGATTTCGTTACGTTTCAGTAGAGATTCGCAGATAGAAATTCGATCGAATAAATTTTTTTGAGTCAGATCATGTGGCACCCATACATCGAGCTTCTTTTTGTAGCCAGCTTTTTCCAAATGGTTTAACACTGTTTGGTGATGGGTGTTTAGGTCATTAGCGATGTCATGACTGCTTACATGCCGGTCTTGCTCGACTTTTGCCAGAATATCATCCACTTTTTCTGTGATTGGTCGCCCACTGCGAGGAGCACCTTGGACATCGAAATTTCCAGAACGAAAGCGACTGAACCATCTTTTGATAATATATCTTGCCCATAAACAGCACAAATTTCTTCACGGGCCTGCGCAGCATTTGCGGCTTTATCGAAATAAAATTGTAAAATGTAGTGCAGTTTTGCGGAAAGTTCACTCATCCTCACGGCGCAATACCTTACGTCTGATTATAAGAATTCCAACACTTTTTGTATGTTTACTAGCTTCAACTGCCAGCTGTCAAATGACGTTAGGCCTGCTGCGACTCATATACCCTGAGATTTGGGACGCTATCTCGTGCGCAAAAGGCTCAATACTTTTTAGACAACCTGATATATATTATGATAATACTTTTGTAAGATATTTTTTTTCTAAAACCATTTTTCTCTACTAGATTTCTAAACTAGATTTCTAAAATAATGATTTCCACAAATTGAATGTTTGAATTAAAATGGGATATCTTATACAATGTATGTATATATGTATATATGTATAGACTTATCAATCGCGGTTCCCGGTACCACAAGCCGCGACCAGTAGCAACGCGCATGTAAGTACAACTATTCACGCGTCGAAACGTAAAAACTTTTCGAGATATTTATTTTCCATTTATTATAGCAGCAATTGAACCAATTGCTTACGGGGGGACAATCGGTAAATTACATGAACGTAAACCAATCCGCGCAAAGTGGAGTGAATGTATTACAGAAGCAATTTACATATCGAAATGTTCCGTCTAACAATACGGGAAAGACGGATGATGATATAATCGAGGTAGTAGTATACTGTGTGCCATATGTGCATGGCTGTTATAACTAAAGTTACCTATACAACTTTCAGTCGTATCAGTATGTAAATATAAATATCGAAAATTGTACGTGCGACTCTAGTTGTAATAGTTAATAATAATCATGGTGTTGCGTGTATATTGCGTTATCGTACCGCTTATGTGTAGAATACGATGGTTGAATATAATTAATTTATCTGAACTTACAGGTGACACCTAGTACAAGTAATGCCGGTGCATTAAATACACAAGTGGCGCAAACAGTACAACCAGCTGCTACAAACAAAAATCAGGAGGAGTAAAAGTACTATATATTTAGTTTAGTTTCTACTAATTGATTTAGCATTGTGTTGATAAGTTATCTTTATACGTACCGCACATGCGCGCGTGTATGTGTGTGAGAGCATATGTAGCGATAAGGATTCTGCAACAAAAATATAAACTGTATACGAACATCTATTATTTATGTTCGAATGTTACTTTTTTATGTAATATAAATGAATATTTACCATACATTATTTACATACTGTAGCAGTGTTTTATTATTACAATTGATCATAATTAGTTTTATAACAGACGAGTTTGGTGTTTTACACCTTTAAAATTTTACTATATAAACTATGCAATACAAAATGTAATTAGGTGCATGTTAAGATCATGTATTGCAAAATCCTCTACAGAAGCAAGAATGTTGGAAAAGAAAAAAATGTAAGGTATACTTCAAAGAGGCGTATATATTTTATAATTTGTTAACTTATTGTTAAAGAATCTTAATCTCTAGTTTATATTATTAATTATTAAGTATACATAATGTGTTTATTTTTCATTCATTCACATCCTATTACATATTTTTTAATAAGTATTTTATATATTAATTTTAAGAAGTCTTAGTACATGTAGATTATATGAAGAAGTATATCAATAAAGAAAAATAAAACTTTGCGATTATTTATATACATACATACACATAACACACATACATACAGGATGGACTCGAACATTCTAGCTTTTTGAGATTTTATAATAAATTTAATCCTCAACAAAAAGTTTTTCGTATGAACATGGATTGAAAAATGCTTCCTTAAAAAATTAGCTCTTTATGAATAACATTAGTATGGATAACGTCCAGTTATGTCACCCGACAGGTTGCCGTGCTCCAACTACTTCGCTGACTACGGCTCTTGCGGTCGTACGAAACTAAAATTATTTCGATTATTATAGGAATTATAATTTTTCAAGAGTAGATCATATGGGATTCTGTACAATTACTACATAGCTAGGTGTTACCCGTATTCGTGTTATCTAGAAATGTCTAACTTTTTAAGGAAGTATTTTCCGATTCATGTTTATAGGAAACTTTTTACACAGAATTAAATTTCCAATAAGATTTCAAAGTCTGGCCGAATCATTCGGGCCCATCCTATATATATTAATAACCGAATGTTTAAAAATTGTTTTAATTTATCAATTTAATTTTAAATACATATTGGATTGTTCGAAAAGTAATATCGGCTTTTTGCGTGAAAATGAAAGACGGTATTTTTATAGAAAGGAAAGTTTTATTCTGTAAAATATTGACCATTTTTTTCTAACACCTTTCGGCATCCTTGAAGTAATAATATATAATTCCACGCTCGTAGAACTTCTAGTCATTATTGGCAAAAAACTGAATTAAGTGATTTTTGACATCTTCATTTGAATCGAAATTTTTACCATCGAAAGAATTTTGCCGATACAAGTGATAATTGGATGATGCCAGATCAAGTGAATATGGTGAATGCGGTAGCAAATCCCATCTAAGCGCTAACAGCTTCTGGCAACCATTAAACTTGTATCTGACGTTGTCATGATAAAATACAATACTCTTTCTATTCACCAATTCTGGTCTCTTCTGTTTGATGGAATCATTCAATTTATCCAATTAATGACAATACATATTCGAATCAATCGTTTGGTAACAACTCAAAAGACCATTCCTTTCCAATCTCAACAGAGAGCATTACCGTTTTTTTGGATATCAGCTTTCGATGTGCTTTGAGCTGGTTCATCAGGTCTGCTCCATGATCTTTTGCGTTTAATATTGTACACGATCCATTTTTCATTTCTAGTTATAAGTCGCTTCAGAAATGGATCGCTTTCCTCACGTTTCAATAACAAATCGCAGATCGTAATGTGACGAATCAAATCTTTCTTTGAAAACATGTGGAACCCAAATATCAAGCTTTGAAACAAAACCCAGTTGTTTTAAATGCTCATGCATGGTCGAATTCAATAAATTCAATCTCTCAGCAATTTCTCGTGTTGTTCAATGACGATTTGCGTCCACCAATGCCTTTATTTGGTCTTTATTAGCCTCAACTGGCCTTCCAGAACGTGATGCATCTTTAAGGTCGAAATGCCCAGAACGAAATTTCGAAAACCAATTTTGATATTGGCGTTCAGTCAACACATCCTCTTCATACACGGCACACCATTTTTTTCTTGCTTGCGCTACATTTTGGCCTTTACGATAATAAAAAAGCAAAATGTGACGAAAATGCTCACGTTGATTTTCCATTTTTGATTGGCGACGCCAAACAAAAACAACTTGATAAATTCTAAAACAACTTTTTTTCAAATGAAGCTTGAAATGTTTGTTGTAAAAATGTAAAATTTCTGGCTTTGAATAAAGTTCACTGTTTAAAAAGGCAACTAACACGAATAAACCGAAATTACTTTCCGAACAACCAACCTAATATGTTACGAGGGTAGTCCCAGAAGTACCTGACCTAACAAAGAAAACACAAAAAGTTTGGGAAAAAATATCTTTATTTCTCTACATAGTCTCCTTTTAGCTCAATACACTTTTCCCAGCGATGTACAATAGCTTCGATACCCTGTTTATAGTGGGAATCGTTGAACTCCTCAAAATAGCCATCAAGACACCTTGGTCCATTATTTTGACTGTTTCTTCATCTCAGGTGTGAAGTGATGGACCCATGTTTCATCCATGGTTATGAATTGACGCAAAAATTCGGCTTTATTGCTGCGAAACTTCGCCAAATATTCGATTGAAACATCCTCACGACGCTGTTTTTGTTCCAATCGCGACACCCATCTTGCGCACAGCTTTCTCATGTCCAAATTTTCAGTCAATATGCGATGTACAGCTTTTTGAAATGCCTACCATGTCTGCTAACTCGCGCACTTTCAGTCGACGGTCATCCAATACCATTTTATGAATTTTCTTCACCATTTCTGGCGTGGTCACCTCGTTTGGTCGACCACTGCGATGTTCGTCTCGGCAGCTCGTACGGACTCGTTTAAACTCTACCACCCAATATTTTACTGTTGTAAACGAAGGAGCAAACTCCCCCAGAGCAGAATCTAGCTCCTCTTTGATATTGGTTGGACTGAGGCCTTTCAAATGAAAGTATTGTATCACATAACGATGACCAATTTTTCCCATGTTTACAAATTCACTGAGAGCGTTCACTATTGATGGCTGCTAAACAAATACTAAACAATGTAGCGTCGTCAAACTTCAAACTTAAGCTTTATAAGGTTGGTACTTTCTATCGTAGTCATTCTTTTCAAACAACAACCGCTATCTATACATCAGGTCAGGTACTTCTGGGACTACCCTCGTATATTGAGGAAGCAAGGCATTTCATTTCAACGTTTTAAGACAGAAATATATGCTAAACATCGATTATAATCATATAACATTGAAGCGTCAAAGTTTAATACGTTGGAAGAACACTTCTCCATCCATTTTTTAATAACGTCTTTAGATATTTTTTTATATTTAACATAATTGGTACAGTAGCTATATTAAAATTTTCTGCCCTGTCTGTCCTATGATCATACAATTCTTCCGCAATAATAATATCCCAATTTGGCTTATACGATTCATACGCAAATGGTATCCATGCAGTGTAACGATAATCGTTGGTTTTCAAAGTGTAACCCATCATAGTTATCTCTTTTAAACGTGGCTTATCGCTGTTGGGATGAAGCGTAGGTTGAATACCTGGTCTTGGATACTGACTAAATGCTGCTTTTTTCCAGGATATATTCTGAATGTTTGCAAACATAAGAATTATATTTTTTATATAATAATTTTGTAAAATTGTGCGGAGAATCTTACATCAGGATATCTTACCTGGTTTTTTAAGACATTCTTTATGAGTGGTAGAAGTGTGATACCTTCGCTACAAGGATTAAACTCCTTTTCATGTTTAAGATTGTTTAAGGATAACGTGTGATCATTATTATAAGTTTGACAGATTGGTATAGGCACGCCTGCCAAATCTGCGATTGTTGGGAATATGTCGACAAGTTCTACAATCGCATTCGTAACTTTATATCTTTCCTGCACTTTGCGATGTAATACTTCGTCCTTTATAAACTTGTTATATCTCTGTTGATTATACCCTTTTGAAACGTTTCTTTTATATTGGTCCATATAATATTCCATATCTCCGCGCATTTTTGAGTTACTAATTTTTATAGAATCGAATATTATGTTCCTAAGGTTCGTTTCAATAGCGATGTTTATAATTTTTTTTATACATTTCGTACGATCGATGGTTCTAACATGATAATTATCAGAATGAAATGTGAGTGTTGGAATTGATACTAACAGAGGTACATGTACAGAAACGTCAAAATTGCTATACTTCGACCAAACAGCATGTTCTCCAAGTGCCCAACCTATACATTCAATATTCAGTTCAATATTTGTTACATAACAAATATGTGTACTTTGTTAGATACGTACCATGATCAGATGTTAATATTACGATAGTATTTTCTCGAACCATGGAGGCGTGCAACTGATAAATAAGTTTACCGATCATACTGTCAATGTATGACACGGCTGCATAATATGATTGAATAATCAGCATGCCGAATTTCTCTGAAAATATCGATTCAAAATGAAAGAAAACGTACGAATATGTAGATATATACGAAATTAAACAAAATAAATAAATATAATATATAAATAAAACTATACCTGGAATTTTTTCCCAAGGAAACTTTAATTTTAACTTTGCTACATCTTGCCTCCATCGAAGATCGATCCAGGGATTGTAAGCAATGTTACTTACATTACTCGGCCATAGATACGGCTCAGGTATTTTAAACTTATGAATTGGATGATATTCTGCGACATGTTTAACGAAGATAAAATTACGCTATGTATACAGATACAGAGTGAGGAAAAAGTATGGAAATCCTTAAAAATCTCGAAAGATATAAGTTTTACAGAAGTGTTTCAGACAAAAGTTATAAGGCTCAAGACGATATATTTACTGATCTTATCAGTTTGACCTTGAATGATATTGCTAAGGTCAGATCAAGGTCAACTTATTTTTTTTTAAACAGAAATTTCAATTTTTTATTATATCATCTTTTTCTACCAATTAATTTTAATAACTTTTGTCTGAAATATTTTTTCATTTGCCTAATATTTTTTGAGATATTGAAGGAAAACTTAGAAACTTTTTCGATATTTAATTTACGATATCTTGCCAACTATTTGTCGGAAGAAAAAACGCTATTAGATTTTTTATTCAACTTGGTCTCAAGAATATATTGTTACAGTAGCATCTTGACTTTTATTAATTTGATGATTTTGAAATTTTCAAAAGTCAATAAGTTAACAAAAGACGTCGTTGAAGTTTGGAGCGTTCTTGGAGCGAAAATTGAAAATAACTTTTATTTAACAAAAAACCACTTAACATAAATGTAAATACATATAAAAGATAAATTTGTGTTAAATATGACATGACATTATAAGAAAGTTGTAATTCCCGAAAATTACGCACATATAATCATTCATACAGATTATAATTATTTCCGGCACTCACAGCGCTCTGTGCCAAAAACTGACAATGCTTTCTCACTCTCTGGCATGTGGGAAAAAAGAAAAGAGTTAGTTTAATAGCAATATCGTCCCGGAACACTTTCGTTCTCCCCGAGAATTGTGTGCATACCACCACACTCAGACAGATTATAATTATTTCCGGCAATCACAGCGCTCTGTGCCAAAAACTGACAATGCATTTTCACTCTCTGGCATGTGCGAAAATAGAAAAAAATTAGTTTAACAGCAATATCGTCCCGGAACACTTTCGTTCTCCACGAATATGATATGCATACCACCACACTCAGGCAGATTGTAATTATTTCAGGTACTCACAACGCTCTGTGCCAAAAACTGGCAACGCATTTTCACTCTCTGGCATGTGGGAAAATAGAAAAAAATTAGTTTAACAGCAATATCGTCCCGGAACACTTTCGTTCTCCCCGAGAATGTTGTGCATACCACCACACTCAGGCAGATTATAATTATTTCCGGCACTCACTGCGCTGTGTGCCAAAAACTGACAATGCTTTCTCACTCTATGGCATGTGGGAAAATAGAAAAAAATTAGTTTAACAGCAATATCGTCCCGGAACACTTTCGTTCTCCCCGAGAATTGTGTGCATACCACCACACTCAGACAAATTGTAATTATTTCCGGCACTCACATCGCTCTGTGCCAAAAACTGACAATGCATTTTCATTCTCTGGCACGTGGGAAAATAGAAAATAATTAGTTTAACAGCAATATCGTCCCGGAACACTTCCGTTCTCCCTGAGAATTGTGTGCATACCACCACACTCAGGCAGATTGTAATTATTTCCGGTAGTCACAACGCTCTGTGCCAAAAACTGACAACGCATTTTCACTCTTTGGCATGTGGGAAAATAGAAAAAAATTAGTTTAACAGCAATATCGTCCCGGAACACTTTCGTTCTCCCCGAAAATGTTGTGCATACCACCACACTCAGGCAGATTATAATTATTTTCGGCACTCATAGCGCTGTGTGCCAAAAACTGACAATGCATTCTCACTCTCTGGCATGTGGGAAAATAGAAAAAAGTCAGTTTAATAGCAATATCGTCCCGGAACACTTTCGTTCTCCACGAATATGATATGCATACCACCACACTCAGGCAGATTGTAATTATTTCCGGTAGTCACAACGCTCTGTGCCAAAAACTGACAACGCATTTTTACTCTCTGGCATGTGGGAAAATAGAAAAAAGTCAGTTTAATAGCAATTTCGTCCCGGAACATTTTCATTCTCGTCGTATTCCGGAACAAAAGAATTCCGCGATGAGATTGCTGTTAAACAATTTTTGTTCTCTTTTCCCACATGCCAGAGAATGAAAATGCATTATCAGTTTTTGGCACAGAGTGCTATGACTGCTGAAAGTAATTATAATCTGTCTGAGTTTGATGGTACGCACACCATTTTCGGGGAGAGCGAAAGTGTTCCGGAATGATATTGCTGTTAAACTAATTTTTTTCTATTTTCCCACATGCCAGAGAGTGAAAATGTGTTGTCAGATTTTGGCACAGAGCGTTGTGACTACCGGAAATAATTACAATCTGCCTGAGTGTGGTGGTATGCACACAATTCTCGGGGAGAACGAAAGTGTTCCGGGACAATATTGCTATTAAACTGACTTTTTTCTATTTTCCCACATGCCAGAGAGTGAGAATGCGTTGTCAGTTTTTGGCACACAGCGCTATGAGTGCCGAAAATAATTATAATCTGCCTGAGTGTGGTGGTATGCACAACATTTTCGGGGAGAACGAAAGTGTTCCGGGACGATATTGCTGTTAAACTAATTTTTTTCTATTTTCCCACATGCCAGAGAATGAAAATGCGTTGTCAGTTTTTGGCACAGAGCGTTGTGACTACCGGAAATAATTACAATCTGCCTGAGTGTGGTGGTATGCACACAATTCTCGGGGAGAACGGAAATGTTCCGGGACGATATTGCTGTTAAACTAATTATTTTCTATTTTCCCACGTGCCAGAGAATGAAAATGCATTGTCAGTTTTTGGCACAGAGCGATGTGAGTGCCGGAAATAATTACAATTTGTCTGAGTGTGGTGGTATGCACACAATTCTCGGGGAGAACGAAAGTGTTCCGGGACGATATTGCTGTTAAACTAATTTTTTTCTATTTTCCCACATGCCAGAGAGTGAAAATGCGTTGCCAGTTTTTGGCACAGAGCGCTGTGACTGCCGGAAATAATTATAATCTGTCTGAATGTGGTGGTATGCACACAATTCTCGGGAAGAACAAAAGTGTTCCGGGACGATATTGCTATTAAACTAACTTTTTTCTTTTTTCCCACATGCCAGAGAGTGAGAAAGCATTGTCAGTTTTTGGCACAGAGCGCTGTGAGTGCCGGAAATAATTATAATCTGTATGAATGATTATATGTGCGTAATTTTCGGGAATTACATCTTTCTTATAATGTCATGTCATATTTAACACAAATTTATCTTTCATATGTATTTACATTTATATTAAGTGGTTTTTTGTTAAATAAAAGCTATTTTCAATTTTCGCTCCAAGAACGCTTCAAACTTCAACGACGTAACAAAAGTTAGGGAACTATTATAACAATATGTTCTTGAGACCAAATAGAATAAAAAAGTCTAGTACTATTTTCCCTTCTGACAAATAGTTAGCGAGTTATCGTAAGTTAAGTATTGAAAAAGTCATCAAGTTTTCCTTAAATATCTCAAAACATATTAAGTAAATAAAAAAATGTTTCAAAATGTTTCAAAAGTTGTTCAAATTAATTGGTAGAAAAAGATAATATAATAAAAAATGGGGATTTCTGTTAAAAAAAAATAAGTTGATCTTGACCTGTGATATTGGCAACGACACTCAAGATCAAACTGATAAGATCAGTAAATACATCATTTTGAGTCTTATAACTTTTGTCTGATACACTTTTCTGTAAAACTTCTTTTACAGAAACTTTTCTGTAAATCTTTCGAGATTTTTAAGGGTTTCCATACTTTTTCCTCACCCTCTATATGAGTGCTGGGAATTAAGTGAACAGCGCGAGCCGATTTCAGAGGCAACGCCCGCGCTTCCCCCACTACCTCTCGAAGCGCGGCGGCTGAGCTGCTGATCGCGCGTCAGACGCTCTACCTCAGGAACGGTCTCATATACGATAAGATGGGATCGCACCCTCCGTCAAACCAAAAATAAAATATTTATTTATCCTTAAAAAATAATTCTTACTCTCATTGGTGATGAAATATTACACTTTTACTTCTAATATAATAAATACTCCTTTAATAATAATATAATGATAACAATAATTAAAAATATAATTATTAAAGTTTTGCCAATAGATTTCCACATCACCCATGAGGTATTATTGTTGATGCGTTTTTTTTTAAGTGGTTTCCCCAGTAGGCCTACTCTATTAAAAATTAATGAAGATGAAATATATGGCTCAGCAGAAAAGCGAAATGTTACATTGTGAGAAATATAAAAACGAAAGAGGAAGAATAAGTACAAAGCACAAAATAGCCAATTTTTATAGAAATATTAATTGGATTTTCTTGCTCGTTTACATGTCGATTTTACTAGGGATGATATATCCAAAGAGATTTTGGAAGAGGTAGTACGCATCAACGAAGATAGTGATGCATCGCTCAAAGATGCACCTTTGTCTGTTTTTATGATTTTTATTTTGGAAAAAGAACATTCGCATAAATATGTGGACCCAACATAGAGAAAATTTGAACACCGAAATTTCTAAGATGTGAATAACACGATGGGTCTAAAATTTTAAAGAATTCGACACCCTTTTCCTGCCGTGTTTTTAGCGAAAGATCATATTGCAAATCGCACAATTCTGCCTGAAGATGTAGACGGTTGTTCCTCGATTTGCACAGTGAGAGGATTCTCAAAAAGTATTCAATCTTTTCTTAGCATTTCGAAATCACTGAAACGCGTATCAAACTGATTTATTAAAGAATCAATAACATTACATTATTTAACGAAATTACAATTTGTACGGTATTCTTCAAAGAGAAATAAAATTTAATTTAATTTTTATTTCTTAATTTAATTTAATTTTTATTTCTTTCTTCAAATATTTAGACTCGCTTTGCAAGCTTGCTCTAGTCACTGACATGACAAACCGTTTAAATATTTTAAATTTAAAGCTGCAAAAGACCAACCAAATTATTTCGCAAGTAGTTAGTCACATCGATTCCTTTCGCAGGAAACTAGTACTTTTTAAAAATTAGTTATCAAATAATGTTCTCCACTTTTTTCCTCCTTGCCAGATTTTCTTTGAAAAATACGGTACAAATTGTAATTTCGTTAAATAATGTAATGTTATTGATTCTTTAATAAATCAGTTTGATACGCGTTTCAGTGATTTCGAAATGCTAAGAAAAGATTGAATACTTTTTGAGAATCCTCTCACTGTGCAAATCGAGGAACAACCGTCTACATCTTCAGGCAGAATTGTGCAATTTGCAATATGATCTTTCGCTAAAAACACGGCAGGAAAAGGGTGTCGAATTCTTTAAAATTTTAGACGCATCGTGTTATTCACATCTTAGAAATTTCGGTGTTCAAATTTTCTCTATGTTTGGGTCCACATATTTATGCGAATGTTCTTTTTCCAAAATAAAAATCATAAAAACAGACAAAGGTGCATCTTTGAGCGATGCATCACTATCTTCGTTGATGCGTACTACCTCTTCCAAAATCTCTTTGGATATATCATCCCTAGTAAAATCGACATGTAAACAAGCAAGAAAATCCAATTAATATTTCTATAAAAATTGGCTATTTTGTGCTTTGTACTTATTCTTCCTCTTTCGTTTTTATATTTCTCACAATGTAACATTTCGCTTTTCTGCTGAGCCATATATTTCATCTTCATTAATTTTTAATAGAGTAGGCCTACTGGGGAAACCACTTAAAAAAAAACGCATCAACAATAATACCTCATGGGTGATGTGGAAATCTATTGGCAAAACTTTAATAATTATATTTTTAATTATTGTTATCATTATATTATTATTAAAGGAGTATTTATTATATTAGAAGTAAAAGTGTAATATTTCATCACCAATGAGAGTAAGAATTATTTTTTAAGGATAAATAAATATTTTATTTTTGGTTTGACGGAGGGTGCGATCCCATCTTATCGTATATGAGACCGTTCCTGAGGTAGAGCGTCTGACGCGCGATCAGCAGCTCGGCCGCCGCGCTTCGAGAAGTAGTGGGGGAAGCGCGGGCGTTGCCTCTGAAATCGGCTCGCGCTGTTCACTTAATTCCCAGCACTGCTCTATATAAATCATGTAAATTATTATTCTATATATAAATATAATACAACACAATGTAGTGATATTCTATAAATACAGTGCAATGAAAATGATGTTTTTAATGTTTTTAACTTTATTTTATATTTTATATCGATAAAAGCTAAAGAATATACTTATAAAACGATCCGGGAACTTCAACGGTATATGAGGCTTCTGAAATCCAACAGCTAGGAAGAAGGGATTGCAGTCTTTCCTATGTTCATGTATGAATCTTCTTGCTTCTCGTAACGTCTCAATATCGGGTAACGTCCTGTTTGGCATAGTTGAGACATGTACTGGGCATACCTATAAACATAATAATAATAATAATGCAAACATATACTTCCGAGTTACACAAAAAGATTAATTTTATATAAGTTGTGATCTCTCTCTCTCTCTCTCTCTCTCTCTCTCTCTCTCTCTCTCTCTCTCTCTCTCTCTCTCCTCCTCCTCCTCCTCCTCCTCCTCTTCCCCCCTTTCTCCATCCCCCTCTCCCTTTTTCTCTCAATATCTTCGATATCTTATTGGACATTACGAGATTTTGTGCTGCTTTCGATTGCAAATTTGCTTTACAGACGGGGGCGTTTTTATATCGATCTGTATAAGGATGGAAAGGCTCCTCGGTCCACGAATAAGGACTATCATCAGATTTATTAGAACTTATTCCTACAAGAAAAAGTATCCGCTGTCTTAATATACAGGACAAACAAAATTCAAAATCGGATGGATACAGTTAGTAATACATTTAGATATAAGTGAAAATAAAATTATATAATTTATATAAATATTAATTTGATATTTGAGGTCTTCGTGATATGGACAATATTTGATCTAGCTTCTGATTTGATGCCGCGTCCAACAGATTGTTTTGAAAACAAATTCATTTCCATGAAAGACGTGACACGAATCCAAAAGTCAGAGAGAAATCGCGAACATAAGTATTAATTATTAACTTATTTATATAATTTACAACTTTACCTGGATGAAAAACTTTTCCTATAGACATTGTGGTATAACCGTTGTTTTTTAAATGCTCCGGCAAAGTGGTATAATTACCAACTGTATCGCGCCAGTAACTATAGAAATCGTACAGCTGAAGAGTATCCGGTCTCCTACTCGTCAATAGTGAATTTCTGCTAGGTGCGCACAAAGCTTGCTGCAAATATATCGATTTTTTTCTTCATCTGCCAAATATGAAGACCAAAATATGCTTAAAATTTTTCTTTGAAGAGAAAATTGTAGTTTCTTTTGGTTTCTTTTGGTAGTTTTCCAGGACAAAGAGAAAGTTTCTTATTATTATCTTTACATAAATAAATTCGAATTAGAGAATGTAAATAAGAACTTTGAAAAGATACATAAACGTGTCAAACATTAACTGTCATCAGTAACCAAAGCTATATCACTGCCATATTAATTTATGTATAAAACAATCATTTGTGTACAATAAATTAAATATACAGCCAATAAGAAAATATTGATAACAATACATAAAACGAGCTAACAAATATATATATACATATATATATATATATACAGGGTATCCCATTTTAATGTCCCACCCCAAATAACTCTTCAGTATTGAAGTTTCAAGAAAAATGATCTGAATAAAAGTTGTAGGGATTTAAGTGAGCTACCTTATGATGACCTTGACTTTGACCTTGACCTCTATTTTCAAGGTCATTCGAAGGTCAACTTGCGTTTTTTTAAATGAAGGAACCCTTATTTTTTATTACACTGTTCTTTTCTACTACTTAATTTGACAACAACTTTTATCTAAACCATTTTTTTATTTGTCTAATACTTTTTTAGATATTTGAGAAAAACTTGATAACTTTTTCTATATTTAATTTACGATATCTCGCTAACTATTTGTCGGAAGAAAAAGTGGTACTAGACTTTCTTGCTTGATTTAGTCTCAAAAATATATTGTTACAATAGCGCCCTGACTTTTGTTAACTTACTGACTTTTGGAAATTTCAAAATCATCAAATTAACAAAAATCAGGGCGCTATTGTAACAATATATTCTTGAGACTAAATAAAGCAAGAAAATCTAGTACTACTTTTTCTTTCGACAAATAGTTAGCGAGATATCGTAAGTTAACCCTTTGCACTCCTATGTCAAGTGTGACTCGACATCAGTTTTTATCTCAGGAGCTCCTTTGTCGAGTCTCATTCGACATTTTTTCAAGTCCAAACCAATAGATGTCGCGCACACGTTATCGACCATGACACATAATCTTTTCATCCAAGATCCTCACATTTCAACTTCCCATAGTTAATTTTAGTCGCCGCTTTACCCTACTTGAGAGAACTTACTAGATTAGTGCAATATTATAGCAATATAGCATAAGACCTCTCAGTAGAAATACCGCAAGTACTAGTTTTATATGATTTTTGTATATATCCAATAATCATTCATTCATTCTTATCGAACTGATTTACAGTTACTTACTCAACATATACAAACCTGCTAAAAGTCTGAAAATTGTATACCTGGAACTCTAAATATTTATAATGAGTGGAAGGCGCGAAATATATAAGGACTTTGACAGTAGTGATAGTGACCACTATATGCAAGAACTTGAGATTTTTTTTGTGAAACGTGTGAAAGAAAACCAGGATTACATCCTGGAAATTGTTTCAAGAGATATATACTTGAAAATTACAAAATACAACAATAGTGTAACTAAAACAGGTATTTAATTGAATTTGTTTCTTCCTTTATTTATTTAAATTGCCCTATTTTTTAGTTAAAGTAAATTTCAAATAAAACACTTAAAAGCGTTGGGAGCTGCTGGTAACAAAATTGAAATATAATTCGGAGTGCAAAAGGTTAAATATTGAAAAACTTATCAAGTTTTCTTGAAATATCTCAAAAAATATTAGACAAATAAAAAATGTTTAGACAAAAGTTGTTCAAATTAACTAGTAGAAAAAAAAGTGGGATAAAAAATAAGAGTTCCCGTTTAAAAAACGCGAGTTGACCTTCAAATGACCTTGAAAATAGAGGTCAAGGTCATCATAAGGTAGCTCACTTAAATCCCTACAACTTTTATTCAGATCATTTTCCTTGAAACTTCAATACTGAAAAGTTATTTGGAGTGGGACATTAAAATGGAACACCCTGTATACATCCATTATTTTTCCAATAGATGGCTTTAGTTATCTGTATCTCGCGTTGTATTGTCCGATCCAATATAAGTCCGATCGGGTTCCACTAAATGGCGTTAGAAAGATGAGATTTCGTACTAAAAAAACTTTTCTGACAGTTTTGTGATTAGTTGACTCAGTTTTGTTTGAGCGCGCGTCAAAGATGGACACTAGCAAAGAGAAAATACGTTATATTTTACAGTTTTTCTTCGATAAAGGCGAAAACGCAAGCCAGGCGGCTGAAAATGTGAATAGTGTTTATGGTCCTGTAACAGCCAATCACGCCAATACCGCGTTCCGGTAATTTCGATGTCAAAGATGCACCACGCACTGGAAGGCCAATTGTCGAAAATATTGATAAAATCATGGACATTGTCGAGTCCGACCGTCATGTAAACACTGTTTCGATTGCCCAAGAGCTAAAGATTACACAAAAACCGTTTGGAACCATTTGAATAAGGCTGGATACAAAAAGAAGCTCGATGTATGGGTGCCACACGAGTTAACGAAAAAAAACCTCATGGACCGAATTTCCATCTGCGAATCGCTACTGAATCGCAACAAAATCGACCCATTTCTGAAGCGGTTGGTCACTGGTGATGAAAAGTGGATCACTTACGATAACGTCAAGCGAAAACGGTCGTGGTCGAATCGCGGTGAGCCGGCGGAAACGGTGCCAAGCCAGGATTGACGGCCAGGAAGGTTTTGCTGTGTGTTTGGTGGGATTGGCAGGGAATTATCTACTATGAGCTGCTCCCCTACGGCAAAACTCTTAACTCGGAACTGTACTGTCAACAATTGGACCGTCTGAAGGAAGCAATCACCCAGAAGCGGCCAGCTTTGGCCAATAGGAAAGGAATTGTGTTCCATCAGGACAACGCCAGGCCACACACATCGATAGTGACTCGCCAGAAGCTCCGGGAGCTTGGTTGGGAGGTTCTTATGCATCCACCTTATAGTCCGGACCTGGCACCAAGTGATTACCATCTGTTCCTGTCCATGGCGAACAATTTTGCTGGTGAAAAATTCGCTTCAAGAGAGGCTTGTGAAAATCGACTGTCTCAATTTTTTGCCAATAGGGACGAGGGCTTCTATGAGAGAGGCATAATAAAATTACCTTCAAAATGGCAACAAGTTATCGAACAAAACGGCGCATATTTGACCTAAATCGGATCATTCTAACTATGGTAATTAAAGCCTTCAATTTCATGCAAAAATAATGGATTTCTTTTTACTACACCTGATATAATAAAAAGCTGGGATTTCCATTTAAGAAAATTGATAATCAGTGAATATCTCGAAAGTGGTGTCATCTATAAACAAAATGCTACTGCTGTCCTATGTCTCCCTTCAAGCTAAACAACTTTTGTCTTAAGCATTTTTCGATTTAGCGCAGTGTTTCTGACATATTTGAGTGGGTCTTTTAAAATGAGACATTGTATATCAGGAACCACATTTATTTATTGTATCTTTATTATCTCAAATTTTAATTGAACATCAAGACAGTTATTGGAAATCAACATGGCGGTCAAAGTAACATTTCATTATTTTCTATTTAACATATTATTAGGTTATTAAATATGAATTGTCCGATTTCTTTAAGTACCAAGTTCAACAATCGATCTCTGACATTTCACTTTTACAGTTGGTTTTTTTATTGTGAAGATACACCATCACTCTTTCAAACGCATGTTTTGGTTTGCGATTATCTTTCGAATTATCTTTATTACAGCAATTTTGGTGTAACCATGGGTAAGTAAAAAATTCGTGTCATTTTCGAATATGAGTTCCGTCATGGAACCAATGCAGCGTAAACAACTTGAAATATCAACAAAGTGTTTGGTAAAGATATAGCTAATGAACGCACAATACGTTGATGGTCTGAGAAGTTCTGGCAATTTTAATCTTAAAAATGGTCCACATGGGCGACCAAGATGGATAACGATAAGCTGAAAACTGTAGTGGAAGCCGACACATTTCAAACTACCCAAACTATGAATTAGCAGCAAGGTTTAACGTTACTATTTCAACAATATTGAACTATTTGAAATAAATCGGCAAGGTAAAGAAGCTGGATATATGAGTTCCGCATGAATTAAACAAGCGTTAAAAGAGAAATCGTTTCGAAGCTTTCTTTATCATCACATAAAGGCGAACCATTTTTACATCGTATTACTATGTATGATGAAAAATTATTTTTTTTACAATCGCAAGCATTCGACACAATAGTTGGGTATAAATGAAGTGTCGAAACATAGATCGAAATCGAATATCCATAAAAAAAAGTTAATGGTATTTATTGGGTGGTCCAGCGCTAGTATTATGTACTATAATTTCATGAAACGTGGTCAGTCCATTATAGCGGATGTCTACTGTAACTAACTGGACGGAATGATGAAAATGCTTGCGATTGAGCAGCCGAGATTGATCAATAAAGACAGGCTAATCCTCTTGCAAGACAACGCTCGATCATATGTCGAATAAACAACGCTGCTCAAATTACAAGAGCTGAACTTGGAAACTCTCCGTCATCCATCATATTCATCAGTCCTTGTATCAACTGATTACCATTTCTTCCAGACATTGGACCATTTCTTGCAAAGAAAAATATTCGATTCTTAACAATTTGTGAAAAACGCCTTCCGTGATTTCATCGCCACCTGCTCTTCAGGCTTCTTCGCTGCTGACATAAATAAGCTACCGTTAAGGAGACAAAGCTATGTCGATAGCTTAGATGCATACTTCGATTAATTGTACTACTTCTAGTTTCAGATATTATAAACCAAATTTTTTATTCGAAATCGGATATTTCATATTTAATGACCTTAATAAGAATATTATTGAATAATAGAGACCTGCGCGAACGCTTCAGTAAAAACAATGCTATCTTCAGCTAAGGCGTCAATGTTCGGTGTGTACGCATTGTCATCGCCATAAGACCCCAAACTAGTCCTCAGATCATCGATAATAATCAGTAGGAAATTCGGTCGAGCGATAGCAACAGCATTGTGAACTAGCACAATTGTGATCAAACGGAAGCAGGTCATGATAAATATCATAACTGACTTAATATATCCGGCTTGAAAGGAGAATGTACCCGATGTCTCATTAGAAAGATGTTTCAGTTTCTTCCCGTGTCCATAGTTTACTCAAGGCATTTATCCCTGCCGAGTATGCCTCTAAAAGGAATAAAATATGATAAGAATTCGCTAATAAAAATATATTAAGAAGTTGAATTAGCTGTGTGGTCCCTAGCAATAGATGGCTTTAATAACAAGTTAATGGTTAGTACGAATGTTAAAATTCGGTAGCACTGAAAGATTTGACATTTCTCTATGACACATGACAGTTTGCGCGCTATTATTACTGATAATTTTATTTTTTATACACGTCTAAAATGGATTGTATAAAATTGCATTTTCATTACATTCATTATTTTTTTTGCTTGATTTGAAAAAATCGGCGACTGAAGCTCATAAAATGTTTGTTACAACTTACGGCGATCAATCTCTATCATATTTCAACTTTTGATTTCAACGATTCAAAAGTAATGATCAATCAAAAAAATTCGAAGATTCTGAATTGTAAGCATTATTGAATGAAAATAACGCTCAAACGAAAAAACAATTGGCTGAACAACTCAACGTCGATAAATTAACAATTTCTAAACGCCATGGAAAAAATTCAAAAGAAAGGTAAATGGGTTTCACATGAATTGAGTAAAAGTGCCATTGTAAATCATTTGAATATCGCCATGTATTTGCTTACTAGACAGAAAAAAAGTTTCTTGTGGTGAATTGTAACTGGAGACAAAAAGTGGATTTATTTCGATAATCCAAAGCGAAAAAAATTATAGGTTGATCCAGGACAACCATCAACATCGACACCAAAACGGAACATTTACGGTTGTAAAGTAACCGCTATGTTACTTGAAAGATAGGAAGAAGTCACAGCTAACGACGGAAAATATTTTGATTGATATAAATTTAACTATTTCTTCAAAATAAAGATAAAAAATTGACAAAATATACCAGAATTAATTCCACCTCCTAATACGATTATACCCTGCACATCATCGTATTTAAATCAGAACAGACTCAGATGTTTTATTCGGATGTTTCATAGGGCAGGTTGTTCCAACTTCTTGATAAGTTAACTGATAGTTGAATCATATGTTTGTCTTCGTTCAAATTGAAGGAAAAACAAAAATAAACATATGATTTAACTATCAGTTAACTTACCAAGAAGTGGAACAGCCGGCCTTAAGAAGTCTTTATAGGATGTCTTTTGAACATTTGTACCATATGGGGAGCGACATATGAATGAGGGCGTAGGCGTCGTTGAATTTAGAATTTTGGCACGAACGAGAATGTGCGTCTGAGCAATTGCGGGATCACCTGCAGCTCAGTTGGCGATGTCGCGACAGTTGATTAGCTCCACAGATAAAACCGCTGTTTATTGTTGGTCGGTTCGCTATACGTTGCCAAGGCTATGTTGTACCCTTTGACTATAGAAATATGGATTGTCAGTACTCCATTTTTCTTATTTATCGCTGTACTGAAAAATGTATCCAACATCTTCGATAGTTTTCGAGATTTAAGCCCAGCCCCATCGACCAAAGACCAAAGGGAAGTTTAAACGTATCTTAAGATATATCTATCATAATAAAAGACATTTTATAGTCTATATATCATTAATGCAATATAAATAATGATTTTAGTTAATTTAGTCGATTTTATTAGATTACGAAGTGATAAATTATATAATAATTATAATATGTAAAGAGAAGTTTGGAGTGAATAAATGCAATGTAATACAAAATATCCAACAATAAAGAAGAATATACGTATATTAAAATATACATTAAATTTGGAACATAAATACTGTCTTTTAATAAACGTAATTTAACAAACGCGAACATAATTAAGATTAATAAAAAATAATACAATTTAACAACTGCAAGCATAATTTAGGCGAAATAAATATAAATGTTAAAAATAATATTTAAACATTATGTCCATAACAAAACTTACTGACCTTTAAAAAGAATATATTTTTATTAAATCATGCCTGATGAAAGTATGGTGTATTTTTAATATGGTAGTTTTGCCATAATGGAACAATTTTATTTAAAAAAATTAAAACAGAATTTATTTTATTAATATAAATTTATGGTTTTCCATAACACTTAACACTTCCATTAATTCATGTGTATGCGTATCAAAGTTTATAAATAATATAGATATATTAATATTTCTTAAAGTATTGGAAATCATCTTATGAAAAGCATTGAAACTAGTCAGCTGATTATTAAATCATACAATATTCAATTTTGTTCGCGAAAAAAATAAGTAACATTATAATCATATTTATAATATTTCATCCTAACACAAAATATAAAAATTAGATTTAAATATTAAATTTTTAACTTACCTATAGCAAGGCACAGAATGTTTCTCTGTTTCCTTTTTGCTGTGATATTTGGATGATTTGCAGCCTTGTACAAAGCAATAAATAACCATGTTCACACTTCTTGTTGTATTAATTATCACGTTAATATCGCGTTAGACCAAGCACTTAATAAATGACAGAATTTTAGTTCTGGAATTCCTCACTTAGTCGATGGAGGCGCGACACATCTTGGCTACCAGTCTGAAGTTAGCTATACTGGCAATCCATATTTCTATAGTCAAAGGTTGTACCAGTTACTGATTTACATCACTTCACGGAGCTTCATATTCCACAACTCTACTCATTAGTCGCGACAATTGGTCTGTTCTTTTCTTCTGCATCGCTGCACTAGTGCAATAAGTTAAAGTGAGACAAATATATACTTGTCTCACTCGAACTTATTGCACTAGTGCAGCGGTGCAGAGGAAAAGAACAGACCTAATATTACGTTGTATTGTAATTTATGATACTAACAGGTGTAACGGATATAAACATTGATGTACGTTTGACCTGAATTATTCGTTTAATCATTGCTGGCTTATTCAACATCGTCACCCCTTGTGTACTCATATTCACTGAATATAACCAAATTAATCATTCCATCTTGTTAACGATTCTGTTCTAGCGTCGTCAACTGACGCGAGTTAATTGAAATCGTCGATACTAAAACTGTGACGTTGAGGTCAAGTATCGATTATTCAACCTCGAATGATCGCAAGCAGACGCAAACGACCGAGCCACGAGTGAACGTTACTTCCGATCACGACCGATCCTTTTTTCCCGCCCCACTCCTCTCGCAGCGAATGTCGAATCAGCTGATTATTGTTTTCGTTCTTTGGGACAACCACTTTGGGACGTAGTCCGTGGTGACTACGCGATGTGATGTGCGTACACATAGGCTGCGTCACAACGACACCGACGATGCCACGCTACGTAACGACGTAACCAGTGACGGATTCGTCGCGCATTTCGCCTGGTAGTCGTGCGTCGTGCGGCTGCGGTGTGCGACTGTATGTGCACGTCGTGGTTGTGCGTGTTAGTCTACGTGTTAGTGTGCGCTGTTGTTACCGTCGCGCTCGTCGTCGTGTTCGCGATCGACGAGCGACCCCCGCGAGAGAACGCTGCTGCGAGCCTGCGAGGCGAGAGGAAGAGCCCTACACGCGCGTCATTATGTTGTGATGCATTACGCGTTTTCCTGACGGCGAGAGTCCGAAGACCGACGTTTTTCGCGCGCGAGTGATACTGTCGTGTCGTCGTTGTCATCGCTGTCGTCAGTGTTCGGTGTCATCCGGTTTGCTGATTATCCTCTCGACTGGTCGACCGTTCGCTCGTCCGTTCTTTCTTTCGTTCGTCTGTCTGTCTCGGTCTGTCTGTCTGTCCGTCTGTCCGTCCCCGCTCGTCTGCCTGCCCGCTCGCTCGCGTCCTTCGGTTTGGTTTATCAGTCGCACACAGAATGACGCAGTAGACGGACGCGGTACGCGTAAAGGTGCTGGGCCTCACGCACGACGCACCATGAGAAGATATAGTGTCACACGGTGAAGTAAGTCACACGATCGACGGTGTTTCCCTCCGCGTTACATCCCTCGCTCGGTTTCTCCCTCTGTCTTTTACTCTTCAATCGATCATGAACGAAACGGCGAGATCCACTCGAATCGCTCGCTCGCTCGTATTGCATACGCACACAACGAGTACACCGATAACAACGGCGCGATAAACAGTGCAAGCCTGCTTTGTTCCTTTGATTTCCCTCCCTGATGCGATCTACCTTATTTGTGTCCACTCGCTCGCTTTGTTTTCCTCTTTGTCGCCGCGGAGCGATTTTGCATCGTTCTCGCTCGACGTCGCTTTTTTTAACGCGATTGCGTAAACGTTTTATACGATTGTTGTACATTATCAATTCGCAAAGATACGTCGTCCACCTCGACTATCGTCTCTCTCTCTCTCTCTCTCTTTCTCCCCCTCCCCCTCCCCCTCCCCCTCTCTCCCTCCCTTTCTATCCGATCCTACTTTTCCATGTTTCGAATACCGTTTGTATAAAGGGGTCCGATAATGCATTCACATACCGCCTTTTCCCCGTTTATCTGATGCGAATGCGACATGACACTCTTCTACTTCTCGTCCCGCGGTCGTCCCTGAGTGCACATTCCACGCACAGCTGTGATGTCGCGTTGTGCAACATACTCTGCATGACACACAGCAGGCAAAATAGACCTCCCCCTCCCGCCGCCGTCTCTTCCCTCTCCAAGCTCACCAACCCATCCGCTACTGCCAGCGATGACGATTGTAACCAATGCACTCTCTCACTTTTCGTGCGCGTTAAATAATGCAACCCGCGTAACAATGCTTCGATTTCGTGAAATATCCCGGCCCTCGATGACAATGATAACAACGACGATCGTCCGATTAACGCGACGGCGACATGACAATGTCATATTTCCGTAATCCGCCGCCTAGTAATTTAGCAATATCCTCGTAATGACGTTCGACTTCGACGACGACGGATGCACCTTGGACAGGAAAGTTCTTTGTTCGCTTGCGCGTGAGGATTATATGTGCAATCAACGCTCGTACTGCGCGTTTAGCTAGTAAAGGAGATATTTTTCCACAGTCGCGCTTTTTTACAGCGCTGTCGCGCACACGTGAGATCAAACTCTGCGGCTCCACAATTAGTTTTGTTTTTGCGTTGCCTACGATGACATTTTCCGCGGAGCTTTGTTGAGTTGCGTCGTTTTCTCATTTTCCTCTGCCACTGTCTTCATGTATCTTCTTCGCCTAGCCAGTCGTGTTCCTTTGTCTTTGTTCTGTAACCATTGTTGTCGTCGTCATCGTCATTGTCACCATCATACAACGTCGCAAGACAGTCATAGATGTATTTTTAGCGTAGCGTAGCAATATAGTGTGTGTAGTAGTAGTAGTAATAGTTTATTTATATAATTTTGATTGGTTTGCAGCGAAGCAGGATTCATTGAGAAATCTTGAATTTTTATTTTAACAATTGCTCTCCATATATAATTTTATCACTATTATTTGTTGCAGAGAAAAATTGCGAAATATAACAAAGTATATAATATAGTTTATCCACTGTGTAGATTAAAGATTCTTGTGTATTCCAAATGCTTATAGAATTTTCAAATTATAAATTTCTTAATGGATACACATGAACATTATCTTTTAAACTTAATAAAGAGTTCTTATATTTTTTAATAAGTACTTATATATATATATATATATATATGTATATAAGTATATATATATATGTATGTGTGTGCACGTGCGTGCGCGCGCACGTGTGTGTGTGTGTGTGTGTGTATAAAATTTTTTTTCTAACTGAGTCTAATTCATTGAAATAAGTTTATCATTTGCATATTTTATACATGATAATACAAAGGAACTTCTCCTGTGTTTACAAATAGATAAAATTAATTTGGAGTAAAAGATGTCTGCAGAATCACCAAGGCGAGGTGTGCATAAAGGAGCTCAAGTTATTTCACCTCAACCTATAGTAGACAGATCCATTATTGATAGCGTTGCTGGAATCATCAATGACATAGTGCCACAGGTATGTCTTTTTATATTGCCATTTATATTATTTATTAAATACCTGACCATTTTAGTGTTAACTATATTCCATAATACAAAGCAATATTTATTATTTTTCAAGATTAAATATCTAGTGTTCTAATCCCATAAAAAAAGTAAAAGTTCTTTTAACATCATTATCATATTTATCATTATCATCATTAATATATTATATTTATAGATTATTATTATTATCATCAACCTATAATTTTTCATAGGGATATGCTGGAGTATCTAACTCTGATAATAAGGAAACCATATCATGGGCACGATTTGAGTATGCGGATATAAATGATCCTGCTTTATATCCTGATTATAATGAAGGTTCCAGTACACCACCATTGTTATTGGTGCTAGGATATGCGACTGGTGTTCAAGTAAATATTTCTTTTTAGACCGGAATACTATATTATAAATATTTCTCTTCAGGCTCACATTTTCAGTAACATTGGTTGTAACAATTATCAATTTGTGAATGTAGATATGGCTAATAGCAGCGACGGGAGAGGCAACGGAGGTCTTATCATGGCGACAAGGCGTGGTTCGTACCCTTCGAATTCTACCAAATCCAAAGACTGACGACGAACATGTCGACCCATTCGAAGCAAAACGGCCAATGCTAGCGATCTGCGACTCGGCTGGTCCGGGACCACAATTTTGCCACATCAGTTTCATCTCCTTAAAAACCAGCGAGCAAGTGAAAAGCATAAAATTCAAAAATCCTGTCTGCGATGTGCTAGCGAACAGGCGATCCGTGGTTGTGACATTCTTAGAAAAAATTGCGGTCTTTGATGCCAGAACATTAGAGGATGTTATAACAATCACTACTTGCTACGCTAGCCCTGGCCCGAATCCAAACCCTGTCACTCTAGGAACACGATGGCTTGCTTACAGGTACCGTTTATTTTACACGTTTGATTCTACGTCATTTATCAACACTAGCGGCTCTCTTGTTAGACCATGTAACATGCGGCTCTCTTGTTAGACCATGTAAAATTTCTTATTTGATCCCAATAATTACCTATTACGTAATGTTTATAGCGAAAGAAAACTATTACCCGCAAGAAGGAGCAGCGGTGGTTGCGAGGGTGAAGGTGTACAGAGTTACACAGCGACGGTGTTATACGCGGCGAAGTCACTAGGCAAGGGTCTCCGTGGACTCGGGGAGACGGTAGCTTCGAGTCTGACAGGGAATTCCGTCTCGCCGATGGCCGTCAATAGTACAGGCAATGACGTGACACAGCCGGGTGTTGTGACGATATTGGATCTTCAGGCGGCGAAGGAGGAGAAAGAGTTGGATGATACAGATATAGAGACTGTAATTGCTCATTTTACTGCCCATAGTGACGCGATCGTTGCCATGACGTTCGACTTAACGGGCGCGCTATTAATGACAGCGGACAGAAGGGGACATGATTTTCATGTATTCAGAATTCAACCGCATCCCGGTGGCCCGACACTGGCAGCAGTGCACCACCTGTATATTTTACATCGCGGCGACACTACCGCGAAAGTACAGGTATACTTTATTCACTGCTTGCACTTTGATCGCATATACAGAAATCTCACATGACCGTCATTTTATCGAAAAGTAAAAACTGAGCAATTTAAAATTAATTTCTTCATAGCGAACGTGTCGAGTTATCGATAGTTTCCGAGACAAGCGATCAAAGGCAACACTTTTCGTAAATTAGACGACTAAAAAAATAATAAAGTTATTTTCTTTGGTCAATTTCAAGTTTTCTTAAACAGAGTTTAATAGATATTCTCTTGAATTTCAATTCTTAGAATTTTCTTGGACAAAATTCAACAGAACTTTCATTTGGGATTCAACTGTAAAGATGTGACGTTAAAAATTGAAAAGGCATCATAAATACCGACAAAATCGACATTTTTCGCGGAAAAAATAATTCTATAATTAAATAAGGATCAGACGAATACCAGGTGACGAGAAATGATATTTTTGTTACTGGAATTGGAAACATTCGTTTGAACATTCAACAACATTAGATCTCCGTTGAAATAACAGAACAATAGACTGGTTAGAAACCTTCTACAAGAATCTTTGTCTGCATAACCGAGTTTTTGTCTAGTCCTCAACAGTAAATTCAGATAAAGTTGTTTTTTTTCCATTCTAAGGAAAAATTATTTTCAGATTGCTCAGAGAACCTCTCTGTAAAATTAAGATCGCGAGCTGTGAGACATTTTGTCTATGTATGCTCTGCTCGAACATCTCATTTGATATCGCTTATTTTCGCACCAGGACATGGTGTTCTCGAGTGATACACGTTGGGCCGCAGTTTCCACCGTGAGAGGTACTACTCACGTTTTCCCTGTCGCTCCTTACGGTGGTCTCGTGGGTGTGCGGACACATTCTACGCCTCACGTAGTCAACCGATTATCGAGATTCCACAAGAGCGCGGGCCTGACGGACGACGGTACCCGGTCTCATTCTCCAGTGTCTCACGCGGAGCTACCTCTGTCTGTTTATCCGTACACAAACCCTCGACTTCCACCGTATCCTCTTCCAACGATATTACATCCCCTATCGCAGATACGACAGCCTTCTTCTTTGAATCACGTCAACAGCTCCTCCCAACCGAGGTAATCATTGCCGAATGTTGTGTCCTGTAAGAAGCGATAAGAAACAATAAAAAATACGATTGAAGAACATATGTCGTCGTATGTATCATAGCAGACCGCAGCCAAGACAACGATTACATTCGGACGACGGCGGAACCTTGCCGTTGAAGATTTGCGTGTGCTTTGCTCCGCCGAGAGCTTGGATGTATGCGCAAAGGGAATCTAGCAGCAAAGTTGTCAAGAGAGCCGTTGATTCCTTATTTATCATGGCGTGTCACGGCAATCTGATCCAATATGACTTAGAACCTAAACCAGCTGCTGGTATGTAAGAAGAAAAAAATAAAATTTGTATTTTTTTATAATTTACTACATATGTTACAAAATACATATTATATACAATTTTTATCATCAATTTCTATCGATTAAAATTTTCATTATTAATTTTTATTACACTCCTTTAGAGTTATATTTTTCTTGTTATATTCCTTTAGAGTTACAATTACATTTATTTATTAAAAAAAAATATGTATTTTTTGGTTCAGGAGTACCAAAAGAAAAGGTTTGCGACGATACTATGATCGAGTTGGAAGTCGAAGCGAGGGGTCAATGGCCGCTTTTGCGAACGCCCAATTCATCAGAAATCGTCCCACCATTGCCTTTATCTAATTCGTTATTCAGCGTTACGTTCGCACCGAAGAACAACCAGGAATACGACACAGCTGAGGATCGTTGGTTGAGCCAAGTAGAGATCGTAACGCACGCTGGGCCGCATAGGAGATTATGGATGGGACCGCAGTTTGTCTTTAAAACTTACAACGCGCCCAGTGGGTTGGTGTTTTCTCACTCAATTTCATAATCTGTTCTCGGAGAACATGACTCATTAACAAGATATTGATTGTTATTTAGGGTGTCTGTCAATCTAGTTGAAGCAGAAGCGGTCGAAATCGGAGTTACCTCCGGTGGGTCACGTCCAGCTAGGTCGAAACCCGTTAATATGCCGCATGCATCCTCTAGACCATTGATGCCAGTTGTCATCGACGGATCTGGGAGTGAGTGTCCATAATTTGAGATTATTGCGTTAAGAAATATATGAAGCGGTAATTCAAAATAGAAAGAAAAAGAAACATTAAGTCTTAAGGTTCTTGATCCTTCGCCACAAAACTCTCGGTTAATGACGTAAGAAGTGAGCAAATCTGTATTAAAGATTTCCTATAGATTATGTCGAAATAGAAAGATATAATTATAAAAATAACGCTTACAATCGATTGAACATATTTTCCCGAAATGCTCCGAAAACTTTCTTGTTGAAGCATTCAATAAATAGGTGAAAAATTAACATGACAAAATTTTGGGAGAAGGTAGTTTAACCCTTTGACTGTTACGGTCGAGATAATTCGAGTGTGGAAAAAATGGCCGGCTTGCTACGATCGAGTTTACTCGATTTGGACTTTCAATGTGTGTGATATTGCGTGTATTTGCGGGTATTTTTTTTCTTTATTTAAAAATGTGAATTTGTGAAAATCTGGATCATCAGCAAATTATAAAATATTTTATAATTGTAAAAATAACTCAGCAAAGAGGGTCATACTGGTCATTTAATATCTCAGCAGTTAAAGGGTTAAAAAAGATGGTTACATATTATACTAATTTCGCAGTTATGTATATATTGGTTGTTAGAGCAAAAGGAAAGTTTATAGAACAGTTTGGGAACATGCTCAATCGATTACAAGTATTATTTTAATGATATATTTTTTATTTGAAGGTGGTAATACGGAATAATTGCACATGTGTTCGATTAAGCCTCATATTACAGTCATTTTATAATTGTTGATTGGCTATCCCTTATGAAAAAAAACCCAATTTTGGGTGTTAACACTCAAAAAACGCTTAACTTTGGGTGTTACACGCCGATAAAAAATGCTCATCTTTAAGTGTTATACACTTATACACGTATAAACGTTCAATTTTGGGTATTATACACCGAAAAAACACTCAAATTAAGTGTGATTTCGGATCGTCAATTGAAGGTTACATCCAAATGAGGGTTAACGCTCAACGAAAACTATCAAAATAACACCCAAGAAAACTCTCAAAATAACACCCAAATAAAACCTTGAAAATGAAACTTTGAAATTAAATGCACTCAAATTTTGCAATAGACGGCAATACACATAAAGCATATGTTCGTGAAATCTTTGTTTATTTGTTGTTTTCACTTAAGAACTTAAAAATAAGGCATTGATCGAATAAATAAATAGGCTAAATATATTTTCATTTAACTGTATCATTCATTTTGACGGTGTTCGTTTTCAGTGTAATTGTAGAGTTAGTTAACCATCAACTGTAATACTCGAATGAGGGTATACAGGGTGTCTCAGAACTTTGGGACACGGGCTCCGTAGGGACATAGAGCTAAATGAGAGGAACAAAACAGTCCACTACCATAATGTGAATCGTAATAGTTTTTTAATTATAACTGCAAAGTTTGGCGTTTTCCACAACCAGCGCGACCTATAGACGCTCCACGGCAAGCTATTTGCGTAGGGACTGAGCGATAACGCGTCTCGCGCTGACTGTCGCGATGGTGTCTTGGTGCTTTGACGCCTCTCACTTAACTCTATATCCCTACGGAACCCGTGTGTCAAAGTTCTGAGACACCCTATATATACATCTACTGCGCAAATAGTAAACATTAGGTATTAAATACATATATTTAATGTCCTACTTAGAAACTACGACATTAAACATATATGTTATGTATTTAATACCTAACGTTTTTACTATTTGCATAGTGAGTATATAGGGTGTCCCAAAAGTAACGGACCACCCTAATAACTCTTCAGTATTGAAGTTTCAAGGAAAATGATCTGAAAAAAAAAAGTTGTAGGGATTTAAGTGAGCTACCTTATGATGACCTTGACTTTGACCTTGACCTCTATTTTCAAGGTCATTCGAAGGTCAACTTGCGTTTTTTAAATGAAGGAACCCTTATTTTTTATTACACTTTTTTTCTACTAGTTAATTTGACAACAACTTTTGTCTAAAACAATTTTTTTATTTGTCTAATATTTTTTTTAGATATTTGAGGAAAATCTGATAACTTTCTATATTTAATTTACGATATCTCACTAACTATTTGTCGGAAGAAAAAGTGATACTGGACTTTCTTGCTTGATTTAGTCTCAAAAATATATTGTTACAATAGCGCCCTGACTTTTGTTAACTTACTGACTTTTGGAAATTTCAAAATCATCAAATTAACAAAAATCAGGGCGCTATTGTAACAATATATTCTTGAGACTAAATAAAGCAAGAAAATATAGTACCACTTTTTCTTTCGACAAATAGTTAGCGAGATATCGTAAGTTAAATATTGAAAAAGTTATCAGGTTTTCCTCAAATATCTAAAAATATTAGACAAATAAAAAAATTATTTTAGACAAAAGTTGTCAAATTAACTAGTAGAAAAAAGTGTAACAAAAAATAAGGGTTCCTTCATTTAAAAAACGCAAGTTGACCTTCGAATGACCTTGAAAATAGAGGTCAAGGTCAAAATCAAGGTCATCATAAGATAGCTCACTTAAATCCCTACAACTTTTATTCAGATCATTTTCCTTGAAACTTCAATACTGAAGAGTTATTAGGGTAGTCCGTTACTTTTGGGACACCCTGTATATATATATCTTTATTCGAGTATTACACCTAGTTGATGGAACACCATTAAAATGAACATGTAACAATCATATGAAAGTATATTTAGCCTATTTAGTTATTCGATTAATACCTCATTTACGAGTTATTAAATGAGAATACAATGAATAAACAAGGGTTTCACGAAAATATACTTTCATTTATGTATATTGTCGTTCACTGCAAACTTGAAATATTCTGAAAAATGAAAAATAAAAGACTAATTATACAACATTATATTTTATTCAAAATATAGGTTTTCTAACTACTGGCACGCGCGCACTATTGCACGATTGACGCTCTAACCAACACACTATTAAATATCTATTACTATTCAAATCACTATTAAATTTAATGGTCATACTAACCGACATCCAATACTGATGCCCAATGCTTAACCACTGTAGTGGTCTGTTCTTTGTAGCTGCACTGTTGAACTGGTGCAATAAGTTAAAGTGAGATAAATATAGGTTTTCTCACTCTAGTTTATTGCACCAGTTCAGCAGTGCAGCTACAAAGAACAGACCAAATATTCAGTGTCTACACCAATAATACACCGAATATTAATGGTTACACCCAACTGACACCTAATATTGAGTGTCTACACCAAGATAATAACAAATATTGATAGTCACACCCAATTGACACTCAATATTGAGAGCCTACATCAAAGTTACACCGAAAATTTGATAGTCACACCCAACCGACACTCAACATTGATGCTCAACACTCAACTAACATCGAATATTGACGGTTAACATTTAATTTTCATGGCAAACACCCAAATTTCAATGATTACACCCAAATTGAGGGTCTTTTTTCATAAGGGATCAAGCAAGAAGCATGGCGTTCAGAGCATTTTACAAATATTCTTCAGTTATTTGATATATTCTTCGATATAAATATATTTTTATTTGGAAATGACACGCAAGGATTTTTAGCATATTATTTCTGGTCTCACATTATTATCCAATATGGCTACGGTGAATCGCCTAGGAAGCCTTACAAATAAACCTCGGGAAATGTTAGACGCCGAGTTGTCCCTAATTTTTTACAGTTATTTTTTTACGTCAAAGTATGAAATCTGAATTATCATTTTTAGCTTAAATTGTTTTGCTCAATTATTTTTTAAACAAGGTATTTTAAAACGTCAAAATATTGTTATCTGTTTGTGACATTTTCACGTCATATTTTCGTATATATGGTCATTTTTGGTCATTTTTTACTAGATTTTTACTTCGAAATGAGCATGTTTGCTGCATAGTAACGCCCATAAACATAGTATATTTAGACTGCGTGTTCGAGGAGTGGGGATGTAATTCTCGGAGAGAAGGAAGCACTCTGTTTTTACTGTTCGTTCTCTCTCACACAGTCTCAATGGAAGAGGTACAGGGGAGGCAGTTGTTGTACAGCAGAGCTCGGCAAAGTTTACAACTTTCGGCCGATTTTCGGGAGCTACGCCTCCTATCTCCCTTTACCGCGGATCCAGCAACTGTCGGTCACGGCTTGCGACTTCAGGACCGTTGAGATCACAAGGCGCATCTATGTGGTGCCTATTAAAGATGCGTTCGGGGAGCGCGTCGATCAGCGCTAACGCGTCATTCAATCCTTGTACATGTAATGAGCGATAAAAATAGAATAACGTGTTAGCGTTGACAGCGTGCTCCTTTAACGCACCTCAAAGAGAAGAGCTGAAAAATAAATGTATCGATACAACTATTGGGTGAGTGCAAAAGTTCGTGCGGAGTTTGTGAGTAAAAGTCACACAGTGATTAGGCAAACAAAAATCTTTATTCAATCAATGATATATTCTCCATCGTTTTCTATAATCTTTTCCCAACGTTCTGGCAGCATACGGATGCCTCGATCATAAAAACTGCGCGGTTTAGATTCGAAGAACGAAGAGACGCCGTTTTTTAAGGCCTCCAAAGAGTCAAAGTTTTTTCCATTTAAATAATTTTGCAATGACCGGAACAAGTGATAGTCAGATGGTGCGATATCAGGAGAATACGGTGGATGCGTTAAGACATCCCATTTCAGGCTCTTCAGTTTGCGCAGCGTCTTTTTCGAAACGTGTGGTCTGGCGTTGTCGTGATGAAAGACGATTCCCTTGCGATTTGACAAAATCGGACGTTTCTCTTTTATTTTTCGATTCAGATTGGTTAATTGGCGACAGTACTTGTCCGAATCAATCGTTTCGCCAGCGGGGAGAAGCTCGAAATAGATTATGCCCTTGCAATCCCACCAAACAGAGAGCATCACCTTCATCGGGTGCAAACTGGCCTTTGGCATTGCGTCACCATGCTCACCTGATTGTTTCCATGTCCGTTTGCGCTGAACATTGTTGTAGAGGACCCATTTCTCATCGCCCGTCACTAGTCGATCCAAAAACGACTCGTTATTGAGCCGCCCGAGTAAAGAAACGGCTACAGAAATTCGCTTGATTTTGTTCTTCTCGGTCAGCAAATGGGGCACCCATATATCGAGCTTCAAATCGAATCCCATCTTTTTTAAACGCCGAAAAAGCCGGTTGATCGGTCAACGTTTAGTGCTGTAGCAACTTCTTCTGTTGAAATTCGCGGATTATTGAGCACTAAAGTACGCAAAACATTGTCATCAATGTCAGTAGGTCGACCAGAGCGTGGCTCGTCTTCAAGGTTAAATTCTCCGCGCCGAAATTTAGCAAACCATTTTTCCACAGTTCGTTTAGCTGGTGCTTCATCCTGATAAACATCCTGAATGTTTTTTACGGCTGCGGCAACGTTTATTCCCTTCCGAAACTCGTAAAGCATAACATGCCGTAAATGCACCTTATCGATACTCATTTTTAAAGTGATATTTCTCGAAGCAGTTTGTATGAAAACAAATGATTTTTTTTTTAATAACAGCTGAAGACGTCACCTTTCCAACGTTATATAATATGTAGATGGAAGTATTAATGACAACACTTTACGACGCTTATAACTCCATCTATTGAAACTCCGCACGAACTTTTGCACTCACCCAATACATATATAATATTTCGTACAAACTTGTACAAATATACAGGGTGTCTCAGAACTTCGGGGCACGGGCTCCGTAGGGACATAGAGCTAAGTGAGAGGAACAAAAAAGTCTTATATCATAATGTGAAAATCGTAATAGTTTTTTATTTATAACAGCGCAATGTTTGGCGTTTTCCACGCCCATCGCAACTTATAGACGCTCCGCGGCAAGCTGTGTGCGTAGGGGCTGAGCGATAAAGCGTCCCGCGCTGACTGTCACGATGGCGTCTTAGCGCTTTGTCGCCGCGCGACGGTCAGCGCGAGCCGCGTTATCGCTCAGCCCCTACATACAGCTTGCATACAGCTTGCCGCGAAGCGTCTATAGGCCGCGCTGGGCGTGGAAAACGCCTAATTTTAGGTTGTTATTACTAAAAAACTATTACGATTTTCACATTATGGTACAGGACTTTTTTGTTCCTCTCACTTAGCTCTATGTCCCTACGGAGCCCGTGTCCCAAAGTTCTGAGACACCCTGTATATATTTTTTCTTATATTCTTATAATTAGAAGATAACATAAGATAACTCATGACGTACTATTGCCGACGCGTTAAAAAAAAAAAACGCGTCGACAATAGTACCTCATGGGTGACGAGGAAACTTATTATGTTACTTTCTAATTGCAAAAACATGAGAAAAAATATACAGGGTGTTTGAAAGCTTATCATACAGACGAAAGTTGGAGATAGATTGGGTGTAGCCGAGAAGTAAAGTCATGTACCATAATGTCAAACTGGCAATAGTTATCGAGTTATTAATTGAAACATGTGAGCCAATGAGCGTGTAGAAAGCGCTAGGCGGCCGCCTCTTGTCGCTTGCGCTCGCTCGTCGTTCGCGCTCGCTCGCCTCTTGTTGTTTACGTTGCCCCTCGCTGCACGCGCTTGTCTACCGACACTCACTGACTCCGCCTGTATCAAATGTCTACGTGCTTACTGCAGTCGCCCTCCGCTCTCTACGCGCTCGTTGGCTCACATGTTTTAATTAATAACTCGGTAACTATTGCCAATTTGACATTATGGTACATGACTTTTCTTCTCAGCTACACCCAATCTATCTCCATCTTTCGTCTGTATGATCAGCTATCAAACACCCTGTATACAGGGTGGGGGGTTATAAGTTTACGACCCGAAGTGTGAAGGTAGATTGGGTTAAGACAAACATAAAAGTTCCATACCGTTTTGCGAGATTCGCAATAATTATCGAGTTATTAATGACAGAAACCTGGGGAATAGGAGAGCGATAACGCGAGACGCGTTATCGCTCAGCCCCTAAGCACACTGCTTGCCGCGGAGCATCTATAGGCCGCGCTGGGCGTGAAAAACGCCTAACTTTGTGCTGTTATAATTAAAAAACTATTACGATTTTCACATTATTGCAGAGGACTTTTTTGTTCCTCTCACTTAGCTCTATATCCCTACGCAGCCCGTGTGCCAACGTTCTGAGACACCCTGTATACTTATACAAGTATATATTTGTACAAGTTTGTACGAAATATTATACATATAGTTGTATCGATACATTTATTTTTCAGCCTTTGAGGTGCGTTAAAGGAGCGCGCTGTCAACGCTAACACGTTATTCTATTTTTATCGCTCATTACATATACAAGGATTGAATGACGCGTTAGCGCTCCCCGAACGTATCTTTAGTAGGCACCACATAGATGCGTCTTATGATCTCAACGGTCCTGAGGTCACGAGCCGTGACCCTCAGTTGCTGGATCCGTCGCGCGGTAAGGGGAGATAGAAAGCGTAGCTTCTGAAAATCGGCCGAAAGTTGTAAACTTTGCCGAGCTCTGCTGTACAGTAACCACCGCCCTTATACCCCTTTCATTAGGACTGAGCGAGAGAGAACGAACAGTACAAACAGAGTTTCTTTTTCTCCGTTCCTTCTGGTTCCTTTTCTCCGAGAGTTATACCCTCACTCTTGAAATTTGGGAGAACGTGCAGTCTTGATATACTGTGTCTATGGTAACGCCGAAGACTAGCGTCGACTATTTAGCGTAAACCGGACATTTTCAACAATGACGTCGGCCACATTGGATCCACCATGATGCAAAACAGATTTGATTCATTATCAGCGACATATGTATACGAGTCTTAATAAATCTAGATCTGTTGTTAAGAAATACTGTTTTAAATATGTGTAAAATAGTATACTTGCGCAAAACTTAAAAAATTTTGAAAAAAATTGAAAATTTAATTTGAGCTAAAAATGATAGCAAATTTTTTCATATTTTGACATAAAAAGTAATTGTAAAAGTTGGAGATAATTTGGCGTCTGACATTCCCCGAGATTTACTTGTTAGTATGTTCATATATAGAATCAGTATAGGAACTCAGGAGCCTTAATGTATCATGTGCGCACACATGTATACATCTACAAAAATAATTAGATTTTCGTGCTGAATTAGTTTTTTTTAATTCGAAGAAGGTTCAAAATATTAATTTAATTCAATTTTGTAGGCAGTTACGAGCAATCGCCGAGATTCATGGAAGCTTATGGCGATCCTTCGGACAACGAGAACGTGGCTATTGGCAGTTGCGAGAGTCAGTTGAGGGAAGATCTTGCGGAAGCTATGCTCGAAATATCCATCGCTTCGCACCGTGCTCCAGGTAAGTAGGTTATTAAGTTAACGCAGGATTATCTCAGGGGAGCATAATCATGAATACAAGTCTATTTCATTGATCATTTATTTAGGTTTAATTTTCATGTTACATTGTCCTCCGCAACAATTTAATCGATATATTTCCGTACGAGCGAGAGAGAAAGAGAGAGAGAGAGAGAGAGAGAGAGAGAGAGAGAGAGAGAGAGAGAGAGAGAGAGAGAGAGAGAGAGAGAGAGAGAGAGAGAGAGAGAGTGAGAGTGAGAAAGGGGGAGAGATATTTGTACGCGATTTGATGATCCTCAGAAATTTTTATTTGCTTCGTATTGCGGATTTGCATGCATTCCATATTTTTGCCATACACCATACACACTTTCATTTTCACGTTTAATCATCGGTCAAAAAACAATATTTCCGCTAGATTTATCCAATGAATGCAATCAGTAGCGTTTAGCGGATATATGTTTTACGTATCTTAATCGCTTGTAATATTTCTGTTCTGTTCGATAATACGAAAAGAAAAATGAAGAAAAAATTGCATTATTGAATTTGTGTAATTATATTTTTTTTTCTTTTCTTGAATATATATTTCATATATCAAGCATCATCAAATAAACATTATTACAGGTTACTGAAATTACTTTTAGATTAACTATAAGATCGTTTATATCAAAACGTGTAATTCCTTTTTGATCTTGAAATTTCCGAAAAAATAATCATTAAAAATATGCTCCTGTGATAATTGCACTTTAAACAATGCAATTTTTTCTTCATATATTTTACAATCATCAAACAGAAGTATTTCAGATAGTCAAGATACACGAAACTCTGTATACAGAATAATCCATTTTAAATGCCTACCTGAAATATCTCGGTAGAAAAATGCATTATTCGGAAAAATATTTCAGGTAGAAGTCTGAACATGTTAGAAGTTAGAGCAAAGTCACTGTTTTGCTACACAATTTATGTTTGAAGTATTTTTCTGGATAATGCATTTCTTCCGAGATATAGATGGGGATTTAAAAAAGATTTTACATTATATGTATATAAATATAAATAAATATGTATACATGTTTTATTTATTTTTTTAATTTTCGATATTTATTTAAACGAACATTTTGTACACTCATGTTTAAAATCATAAAATATAAATTTATATGTAAGATTCGTGTAAAATTTCGCGTGAAATGTATGCTTGTTCTAAGATTGTCGTTCTTTAGAACAATAATATCGAGAAGTAAAACGAATAAGATTCTCGAAAGGCAAAATATTTGCCGACGTTTTATGTTAATACTGTCATCGCGCATTGCGAGATCTTGTGTATCCTGACTAAACCAAAAAGAACAAGAAAAGACAAAAAATATGAACATGAGTAAAACTTTCTTCCATCCTTGATTTAACTCCTGTACATAACAAAGGATATCTCGATTAGTGTTGTAATATCTCTATTCGCGTGGATACAGAACTGGCCAGAGGCAGGTATCTCCATTTTGTTTCTGTAACTGCATTGTTATTTCTAAGAAATAACAGCGAGACATATCTCTCGAATGCGCGTTTTTTGTATGAATAGAAAACAGTAAAAAATGTTTAGAAAGATATGTACTGTCTTTATAATAACAATTATACTGATACATCATATTACCTTCGAGGCTTTGAACTTTGTATATCGAGAGAGGGGGGAGGGAGGGGGAGAGGGAGAGAGTGAGTGAGTGAGTGAGTAAGTGAATGAGAGAGTGAGAGAGAGGGAAGGAGAGAGGGGATAAGAGGGTTAGAAAGAGGTAAGAGGGTTAGAAAAGGGTGAGAAAGAGGGGAGAGAGAAGGGGAAGGGTGAGAGTGAAGGATGAGAGGGAGTGAAGGAGGGAGGGAGGGTGAGATAGGGGTGAGGTGTGAAAGAGGGTGTTTGGTATGAGGGTGAGAGAGAGAAAGAGGGGGGTGAGTGAGAGTAAGAAGGGGATGGGAGAAACATACGATATTGATACCTGCCAACGGCTTTTTCTGTTAATAGGTAGGCGATCGGTATTTGAGAGGGTGGGTCAGCCCATAACTAAAGTCGTCAACCCTCTTGGCACCGTTATTACCGTGTCAGCCGACGAGGAGGACAATGTTAGCAACTCCGGTCGAGAGTTGTTTGACTTTGCGGAGGAGATACTTGCACCGGCGGAGGCACCTAGAAGCATATGCGCCGAGGAGGGCCCGGCCTCGCTCGGCGATCTGGAACCGCCGGAGTACGGCCAAACATTGCGTGATCTGACAGAGATTTGCGCAGAAATGCGCTCGACCAGCGAGCCAGCGATCGACAGCGTGCCCGACGAGAACATATTAGAGTTGACAGAACGTCGAGCTCTTTGTGCAGAGATGAGAACTTCGACAACCGGAAGCGGTAACAATGTCTCATCGATTGACTTCGAAAGGGAGGAGGCCTTTCGTGACGTGCCAACGAGTCTGAGCCTATGCGCCGAGCAAGGTGAGATCCCGAACAGCCCGATGACGCGGGCCAAAGAAACTGTCTGGTGCTGCAAGAGGTCATCATCAGGCAAGCGTGACGATCATGAGGAAGCGCGCGAAAGAAACTTCGCCAAGGCTAAGTATGTCGTCAGCTATGATGACGACAGCGTTACGCTGATGGAAAATAGAACGACGACGACGAATACGGCGACGGCGATGGCGATGGCAATGACGACGACGATGACGCGCGTCAAGAATACGATAGACCAGACGCAGTCATCCGTAGACAAAGAACAACATGTGGTCGGGCAAGGAGCGCTGAATAAATCTGCAAGAAAAGATTCCGAGAAACAATCGTTCAAGAAACTTGGATTATCAGCGAACGTGTCGTCAAACTCGGATTCTGTGCAGAAACGTCCAACGGAACAGTCGACATGCATGGAGAAGTACGTAGTGAAGGAGGATGAGGACAATGTCATCATCGAAGACGCACGATATAGCGAATCGACGGGTGTCAATACGCATAAACAACAGAATAGTCTCGACGAGAAAACGAAGGACATTGGCACTGAGGCAACGAAGGTAAGGTCGTCCAACGTAGCAACCTCGCGCAGAAACAAGTCAAAGACTGTCGTTACATCGCAGAATTCTTGTTCTGGGAAGAACGGAGCGGCATGCGAGACCAGAAAAAGTAAGCGCGCGAAGGAAAAGTCTTTCGTGGTTGGGTCGCATGAACTGCAATCGACGAGCGATAAAACGAGAGAGAACGCCAAGCTCGAAACCATGCTCTCGGAAACGAAAGCAGGTCTCTTGAGCGACGACGACAATGACGACGACGAATTGCCACCGTTGAATCCTTCCCCCCTAGACGACTTCAGTTCCATCGAGTACCATATGCTGGCGGAGGCCGCCGGTTTTCCGGCCGGCAAAGACGCTGCCACTTTTTCTATTCAGTCGGACGACGACATTGAGCACATTCACATAGACTCCGAGATGATGCAAGTACGAGAACGAACAGAAACCGGCGGCCGCACTGGCAGGGATACGATGTCCCGGTTTTCACACAATCAGGAACTGTTTTCTGTAACGCAACAAAGGAAGAACAGCAAAAACACCATCTCGGACGATGATCTGGAATATATACATAGCTCCGAGCTCAGCGACGTTCCGGAGCGTGCCGACACCGCGGTCAAGTATTCCTCTAGGAAGCCGGACGAAGGCACTAATGATAGTTTACACGTAGCGTGTCTCAAGCACAGCAAACACACGTTATCTTTCGACGATGATTTGGAACATGTGCAGCATTCCGAGATTCATGAGTTGGAATGCACATCTTTTACATCTCAAAAACCATCGGCGGCGACGGTCACTGCCGCGGTCGAAAGAACCTCGACGAGGCAAGAGACATTGGCAACGGAACAGCAGACAATTCCGAAATCCTTTAAGACAAACAAGAGACGGAAGGACATCATGGTGATCGACAATGAAACCGCGAAGGATACGGCGGAGGTTACCGTGATTTACAATCCTTTGGAGGAAGTCTTCGACACCAAGTGTGGAACAGAACGCAAGGATAAGCTGGAAGTAACGTACCCGGTGAGTCCTACGAGGAAGGCCAAGAGTCGCGGCACTTGGAAGACCACGAATTCCTCCTCTTCGTCGTCGTCGTCGTCGTCGTCGTCGTCGTCGTCGTCGTCGTCGTCGTCGTCGTCGTCGTCGTCATCGTCATCATCATCATCATCATCATCGTCGTCATCGTTACCTGGCAAACAAGCTCCTCAATCTATGGCGGGTGTCGTCGAGATCATTGACATCGACGCAATGCAAAAAGTTGAGGAGATAGACGCAATGGCAGCAGGCAACTCCAAATGCAAGATATTACCGTGGTGTCAAAACGCTGTTATCGTTGGCGCGCGCGCCAAGAAGTTCCACAGGAGCAAGAAGTTGCACGTGGACAACCAGTCATCGCAGGACAGCACAGTATATTCGCCGTTCCATCCGTCCAAAGTAATGATGGCCGAATTGCAGGAAGCCGTGGAGGAGATGCCCGTGGTCGAGGCCAAGTGGCAGGAGCCAAAGCCGCAAGCCGTCGCAAACACGGAGGTATCCTGGAGTTCAATCGTGAAGAAGAACGTCTTCTCATTGTTGTCAGACGCGTCAGAGGCGACACCTCGCGTCAAGGAACGGAGCCTCGAGCCACTGATGGAGGCGGAGGAAAGATTGCCGGAGAACTTTGGAAACCAGGATCTGTCGTCTGAGTCGACCGCGCCCACGACGACACGCAGATGTCGATGGCTTAGTTTTATGTCTAAGCAGGAACGGCTTGACGTGGAAAACAATGACGTCGCGACAGCGATGACGAAGGCGACGGTGGCAGTGATGGAGCTGAATGAGAATATTTCCGTAGAGCTTCCCGCACCGACGGTATTCAATGACCTGAAAAATCCTCGCGACAGCGATGTCGATGGCGACAATAGTGACGTTGATGACGATAATAATGACGACGACAACAACGATAACAACGTTCGCGACAACGTCAACGTTGCGTGCGTAAGCTCGCTGCGTAGAGCCAAGACTCGCAAGATCGAGTCGATGAAAAAGAAGACAGAGAACAGTTCCCGCGTCTCGGCGGAAATAGTAACCGACCGACGACTGGTCGACGATGACGATGGCAGCAACAACGGCGGCGGCGACGCCGAGACATGTCTAGGTAACGCAGCTGTGAAAGGAGAATCGCAAGAATCTTCTTTGCAGCTCGCTACAGTGCGCCATCGGCAGTACCAGCCAGAGGACAGCCATGCGGCCGTGGAGCAGGGCGTGCTTTCGGAAGCAGCTCGCAACGCGGCTGAAAGCGAACTCGAGCCTAGCGCTGACAAGCATTGCGACTCGAAAGAATGTAACGAGTCATTACCTGAGCACTCGACTTCGTCGAACGAGCTGACCAACGCCACGACGCTCGTTACATCCAATGTCAACGGTGATGGCAACGATGCTACTGATAACGGCGATAACAACGCCTGCTGCACACAACAGGACTCCGCAGGGAAGCACAAAGGCCACACAATGTGCTGGCTATATTCTGGCTATAAATCCGCCGTGTACACCTCAATGAGTACTAGGAAAGTTTACAACGGCAGGTCCAAGAGAAAAAAACACAGATGAGTAGAGGATTGCGTGGATGTACCTGGGGCCAGCCTTGCCCTGTACATACTCTTGATGCAAGTCACAGGAGTGGATTAGCGTTCTTTAATAATAGCGAGGGAATCTATTGAGATCGCTTGGTTGTTCTCCTCTCTGTTTTGTAGAAGAATCTAAACATATATCGACAAGAGCTCTTAAGGCTTATCTATGGCCATGTTCCAAAATTCACTGCCAATGCTGAAAAGTTATAGTTTGCGTGACACAAACTATATATTTTCAGTACTGTCAGTGAATTTTGGAACACAGCCTATGTAAGACACAGACGTAGGATAACTTCTTAAGGTTTGTCTACAATGAGAGTAAGAATATGCAGTAAGATGTAAGCAATAAGAAAAAATAAGAAAGACCAACCACAGTCGATTATTATAAGAATTGATGGCTCTTATTGTTATAACAATAATCGACTCGGTCGTATTGGTCGTGATTGGTCAATTTCTTACTGCTCACGTCTTATTGCAGATTTTTATTCATTATAGATGGGTGGTCACATGGAGATTGGATGATTGTGACCATCATCTGCGCGTCACGTCTTGCATCTTATACAGGGTGTCCAATTTTAATCTATTACTCTTCGTAACTTTGCAGGGAGCAGTCGTAGAGAAAAACGTTTCAGACAAAAGTTGTTAAGATTAATTGGTAGAAAAGATGATATAATAAAAAATTGGAGTTTCCATTTAAAAAAAGTAACGATCAGTGAATATTTGGACTTTTCGTTAGTCCAATAATTAAAATAGTGTTCGAAAATAGTTTTATATCGTTATTTATTAACTAATAAAACACAACTCGTAGAGATATTACAAAAAGAAAAATCTTAAGATGAACAAAAGCTAAACTAGACACCACGGACTATAGATCTCTGTGTGTGTATGATGTAGTTCTTCGCAGCCTAAGAGAGAGCTCCGATAGAGGCGTGACGCTCGGTGCATTCGTCTGGTAGTGGTGAAGTCGCCACAAATATCACGAAAGTAGCGCCATCTGTAAATAAAAAATGATGTAGTTGTTTTATGTTCCCGTTGAAACCATACAACTTTTGTCTGAAACATTTTTCTCTGCGACCGCTCCCTGCAAAATTACAAAGGGTGATAGATTAAAATTGGATAACCTGTATAGACGAGGTTTTACCGCGCGCGCATCTCTCTTCTGTTCTCTATATCCTTTGTGCATTAAGAATTCATTTCCCCCGACTGATCGGTAATATGACGGTATCAATTGCTGATGACAGATATACACAATATATCACATTCAGGCAATACGGGCAAGGCTGTGCTTTTTGTTGTTAAAATTTTGGACTCGTTAGCTGTAATAAACAGGAAATTAATGGAATTAATGAGGAAAGAGCTCTTGGAATAAAAGATTCTTTGCAAGTTCGACGAACAACTCCCGCGTAGCAATTTCAATTTAACTGCCTTAGATCGTAATGGGGAAGTAATAACTTTGAATCTTCTCCTTTCTGTTTTTAACTCTCTATCTTTGTCTTTCTCTATTTACGTGTGACGCAAAAGAAAAAAGAAAAAAGACGATGAACGTGTATATATCGTTCGTTATCGTTGAACTGTGTTCGGCGCAGTTTATGATTTACGATGAATAATCGGGCCATCAAGGTGTTCATTTGCTAATTTCTGCTAATTTCTGTCGTTGTTGAATGAACTGATGTTGTCTGTGCTCGCGGTAGGTTATACTTTCCTTTATTGTATAATATGTCCCATTAAGCTTATCCAGCCTCGTGTCCGTTCATTCACTGCGAAGATCTGCTTTCTGTGAAAGCCAAGTAGTGATACGACTTACGTCTGAATATTTCACGGTCATCTCGTCACATTAATACTATTCAATGTATTACAATAGGGACACACTTAGTGAATGCGACTATGCCGCACTTTGCAATTCTCTGGGAGACTTTTGTTTTCCTCATCGATCACTCTCACACTCCTTTGAACGAGGCGAAAGAGAAACAAATTGAGTTGAGTTGTTTATATTGAACGAATGATCATTTTCATCTTCAATAAGAAAGATTCTCCTGTTAATCAAACGCAACTTTTGGCGACAAATGTCTCTTACATATAAAATTAAAACTATTAGATTAGGTGCAAAAATAATTATAGTTTTTATGTATCGAGTATAAAGACATATATATCAGTTAAAAATTATATTAATCAAAATAAAGATCATGGCCTGCACACATATCTTCCAACGGGAAACAAGTTTGTTTATTCGTACAAGATAGAATTCTGGAAAAGATAACGATAACTATTGGGTTGTTCGGATAGTAATTTCAGTTTTCTCAAATAGATGGTGCTAGTTGCCTTTTTAAGCATATAGTCTCATTCTAAACCAGAAAATCATTTTACATTTTTACAACGCACATTTTAAGCTTCATTTGAAAAACAAGTTGTTTTGGAATCTGTCAAGTTGTTTATGTTTGGTGTCGTATCAAAAATGGAAAACTAACGTGAACATTTTTGTCACATTTTGCTTTTTTATTACCATAAAGGCAAAAATGTAGCGCAAGCAAGAAAAAAATTGTGTGCCGTATATGAAGAGGATGTGTTGACCGAACGCCAGTATTAAAATTAGTTTTCGAAATTTCGGTCTAGGAATTTCGACCTCAAAGATGCCATTACGTTCTAGAAGGCCAGTTGAGGCTGATGAAGACCATATATAGGCATTAGTGGATGCAAATCGTCATTTAACAACATGAAAAAGTGCTGAGAGATTAAATTTATCGAATTTGACCGTGTATGAGCATTTAAAGCAACTTGTTTTCGTTGTCAAAGTTCGATATTTGGGTTTTCAAAGAAAGAAATTCGATTCATCGCATTACCATCTGCGATTTGTTGTTCAAATGTAAGGAAAACGATCCATTTTTTAAATGACTCATAAGATAACGACTGAAGATAAAAAATGGATTACGTACAACAGTATTAAACGCAAAAATCGTGGAGCAGACGTGATGAACCAACTCAAAGCACATCGAAAGCTAATATCCATCGAAAAAAGGTGATGCTCTCTATTTGGTGGGATTGGAAAAGAATGGTTTTTTTTAGCTGCTACCAAACAACCAAATGATTCGAATGTGTATTGTCATCAATTAGACAAATTGAATGATTCTGTCAAGCAGAAGAGACCAGAATTGGCGAACGAAAGGGTGTTGTGTTTTATCATGACAACGCTAGTTTAATGACTCGTCACAAGCTGTTAGTACTTGAATGGGATTTGCTGCCACATTTACCATACTTACCTGATCTGACACCATCCGATTATCACTTATTTCGATCACTGCAAAATTCTTTGGATGGTAAAAATTTCGATTCAAATAAAGGAGTCAAAAACTATTTGATTCAGTTTTTTGTCAATAAGGATCAGAAATTCTACGAACGTGGAATCATGTTATTACATCAAAGATGGCAAAAAGTGTTAAAAAAAATGGTTAATACTTAATAGAATAAATCTTTCCTTTTTATTAAAAGTATCGTCTTTCATTTCCATGCAAAAACCGAAATATTTTCCGAACAACCCAATAGAAAAATCGGCACCAAACTTAAAATGATAAAATTATTTTTGCACTAACCTAATACATTAGTAGTGGTGAAAATATCCTTAGTTAACATGTTGAAGTATTTTCTCCTTTTCCATATGTATAGCAGTATGTGTTTTATTATTATTTTTTCTCCTCCTCTCCTTTCTCTCTCTCTCTCTCTCTCTCTCTCTCTCTCTCTCTTTCTTTCATTCTTTTCCTTTCCTCTCCCTCTCTATCATTTTTCCCTCCCTTTTTTTACATCTTCCTATCCTTTTTTCTTTCTTTCAAACTTTTCAGTATTTCGAAAACTGATTTACCTACGATTTAGTAAATTGACACTTATACAGGGTGTTTGAAAGCTAATCATGCAGACGAAAATTGGAGATAGATTGGGTGTAGCCGAGAAGAAAAGTCATGTACCATAGTGTCAAATTGGCAATAGTTACCGAATTATTAATTTAAATATGTGAGCCAATGAGCGTGTAGAGAGCGCTGGGCGGCCGCCTCTTGTCGCTTGCACTCGCTCGCTCGTCGTTCGCGCTCGCCTCTTGTCGCTTACAGTTGCCCCTCGCCGCGCGCGCTCGCCTATCGACGCTCGTTGACTCCGCCTATACCAAATGTCTACGTGCTTACCGCGGCCGCCCAGCGCTCTCTACGTACTCATTGGCTCACATGTTTCAATTAATAACTCGATAACTATTGCCAATTTGACATTATGGTACATGACTTTTCTTCTCGGCTACACCCAATCTATCTCCAACTTTCGTCTGTATGATAAGCTTTCAAACACCCTGTATATACAGGGCACTTATATACTGGGTGATCCGAAATTCCCGCATTCGGAATACAGAACGTGATACTTTATGCTAAAACAAACAACTTTTTCCTTTAGCAAAATTACGTCCGACAAGTAAGTTTTTGCAGGAGAGCGTGTTAAATTTAACGAATAAGCGCTCTTGTCTATGTAACGCTCAGGGCCGGCGCGCGCGCCTCACTCGCGTGTACCTAGTTCGTGATTAGTAATCATAAGTAGTGTCTTTTAAGACGCTCATACGGTTCTCTTGTGATTAGTTTACGACATTTTAAGACTGTGCTTAAGACAATTTTAAATAATAAGAATCAATTATGAACAATAGCGGGATTTAACCTGCTTTCATATTTGTATTGCTTAAATAATAAAAAGTTAATAAAATAAGTACTGCCTTTATTTTTTACGTAATAAATGAATAAAATGTTGTCTGATTGCACAATATTATCTGAAAATAAAGACAAATGTAAATAGTAATATGTTTTGCGAACTGTGCGCGTCCTATTATTCCAAATATTGCACAATTACGTGATAATTAAATAGTATCATTAAATTTAAAGAATAATTTAATAACTGAACAAGCGTATACATAGGAGTATACATATTTGTAACAGTGATTACAAGTAAAATATTTGAATTAACGTCTTTTAAGAACTCTCTTTTTATTTCTTTATAATAGAAAATACAAAGAACTTATTTAAAATTCAAATTGTGTGATATACTCACGTCACGGTCTATATTTATTTATTATTACTTATGCACGTTAGCATATTCCTCGCAATAATCAAAACATGTAAGGAAAATATGTATTGAAAGGCTAACGTGCATAAGT